TCTGGCGCGAAAAACACTATCAGACGAAGAAAGTGAGAAAGAAGTCTCAAACTCTTCAGATGATCCAAAATCAGAAAGTGAAGACGATTTAACAAAATCTCAAGTAAAATCAGCAATGAAAACGCTTTTTGCTGCTTTTGGGCCAAGACTGAAAATTACCAAGACATCTACGAAGAAGCAAGAAATCAAACCGGCGACTCAAGACCTGCACGCTCCCATCCTGACTTCGAAAGCGACGACGCCCGAGCCCAGAGAGCCATGCCGATTTCGCCCTACACCACAGACAAAATCGAATACCAACGCACACAAAAAGAAGAAAAGAACCGTCACCACCACCAGAACCCCAAAAACCGAGCCAGAGACCGACTCATCTGAGGAGGAGCGGATCGAGAGAGCTGAAAGGGAGAGAATCTTCCACGACGCCACCAAAGAAGAAATGAGCAACGCGCATGTGCGAAACTACGTAGACGACCCAGAAGGACTTGAACTGGCCAGAGAACCGCGCAGACTCATTGCAAGCATCCCAATGCCGTTCTGTAATTTCCTGCACTTGAGAGATCACGGACTGCCCCAGGTTGTAAGTAATGGACAGAATAATGTAGGTAACTTACCCAGTGACTTCCCAAAACTTAGAATTGATGGCATTAATTTACAAGAGTGGTATCAACAGCTTCAGGTTATTTTCATGAAAGAAAATTTACTATTCTTTATAACTAGCCCTCCAAGAAGACCTTGGACTTTAAAAATAGATTGTTTACATCATAGAGCATTTTTCATAATAATATCTAGCGTCGTGTCTCCTGCAATGTATCATAGCATCAAACCAAACCTAACTGTATCAGAAATAATTCAATGCATGTTTAATCTATTTCACAGCGATAGCGTAGCTACAACCACAAGAATGTCTAAGGATTTCTTTTCCTCTAGAGTAAAACCAGGGGTTTCTATAAGTGAGCATTTGATAAATCTAAACAAAATAAGAGCTGAGCTACAATTGAGGGGGGAAGTGATTTCAGATCAAACAATGAAAAGTGTTATTATCAATTCACTTGATCCATCATGGGATAGCTTTATGTCACACTTAGATACCATTAATTTGGGATATTTATCCATAGAAAGTCTATCTAACAAATTGATAGCAGAAGACAATTCAAGAAAAAATCGATCCAGTAACCAAACAGACACAAACCTTTTAGGAAAGTAGTCTTTCAAGATAAACATAATGAGGCCTTTAGATGCTACAATTGTGGATCCAGGGAACATAGTAGAAGAGACTGCCCCAAAGTCTCAAGAGAGAGACATAGACCAGAATATAGGAGCAAATATAATTACAGACAATCTTCCACAGATAGACACAAATATAGAAGCCCACCAAATTACAAAGAAGGTAGAGGGGTAGAGAAAATTCAAAAGAGAGGAAATCTGGGTCACTGAATGGGCTAAATAAACAAGACAGCACCAGAACACAGCAGGATGAGAATAACAATTGGCTTATTGATTCTGGTGCAACAAATCACACCACCAACAACAAAAGTATATTATCTTCATTTATAGAAGATAAGTTTGTGATAAAGGTAGCTAATCAAGAAAAGGTTCAAGTACTAGGCAAAGGAAATGTGACCTTGCCTGGTCTAGGGAAAATAGAGGGGGTATTATTAATCCCAGAAATACCTCACAACATACTAAGTGCCATAAAATTAAGCAGAGAATCTGATATCAATATAGTTTTCTCAAAGGGGAAAGCAACTATAGAAAAGAACAAAACAAATGTAGGTACTGTAATGATAAAAGGAGGTCTACCCTATCTGATAACTAAAGAAAGATGTTTACATAACATTGATTCAAATATGGAAGATTGTATTGAAGCAGATGATGAAAATGTCAGTAACAGTGACAATGATGAGTGTAGAATAACTCATGATCACAAAAATACATACAAGGAAAAGAAACCAAAAATAGGTAAACCAATTCATGATGAGTGTGCTCACATCTTACACAGGAAGTTAGGACATGCAAGCTTTCCTGTAGTACAAAAAATGACTGAACACGCAGAAGGTGTCAAAATAAAAAATTGTGAAAATTATTTGGAATGCTCAGTATGTAAGTCCACCAAACTAAAAACCAGTCCCAGACCAAAAAAATCTAACAGATCAACTAACAATATTTTTGATTTGGTACATATGGACTTAGTTGGTCCATTAAGTCCCTCAATTACCTATAGAAAACGTTACTTCCTAACAATAGTGGATGACTACAGCCGATATGGTTTTGTTTACACATTAAAGCACAAGGATGAAACATTTCAGAAATTTAAGGAATTCTACAAACGTATAGAAACACAACATAATATCAGAATAAAGCAAATTATGACAGATAGGGGATGTGAGTTCATGTCTAAAGAATTCTCCCAATGGTTAAAGGATAGAGGAATGTTACATTTCACGTCCAATCCTTTTTCTGCATTTCAAAATGGAGTTGCAGAGAGGAAAAATTCCACACTACAAACCATGATTAGGTGCACATTAGAGGATGCTGGTTTAGGCAAACAATTTTGGTCAGAGGCATTACATTATTCGAATTACACTCAAAATAGAACCTGGTCCAGTATTGTGAATAAGACACCATATGAGGTGATGTACAATAGAAAACCCAAATTATCACACATGCACATATTTGGAGTCACTGCAGACGTACACATACCTAAACAATTGAGGAGAAAGGGAGAAAACGTATCCAGGAGATTAAGATTCATGGGATACGAAACTGGAACCAAAGGGTACAGATTTATTGATAGTAATAACAAATTTATAGTATCCAGAACAGCTGTGTTCCATGAACAGGCCAATTGGTCAAAATTGCACCTTAATGAAATATTTCCTAATAAATGTAAAGATACGATATCTTGCGAGGAAGGAACAACAGAAAATCAAAATATTAACAAAAGTAAGAACAAAACCAAAACTTGGACTAATAGTCAGCATAAAATAAAGACAGACACATTAACAAAAAAGGAAGCTAGATATTTGCATGATAACCATAGCAAGCCTGAAAGAACTATTAGAAACAATAGAAACCAAATACCAAATAAATACAAAGATTACATAATGCATATGAATGGAGAACAAATAACACCTAATACATATGAAGAAGTATTGAAACTTCCACATGAAGAAAGAGAAAAATGGGAACTAGCTATGGAAAAAGAGATGGAAAGTTTACAAGGATTAAATGTATTCACACCTGCGATCGCACCTAAGGATAAAACAATTATAGGTACCAGGTGGATTTATAAAATTAAGAACTTAGAAGGAGGCAATACCTTATACAAGGCTAGACTAGTTGCACAAGGCTATGCACAAAATATCCAGAAGACTATACTGATACATATTCACCCACAGTGAGAACAGAGAGTGTCAAAACAGCCCTTGTAGTAGCATCTGCACTCAATCTGGACGTATTCCAATATGACATACAGACCGCATACTTACATGCAAAATTAGATAAGGAAATATATGTAAGAGCACCACACAGTCAATACACTAATAAGAACGAAATTTGGTTATTAAATAAGAGTCTGTACGGATTAAAGCAATCCGGCAAAAGATGGTACGATTGCTTGGTAAAAGTACTTAAGACCATGGATTTCAACGCCACCACTGCTGATAACTGTTTCTTTGTAAAAAAGAGTAATGATCATATTGAATTTGTATTAATTTACGTGGACGATATTTTATACATTGGAAAGCATAAAGAGAGCAGGGAAATCTTTGTAAATAAGTTAAATGAACACTTCTCACTGAAATCTCTGGGTAAAGTGAATAAATACCTTGGTGTGCAAATTAACAAAACTAAAAGGGGATTCAAACTTACACAGAAAGATAAAATCATCGAACTCCTAAACAAATGTAACTTAAATAATGCTAAAACCTGTGACACCCCTATGCAAACTGATTTTCTTAGAAACACTGATGAATCTTCCCCTGAGTTTAAAGACAACACATTTTACAGATCAGTTATAGGTTCACTCCTTTATATATCTAATTGGACTAGGCCAGATATTGCATTACCTCTCAATCTATTGTCAAGATATGTTAGTAAACCAACCTTGTATCATTGGGAAGCTGTCAAAAGAATTCTAAGATATCTGAAGGGTACATTAGATTTTTGTTTAATGTTGGAACCCAATAATGACAGAGAACCAAAAATTACTTGTTATGCTGATGCAGATTGGGCTGGTGATACATCATGCAGAAAGAGTACTTCTGGTTATGTTTTTCTATTGAATGATTGTCCAGTTTACTGGTATACTGGTAAACAAGAACTAGTAGCCACTTCTACTACAGAAGCGGAATATGTTTGTTTGTCCAAAGCTGCAAATAACCTTGTATGGTTCAATGATCTGATCACTGATGTTTGGAAGAAACCCACCTTACCATTTATTATGCATGAAGACAATAAAGCGGCCATTGAAATATCCAGATCCGATGCAATTGGACAAAGGTCCAGGCATATTGATATAAAGTTTAAGCATGTGAGACAACTGTCTCAAGACGGATTCATTAAAGCAATACATTGCGATACTTCTGAACAATTAGCTGACATATTAACAAAACCCTTACCTTCTAAACAACACAAATATTTAACTTCTAAATTATATGTATTATATTGTCCTGAATCAGAATGTAATTGGTGTTGTGTAACGAACCGGCATTTAGAGGGGGATTTGTCAGATGTAAATGCCTTATTCTCCAATGTGTAAATAATGTATATATGGAACATCAGAGGTTAACTTATTCTTTGGACTTTAATGTATTCATAACTTACCACTCCCATTCCTAGCTCCACCCCTTGTATATATAAGGAGCCACCCTCACCATTCTCGTTGCTTCTACCTTGAATATTCAGTGAATATAGAATGCCTATCATAATTAAAAAGAAATATATTTAAAGCTCTAACTCCTATTATCTTTATTGAGTCTGATCCTGAAAATATTGCAACATAGCCCAATCTGACAACAGCTGAGGAGAAGCTTAGGCAACAGATACAGAAGAGAAGGAAGGTAAGGGGGAACCATGGGGGGGGGGGCAGAGAGTGGGGGGGGAATGGAGGGAGAAGGCCCAGGCTTCTCTGGATGTGGAGGGGAGGAGATTGGATGCTCCAGTGATCACTGGAGCACTGGAGCATCCACACTGCCCACAGTGTGGGGGGAAGCACTGGTCGTAAAAATCTGAATTTTGTTCCTGCCCCAAAAACAGCACAGGACACCAGCCTGGCCTCCTTGTATCCCAGAACAATGAGACACAAGGACACAAGTTTTTCCCCCCTAATGCCATCACTCTGCTAAACAACTAATTCCCATCTTCTCCCCTTTCCTGACGGGAGCGGTCTCCTCTTTTTCTCCTTGTCTCGGTAACTTTGTGGCTTGGATTTTGACCATTTATATTATCTTTTCTTGAGTTTCCTCGTATGATTTGTGTTGCTTTATTTTATTTATTTATTTATGTAATTTATATGCCGCCCTTCTCCCGAAGGACTCAGGGCGGCTTACAAGAACGAACAAAAAATTACATAAACATTGAAATCAATTTAAAATCAATTAAAATTAATTAAAATTATTTAAAATCACCCCTACGGATTCAGCCCATTTGGTGAAAAAGCCACGTCTTCAATTCGCGGCGGAAGGAGAGGAGGTCGGGGGCTGTCCTGAGGCCGGTGGGCAGCCCATTCCAGAGGGTCGGCGCTCCTACAGAGAAGGCTCTCCCCCTGGGGGCCGCCAGCCGACATTGTCTGGCTGACGGCACCCTGAGGAGGCCCGCTCTGTGTGAGCGCACCGGACGATGGGAGGATGCTTGCCTAGGTTCCTCTGATCCTAGCACCGAGTGTTGTAGCTTATGATTTATGATGAGTGTATTTTTTTTATGATGACTAAGACCATGATTTATCACTCGTTGCTTGTATGCACACGGAGACAAATTCTTTGTGTGTCCAATCACACTTGGTCAATAAAGAATTCTCTTCTCTTCTCTTCTCTTCTCCTTTTCTCTTCTCTTCTCTTCTCTTCATTCTGTATTCTATTCTACTCCATTCTATTTTTCTGTTCCATTCCATTCCATTCCATTCCATTCCTTTTCTTTTCTTTTCTTTTCTTTTCTTTTCTTTTCTTTTCTTTTCTGTTCTGTATTCTATTCTATTCTATTCTATTCTATTCTATTTCTCTTGGAAACAGATTAATTAGCATATGCTAATTTCTCTTTCCCTCTTCCAGCTGGGTTAGTGAGAAAGTCAATCAATCAATCAATCAATCAATCAATCAATCAGAATAGAGCCAGAAGGGAAGGGATGTTAGAGGTCTTCTAGTCCAATTTGTGATACAGGTCTCTGTATCACTTCAGATAGCTGGTTGTCTAGTCTTTTCTTAAGAACCTCCAGCGATGAAGCACCTGTGTCTTCTGGTGGCCAGCTGTTCCACTGGCTAACTGTCCTTCCTGTTGGGAAGTTTCTCCTTAATTCCAGGTTGCTTCTCTCCTGGAGTAGTTTCCATCCATTGTTTCTTGTCCTGCCTTCTAGTGCTTTGGAGAATAAGTGGACCCCCCCTCTTCTTTGGGGCAGCCCCTTAAATACTGGAATACTGCTATCATGTCCTCCCCTAGTCCTTCTCTTCACTAGGCCAGCCATACCCAGTTCCTGCAACTGTTCTATTTCCAAAGTCTCAGTGTCTTTTTTGTAACATGGGGACCAAAAGTGGATGCTGTATTCCAGGTGTGGCTTTACTAAGGATTTATAAAACAGTGCTAACACTTCACCTGATTTTGATTCTGTGCCTTTGTTTACGCAACCGAGGATTGTGCTAGCTTTTTTGGCTGCTGGGGTACCCCACTGCTTACTTCCCTCCATGTAGATGTAGTATAAGGTGACCAGATTTTAACATTGGTAAAGCGGGACACCCACCATTTTGTGGACGTGGCTTGGAGGTCATGTGACTGGGTGGGCGTGGCTAGCTGGTCATGTGACCGGGTGGCCATGGCTATGTGTATAGAAAAAAGTCATTTCTGACAGGTCCTCGCACTTTTGACTGGTCTTCACACTTATGTCCATCCTCACATTTATGCCAGTGCAGCATTCTTAACAACCATGTCACTCATTTCACAACTGCTTCTCTTCACCATGGTGAAAGATAGGGCAAAAACGTAAAATGTGAGGACAGTCGTAAGCTCGAGGACTGGTCAAAAGTGTGAGGACCAGTCAGAAATAACTTTTTCAGCCCTCTGAGTAGTCCATATGCACAAAAGGACTACCCAGAGGCCTGAAAAAATGATTTCTGACAGGTCCTCGCACTTTTGACCGATCCTCACACTTATGACTGGTCATCATTTATGCCCATTGTAGCATTCTTAACAACCGTGTCACTCAGTTCACAACTGCTTCTCTTCACCATGGTGACAAGATAGGGCAAAAACATTAAAATGTGAGGACAGTCGTAAGTTCGAGGACTGGTCAAAAGTGTGAGGACCAGTCAGAAATAACTTTTTCAGCCCTCTGAATAGTCCAGGTGCATAAAAGGATACAGCAATAGAGAGGAATGAAGGAAGGGAAGGGAAATTAGAGTAGGAGTGAGGGTAAGAGAGGGAGGAAGAGAGGAGGAGGAGAAAGGAAGAGGAAGTAGGGAGGAGAAGAAGAAGGGGGGAAGGGAAAGTAAGAAGGAAAGAAAAGAGAGAGGTGGTAGGTTTGAGGAGAAAGATTGCTGTACAATAAAAAAGATGAAAAGGAAGAAAGCCAACCCCAAACAAATATAAAGATATTAAGATAAAGAATGAATTGTTAAACTTTAAAGAATAAAAGAGAACAAATATGAATAAATAGCAATAATTAGAAACACACATACAAACATACAATGTATTTTCTTTGAACAGAGTATTTGGCCGGTTCACAAATTTAAACAGTGTTTAGTCATTTCAATTAAATTTACAATTTCTATATTTCCTTTTTGCCATATTTATTCCTCATCTATTTTTTTAAAAAACCAATATTACCCTTCATCCTCATCTCTAATCTTAATCAAATTCAATTTTTCCCTTCTATCAGTAAAGCCTTAAAGTCATACAATACATTTTCATATTAAAGTTACAGTACACATATATTGCCTGGACAACTTGTTAGGCTCAAACCATATCCTAACACTTTCTGGATTTCTGCCGCTGAGGGGCTTGATATAGGCGGGGTATGTTTCCTCATTTTTATTTTTCTGGGTATTTATAATCCACTTGTGATTAAATTTATGGTTTAAATATCAAGTTGAACCAATGATTAAATTTACAAAAAAGAAAAGAAAAAAGAAAGAAAAAGAAAAAAAATAGATTTCTGTGAAGTAAACCAAAATGTCTGGAATCTTCCCTGCCCTTCTACATTATATAAAAAAGTAAAAAATAAAAAATAAAATAAAAAATAAAATAGTCAAATTAGAAGGGAGGTAAAATAAAGTAAAAATGCAATTAAAAAGTAAAAAAAAAGTGAGAAAGGCTGAAAAATAATTTTTGAGTCAAAATCAAAAATCAAAATTCATAAAAAAGTCAATTTAGTAAAAAAAAGGGGGGGGGAGAAAAAAATTAAACAATAAAAATTTAAAGAAGAAGAATTCTTCTGACTCTTCAAGTCTTAATCCATGGGGGAACAAACTTTAGGAGTCCAATTTAATTTAATTCAGTATATAGTCTCTAGTCCAAGGAGAATAAAAAATCAAAATTCAAGGCAAAAATCTTCTCTTTTTAATTTTCAACACAAAATTGGTCAACTCAAAAAAGAAGATGCAAAAATACAAAATAACAGTCCGCACAGCCAAGAAGAAAAAAGGGAAAACAATACAAGAACATAAACAAAAAAGCTTCCAAAATACAGTTAATCTTCACTTCATTCTCCACAGCTGTTCTATTTATCTTCCAGCCAGAATGTCAAAGTCAGGTGAATTCATTCAATATTCTTCAAAGTAAAAAAGTCCTTCTTTATTTGTATTTTTCTGCCACTAGATGGCACTGCAGGCTAACTTTTCATCTCAGTTCAACACTTTCGATTCTTACTTTTGTTTAAACAAAGTTTCGCAGAGCAATCAACAATGTAATGATCCAAACAGAAAAATGCTTATTCGGTTCAGTCATTTACAGCCTTAATATACAGTAATTATAACAGTCCTCAGTCTTCTTTTCTTTTTCTTCAGTTAAAGGTTAAAGGTTATTAGTTAGAGTTTAATGGGCTCTCAAACGCGTTTTCTTTGCCGCCCCAGTTTCAGGATATGGGTGTGGATACACACTCACACCCATTCCTCATTCTTAGCCACTCTTCTCCACCCTACTGGTCTTCCAGGTAGATAAGAGAGATTCTTTTTTTTTTTTTTTTTTTTAGGTAATAAAATTGAATTCATCTCACCTCACCGATGTCACAGGCTGTTTCTTAACTTTCTCTGTTTGGTTCGCCTGCCCCAGCTTTTCAGCGACTTCTTGCTTGCTTTCCCTCAGTGCCTGATTTGAGAAGCTTCTTTCGACCTCTCCTGGGAGTTTGCCACCTCTCTAGGTTGATCGGTATGTGTTCTTCTCGGTGGTCATCCCTACAGGATGACTTAAGTCACAGCGGACCCTCGGGCAGCGGGGATATTGATGACTCTTTGGGAACTCCAAAGAGTTCATCTTGCCGCTGTGGCATTGGCTCTGCCTCCACACAGAGCATTTTTGATGACATCTTGGGGGGAGGGTAGGCGGAGCCTCCCGCCACCGCCATTACTGGTTCGCCCGAACAGGGGTGAACCGGGAGAAACCCACCACTGATCTGCAGTCTATCACACATTTTTCTAGCTTAGCAAGAAGTAGGTTGTGATCTACTCTGTCAAATGCCTTGCTGAAGTCTAAATTATATTCTATCCACAGAATTTCGCGTCAACTCCCAGAAGGCTCCAATCAACAGGGCCAGCTGAGGAATTCTGGGAATTGAAGTCCACAAAAAGTTGCCAAGGTGAGTGACCACCTCTGGTCTACAGGGGTGCAAACAACTTTGTGGCTTGTCACCTATGGCTTACAAAGTATTGTATACTCCAGCTATCTGCAAGGAACATAAATCCTTCCATTCTCCACCATCCAATCAGAGCTGAGGAAGCTTCTTGGATGAGAAGCGAAACGTCTTCAAAAGAAACCGACAAGAAATTCCAGTGGCCTCCTGAAAAAGCACCTTTGGGACTTCCCCAAATTCATTACTGGTGTGGTCTGTGGTGTACCCAATGGCACATTCTTGGAACACCTTCCTAAGAGCTGTTGGAGAGCGGGGCACTCTTGGTTTAGGGAGGGGCATGCACTGTCCTCCACACTCCTCACAGAGGCATCAGTCAGTCTCTGCCTCCTCCAGATGATTCTTCTCTCTTGCAGGACAGCAGCAATATGCAGGAGCTGAGCATGGCCCTGGCAGAAAAAAAAATTGAGACCCATGCCCTGGGCCGCCCCTTCCAGCTGGGGATGCTGTATGATTGTCGCAACGATGTGCTAATCCCAGGTAGGAAGAGGGATGTCCCCTGCAGAAACTCTGGAGGGAGGGAGACGGGCTCAGCCCATGGTCACTTCAGGGCTTGGCTCCTGGACCTACAGACTGCTGGTAGCACCTACCTGGTTTTACCTTAATAAAAACATAGTTTTTCCAGAGAGTTTGAAATCTCTTTTGAGATCAATGTATGCAGAGCAATTCAAATTCCTCTCTACTCAGTCAAAAGCCTTTGGAGTTTGCAGGAGTTTGCAAAACAGGCAGGTGGTTCTCTTGTCCATGGCTGGACAGAACAAATGAGAGAAACCTCCAGCAAAAATTATCTTCATTGTCTTCATTGTCTCTGGAGCTCCTTTATCTAGCTGCAGATGTTTTGGAAGGCAGTGTTCAATTCATGTCCATGTTTCCTTCTGTTCCGTGCAGATATCACCCTTTGGGACTACAGCAGAAGAACCTGACCATCAAGCCTCAGCCCAAGACAGAATCTGAAATCATTGTTTCTGACAGCATAGACGACAAGGCCTCCGCCCTGGACATCTCAGCCTCCCTCAAGGCCAGTTTCCTGGGAGGGCTGGTTGAAGTGGGAGGGTCGGCCAAGTATCTTCATGACAAAAAGAAGTCCAAGAAACAGGCCAGAGTCACCGTTCAGTACAAAACCACCACAAAGTATGAACAGCTGGCAATGAACCACCTGAAAATCCAGAATGTCTCTTACCCAGCAGTCTTTGAGCAGGGCACAGCCACCCATGTGGTCACCGCCATTCTCTACGGAGCCCAGGCCTTTTTTGTCTTTGACCGAGAGGTTCCTTCAACAGAGATGGTGAAAGATATAGAAGGAAACCTCCAGGCTACACTCATGAAGGGAATATCTATAGGAGGAGAAGCAGAGGTCCAACTGACTGAGAAGGAGAAAGGGAATGCTCTGAAGTTCAGGTGCAAATTTCATGGAGACTTTTCTCTGGAGAAAAATCCAGTCACTTTCCAAGATGCCATGAAATTTTATGAAACTCTCCCAAAAATGTTAGGGAAAAATGGAGAGAAGGCTGTTCCTGTGCGGGTCTGGCTCTACCCTCTGACCAAGTTGGACACCAGAGCAGCTAAAATGGTCCATGAGATCAGTGTAGAGTTGGTCTTAGATGCTGAAAAGATCTTGGAGGAACTCAATGAAATAGAGATGCAAAGTAATGATCTAGCCAATGATCTCATCACTGAGACCTTCCCTGAGATCAAGAGGAAGATCCAGCAGTTCAAGGATCTCTGCAAGCAACACAGGCAGACTTTCCAGAAAGAGCTGGCCAGAATGTTGCCTTCCATCCGGGGAGGAGGGCAGGAGGAAGGGACCCTGGTGGACCTCTTGATGTCCGTCAACCAGTCGCCTTTCCGCAACGAAATGTTATGTGAATTTCTGGACAACAAGGAAACAGAAATTGACATTGTCAGAGATTATCTGAGTACTCTAAGTGAAATGCAAGTTGTCTCATCCAAGAAGCTGGAAGAAATATTTCATGACCCTCAAATTTTATATGTGGTCTCCTTTATATTCACTTCTTTGCATGAAAAGGAGCCATTTCTCTTGAGCCTACAGGATTGGCTTCAGGAGCGATCAGCTAGATCAACTAGGTCCCTTCCTGAGGTGAAGAAAGACATGGCCTGGGTTAAGGACAAGGAGAGCATCTGCAATGCTCGCCAAGCTGCCAAATCCATCAAAGACTTCTTCAGTATCAATCATTCCAATTTGAAGGTCCGCTTTGTCGTGGCCTCACTCCCAGATGTGGACACCCCAGGAGCCTCAATATACGTTTACAAAGATGGGGAGCTGGTCAGCAAGAACTATGAGTTTCCCTCAAAACCTCTCCCTTTGTTGATTACTGAACCGAGGCATGATGGCATTCAGTTGAAGTTTCAGCCAGCTGAATATGGAAAGGCTACAATCTCCAGCTATCTGGTATGGTATAAGATTACAGGGGAAGAAAACTGGAAGTCAGTGAGGACAGAGGACATCAGGGAGATGTTCCTACTGAAAAATCTGCTTCCAAACACAGAGTACGAGTTACAGTACACTGCTTGTTGCAAACTGGGCCTTAGTCCAACCAGTGACCTGAGCCCACCCATAAAGACCCTTCCCATCAGCCCTCCTAAGAAATTAAGAATGATCACTGCAACATCTTCTACCATCTCTGTGGCCTGGGTGAGTTCCAAAATCTTTACCTCCACAGTTGAGTTCAAGGAGTACAAGGTGGAATACAGAACAGTGGAGGCTGCAGTTGGGAATGACCAGTGGAGTGAAAAAAAGACCTGGAGAATAAGTTATCGGCTTGAAGGTCTGAAGCCCCAGACGGCGTATAGAATACGGGTGTCGGCCATATGTAAAAAGGGAGTTCTGAGTATCCCCAGCGAGGAGGTGGAGTTCTCCACATTACCGGAGGAAGGAAGTTATCTGAAGTGGTTCTGGAGTTGTTTCAATCAAGGTTCCAATATTAATTCAGTTTGACACAGGTTGGAACCTTCAGCAACCACAGTATAACTAGCTGATGAGTAATGCACACATTCCAATAGCTTGCTGACTGGAGGAAGAGGAGGAGAGAAGTCGCCAATTCACCAGTTCCCATCTTGGTTGGACAATGCGACCGATTGTTTTGGAAACTTGAGAAAACTGAAACTTATATTGGTGTGAAAAGCCTGGAAACTTTAGTACTGGCTTTTCACCAGTTAGTGCCAACATGATGTGTCCAAATAAATATGTACTGTAAAGGTCCCAGAAGTTCCCTGAGCCACTGAGATGCCAAAGAGAGTGAGAATCGAGACGAGTTTTGAAAAAAAAATCATTTTTATTCTTTGGCCAAGAATAGTATTCTCAGGGTGAATACCAGTGGTGAAATCTAAAATTTGTTACTACCGGTTCTGTGGGTGTGGCTTGGTGGGAGGGGTAATGTGACTGGGTGGGCATGGCCATTTTATTTTATTTTCTTTACTTTTAAAACCATTTTTTCTATAACCTCTTCGGTGAAGAGGTTGTAAAAAAATGCTTTCAAAAGGCTCTGATGATCCCAGCTGAGTTGCCTGATCGGCAGAGGGTTTTTTAAAAAGCCTCTGCCGATCAGGCAACTCAGCTTGGATCGTCAGAGGCGATGGGGGGTTTTTTTCTTTTAAAACCCTTTGAGGATCCCAGTTGAGCCCCGCGATCATCAGAGGCTTTTTTTTTTTTTTTACTTTTAAAAGCATTTTTTCGGCGGAAGAGGTTGTAGAAAAAATGCTTTTAAAAGTAAAAAAAAAAGCCTCTAATGATTGTGCGGCTCAGCTAGGCATGGGGGGGGCAGGGATTTTTGCTACCGGTTCTCCGAACCATCTGCCTCCATCCGGGCGATCCGGTCTGAACCAGGAGCATTTCACCCCTGGTGAATACGATATCCCCAATACAGACAAAATGCATGTAAGGAATAGTCACACCCTGCAAGAGTGGCTCAGAGTATTATATACATTTACCCCAATACAAACAAAGTTTATCCAATCAGACAAAGGTTTGTCGCCAACGTTATCATTAAAGCGTTCTTTGTTTAGGCCTCTGTCTCTGTCCATGCTTTGCTATCTTACAGAGCATCCCTTGTCCTTTTCTCTTTGTGCTCCTAGGCAGCCCCCCCCCCCTTATCTATGGAGCAGGATGTTCCTGGGAACTGTCTCCAAGGTCCTGTCTAGCTCCGAAGCAAATGACAGAAGCGCGAAACCAGATAGAAAAGGATACAACTCTCTTGCAGAATGAATTCCTAACAAATGATTCCTAACCATAGTGTGAGATTTAAAACCCCCAATTTTGATACTCACAACTTGAAGACAAGTCTGGTTAACAAAATCAAAGATTTATCGGAGAAAAACATGAAAAAGAGAAAAAGAAAAGCGGTTTCAAGCGTGGCCTCTTAGACTCTTCCCAAACGGATTGAGTTCAAAGAGCGCAAAAAGGAGTCTTCAAGCTATACATTTTATACCCCTTAATGCACGCCACGCCTAAGAAGCCCCCCCAACTCCCCCTTATTCTCTTTAAGTCATTCTCTGCGCATGTGCAGAGGGTAAAAAACACATTTTAAACCAGGAAGTAATGACACTCGGGAGGGTGGACGGAGCCTCGCACCGCCATCGCTACCGGTTCTCCGAACCACGTGCCACAATCGCTACTGGATCGCCCAATCCGGTCCGAACCGGGAGCATTTCACCCCTGGGTAGGTGGGTGTGTCAGTGGACACTGAGGAGGCCATCCCAGTGATGGGAGATGCAACCATATGCTGGATCATAGGGATGAAACGGGAGGAGAAGGAGATCTCCAAAGGCTAGAAACACTAGAGACCCAATCCTTTTCCAGTGGGAGAAGAGACTGTCAAACCAGTTGAAGCCAACTGCCCCAGTCCAAGTCTGCACTGGCATCCTGGCAGCAATCTCCTCCATAACTTCTTCTGGACCATCTCTATCTGTAAGCCACAATTTGTGAGATAAAGTTTTCAACACACACCTCCCTCTGTTTCTGACAAAAAGTGTAATGCAAGTCTATACTAATGGATGGGGCCACCTGAAGATGGACCTCACATGACACCATGGGGGGCTGGGGGTTGGACATTTTTTTTTTTTAATTTGATTTATATGCCGCCCTTCTCCGGAGACTCAGGGTGGCTTACAATGCGTTAAGCAATAGCCTTCATTCTTTTGTATATTTTATACAAAGTCAGCTTATTGCCCCCACAAACTGGGTCCTCATTTCACCTACCTTAGAAAGGATGGAAGGCTGAGTCAACCTTGAGCCTTGGAGAGATTCGAACCAGCAGAAATTGCAGGCAGCTGTGTTAATAACAGGGTGCATTAAACCACTGTACCATCAAGGCTCAGCCAGGGTCCTTGGGGAGGGAGGGAGGGGTTTGGGGGATGCTTCCAATATGTAATTTTCACGCCTGTTGACTCAGACTTTGCTTTCCTTTCGTTGCATTCAGTTCATGCTCAGTAAAAATACCTTTCTCTGCAAACATGGGGTTTTTCTTTCCTGGGTTTTGAACGGAGGCACGCCTGACATTCTGCTATTTAGCCATTAAAGTTAAAGCAGTAGCAGTTTCATTAGTTCTTATTTCAAGCGTAGCCTGTAACCTTGTAAGTCTATTCAACATATAAACGGGAGTTCTATAACCACACATTCCATCTTCTGCCCAGGTGGCTGGTCCGTATACCTGGATTCTGGAGGCCACTCGTTGTAGATTTGTGGCCTGCTTCCACATGAACAGGTACACCAAGGCTGTAACCTTGCTGTACGGACAGTAGGAGGGGGAAAAAACACATGCTCCATACCAACAGCTCGGCAACCGAACATAGGCAAACTTTCCACATATCCAATGTAAGCCATCTGTAGCATGCCAGTTAGGAATTTCATTAGCCACATCCGTCCATAACCCACTCAGTCTAGGTCAGTGGTGAAATCTAATTTTTTTTACTACCGGTTCTGTGGGCGTGGCAGGGGCAGGGGCAGGTTACTGCAAAATCTCCATTCCCACCCCAACTCCGGGGGAAGGCTACTGCAAAATCTCCATTCCCACTCCATTCTGGGGCCAGCCAGAGTCGGTATTTGCTGGTTCTACGAACTGCTCAAAATTTCCGCTACCGGTTCACCAGAACCTGCTGGATTTCACCTGTGGTTTTGGTGGCATTTTCTAATGGGTTACTGGATGGTGTCATGTTAACTCCAGAGTGGAAGGTTACATTAAGCGAAGAAAAGACCCTTGCTTGTAATATATGGTTTTTCAGATTAAGCATTGCATTATATTCTCCGCCTATTAGTTCTACCCATAAGAAAATTAAATCGAAACATCCTGTATCTTCAGGGATTATGATGTCACTATCTCCCGGGACTGCTGTGTTCAAGTCAGGATGACCAGATTAAGTGCCCCAATTCTCACACATTGAATCTACCCGGTCTTCCACTATTACTATATCACAAGGTTTTTCACAACCACACACTGGTCTACAATCACAACCATGGTACCAACAAGAACATTCAGCGATACAGTCACAATCACAGAACCAACACATCCTGCAGGGTGCAAAACTCCACAGCTTCGCTTGGGACCTTCAGGTGGAATAACAGGAATAACACCACTCAGGCAGGAGGAATCAAAACGTTGGTCCTCCTGCAGTGAGAAAAATCACCAACAAAACCCCTTCATATCCCAATAACCACATCAGCTTTTGGTAATGTTTATTCTCGGTGGGTCTTCTCCAGGAACCACTTTCCACTCTTTAAGTTCATCAACTGGTCCTTTTACGCATGTCTACTGGGTCCACCCTTTCTCTTACGAGAGGCTGCCGGTGAAAGTGAGGAGGAAGGTGCCCGGGCTCCATTCCAGTGGTGAGTTACTCCCGGTTCTGTCTGATTCTTTAGAACTGGTAGTAAAAGCAGCAGGATGCTCTGCCCACCCACATGGACATCATAATTGACGATCTGCACATGTGCAGAAGCGCAAGCGTGCTCCCATTGCGAACCGATAGTAAAGTAGAACCCGCCCCCTGCTCCATTCATCCGAGTGGAGGGGGTGTTGCTGCTGGGAGTCCGGTTGTGACTCTTGCCATCCTCAACCCTAGTTATGGCCGAGGGGGAAGAGCCCGAACGGTGGCGACGTGCCTGGAGGTGATGCGGCTGCCTGATTGCTTTTACCCTTTTGAGATCGTGAATCTCGATCGGTCGCTGGACATTCCCACACTCTGGTCAGGGCTCTCTTGTACTGTGCGCAGTTGCACCAAACTGATGTCTCACACCTGCTCAGGTAGCTCAAGTCCTCCTCCTCCTCCGGATCAGTTCGGTGCGCATTGCTCATCTTATACACAGGATCGTTTGGAAGAGAGGCTGCGCTTGAAAAGACAGGCCAGCCTGTTTTGGTGGAGAGAGAGAGGCATTGATTGGGCTTATTTCCTAGGAGGGAAACCTTTCGTGTTGTGCTTATTTCAAAGGCTGAGCGAGCCACCCAGTCACGTGATGCGGTGAGTATGACACCTGTGTCCTAGTCCCTTCGGCAGGAGCCTGTCTAATCTCTCACTTGCTGCGAGGTTTGTCTCCCAGTTGATATTAGGGTAGTTAAAAGTCCCCCATTACTATAGTGGGATGTTTAGCATAACGTTCATCTGCTCAGTTGGCTGGCCTGTAGTATACACCTAATATTAATACTTATTAAGTATTAATATTAAGAACCGAAGCGTTTCTGCAGCAAAAAGAATTTGCCAGGGACATCACCGTTGTGGTTCTTCAGGCCTCTGTTCTCTGCATATACACCAAAGGCCTGAAGCACCAAAACAGGGCCAAGAAAGTGAAGGCTCTCTAGATCTTTGCAAAGTGAGTACATGTTGTGGTTTAGAGGAGGCAGAGGAGCCAGAGTGGGTGCCTGGGTTAACACTGGAGCCTGCAGAAGGGGATTGGTGGGTGGGGGAGGGATGTTTACGACCGCAGGAGCTCTGCAATGCCCCCCTCCTACTGTGGGGTACGAGGTGTGACTGCACAAGACTCCTTCCCCCACCTTTCAGGAAGTCTCCCCTCTCCCGCTGGTCCTCCCTCCCTCCCTCCCTCCCTCTCCCTCTCTCTCTCTCTCCCACTGGTCCTCTGTCTCTCCCCCCACCCCCTTACTCCTGAGTCCCCTTACCTTACCTGGATTTATTGAATCCAGGCTGGGCTAGAAAGCTGCCGGAGTAATCTTTCTCCAGCCTGGCTGCTCACTTTCACTTTCACTTTCACTGTTACTTTCACTTTCGCTCAAGAGGAAACGGACAGGGATTGAAGGCAGCTCCAAGTTCTGCCTAATCAGAAGCTCTCTCTTTTCATCAAGGGGGAGGGAGGCTCCTGGGGTGTTTGGGGAAAAGAGTACCCAGATTTTGGGGGTAAGGTGGGGCAGGACAAACACCTCACAGCCGGGATCGAATTGAAATGGTTTCCTTCCCCCATCCAGAGCTTCACGGCCTCCGGGAGGGTAATTCTTAAGTTTGGCAACTGAAGGTGGGTGGACTTCAACTCCCAGCATGCCTCAGTCAGGATGTTGAGAAGCTCTGGTCTCTTTCTCTCCATCCATCCTTCCTTCCTTCCTTCCTTCCTTCCTTCCTTCCTTCCTTCCTTCCATCCATTCGCCTATCTGCCCATCTAGCTGTTTCTCATCCTTTGCATCTTGAAGGTGGGTGGACTTCAGCGCCTACAATTCCCCAGCCAGCATGTTGAGAAGCACCGTTTTTTCTTCCTCCCTCTCTCTTTCCCATCCATCCATTTTTCCAATTCATCCATCCAGCTGTCCATCCAGCTGTTTCTCATTCTTAGCAAGTTGAAAGTGGCTGGGGTCATCTAGTCCAACCCTCTGCTCAAGCAGGAGTCCCATACAGAATAACAGACTAGAAGACCTCCAAAGTCCCTTCCAGCTCTATTGTGATTGATTGGTTGATTCCTTCCTTCCCTTTTTTCCCTTTCTTCTCCCTTCCCTCCCAAATTGCCAAGGCTGAGAAACATGGCTGTAAATAATTGAACCTGTTTAGGAGCCTTCTAACTCCCTTAGTTTGAAACTGAGGAACCAGGTGACACCTCCAAGCCACAATCAGAACTGATGGTTCAAATGAACTATGGTTTGATGCAAGGTGGGAAGCAGCACCAGGGATCTCCACCATCTTTGAAGAGGGTGTGGCTGTCTTCCCAGGTTTTACAGGGCATCCGGGATGTATATTGCCCATGAGAAGAAAAATTTTGCGAAGGAACGTGGACGTGGTGAAATCTGTTGCCCGTTGAGGCAGCCAAAGAGCGGATAATTTGGAAGATCCGTGTGAGGGAATTGCGCAGCCGGTGTTCAAATGGAGTCAGAAATGCTGACATGAACTTGTCATTTTATGATAAATAAATGTATTTGACTTCTATGTTTACCGCAAGCAAGATAGGCAGGCAAACAGTAGTGTCATGAGGTAAATCATGAGGTAAATCATGAGGTAAACAACAGAGTGCACAGTGCAGAACAGAAGAAAAAAGGCAGGAAAAAAGAGGAACTCCTCCTCCACCCCCAAAGCGACCAATCACAGTGCAGATTGTCTCAGGCAGGAGCCAGCACTCACCAACCGATCAACTACATAGGGCAGTCGGGAGGTATATTGCCCACGAGAAGAAAAACCTTGCAAAGGAATGTGGACAAGGTAAAATCTGTTTCCCATTCAGGCAGCCAGGGAGCGGATCATTGGCACATTGGTGTAAAGGAATTGTGCAGCGGGTGTCCAAATGGAGTCAGAGAAGCTGACATGAACTTGTCGTTTTGTATAAATAAATGTATTTGACATCTATGTTTACCACAAACAAAATAGTCAGGCAAACAGGAGCGTCGTGAGGTAAATCGTGAGGTAAATAACAGAATGCACAGGGGAGACAGAAGAAAAAAGGTGGGAAAAAAGGGGAACTCTCCCTCCACGCCCAAAACTACCAATCACAGTGCAGATTGCCTCAGGCAGGAGCCAGCACTCACCCACCGATCAACTATAACGGTGCATTTCTGGCTCCACAGCTCCAGCTTCTAAATTTAAATACAGGCAGTCCTCGATTTATGACTGTCCATTTAGTGACTGTTCAACATTACAATAGCACTGAAAAAGCGACTTACGGCCATTTTTGTAGGATCCTCATGACCATGTGACCAAAATTTGGACCCTCGGCCAGTGCTTCAGACTTACGACCATTGCTGTGTCCCAAACTCACATGATCCCCTTTTGCGACCTTTTGACGAGCAAAGTCAAGGGAGAAGCCAGATTCATTTAACATAGGGGCTGCTAATTAATCAACTGCAGTGATTCACTTAACAACTGGGGGAAGAAAGGTAATAAAATAGGGGCAAACTCACTTAACCAATGTCAGCCTTCTGTCCTTCTGAGGTTGCTGAAATGAAGACCTGGATTATTATGACCATTTGTCACACTTAACGAACATTGCAGCATCTCCACAGTCACCAGATGGAATTTCCGATGCTCGACAAAGGACTCACATTTATGACAGTTGCAGTATCCCGGGATCAAGCAATCCTCTTTTGTAAATGTCTGGCAATTGGGAAGCCCAATTCACTTAACCCCCTAGCCAAAAATGGTTGTAAATGGGGCAACCCTCAACCATCTTGCTTAGCAATGGAAACTTGGGGACTCATTGGTGGATGTAAGTTGAGGACTGCCTAGAAATTCTGTTAGTTTGCAGCAATCCAACCAGCACACGAGTAAATAATTCAGCAGGATTCATTTATATAAGAAACTTCTTTATGTACAATAATATAAAGCATGATGCATGTATACAATACTCATGCAGCAGAAGCCAGAACCACGGAATCCAGAAGCACAGAATCAATATAATCACAGACACTATATAATGCAGAGGCTATATTGGAAGGACAAAGCAACTCTTATATACAAATCAGTCAAGCTAAGCCACGCCAGGCTCCAAGCCATCTGCGTCACCAGTCCCCATTGGCTAACCTGTCACCATGTCTATTCCAATTCATGAACTCTCATACACTGACACTCCTCCCTTCATGACTGGAATAGACATAAAACCGAATAACTTAATATTCTTCCCATGGTGCAATGGACTTCAATGGCTTGGTCATTATATCTGCCAAATTGTCCTCTGAAGAACAGTGAAGCAAGCTAATTAGTTTACATTTGATGGCTTCTTGTACATTACAATATTTAATATCCACATGCTTTACTCTGTCACCTGTTACCATTTTAATGCAAGCAGCATTATCCTCAAACACCGTTACAGCTTCATTTACTTTTACATTTAAATCCCTTAACAGCTGTACGTACCGGGTTACCTCTGAACAGAGTTCAGACAGAACAATAAATTCTGCCTCCGCCATAGAAATGGCTACCGTTGTTTGTTTTCTGGACTTCCAACCTATTTAAGCCCCTCCAAACGATACCACAATCCCAGAATTGGACCTTCTGGTTTTTACATCATTGGCATAATCACTGTCAACATAACATTTCAATTTCAATTCTCCAGAATCCTGTATTTGAAGACCCAAATTCAGAGTTCCCTTCAAATACCCAAGAATCCTTTTTACAGCCATCTGATGCACTTGCGTTGGTGCAGCAGTAAACAGATTTAAGATGCTTACTGCACAAGTTATGTCTGGTCTGGACCACTGTGACAAATATAACAGGCTCCCTATTGCTGACTGATATATCTCTTGATCACAGGCTTCACTTTTGTCCTCACCCAAATAGTTATGAAAATCTATGCTCATAGGTGTTGGAGCAAAATTACAATCTTTCATGTTATAATTTTCCAACAACTGTTCAGTTTTCCTTCTTTGACTGAGAACAAAACCACCTTTCTCAGTTTTTTTGTATTTCTACACCAAGATAGTTTTTTTATTTCTCCCAAATCTTTTAATTCAATTTTTTTCTCTAATTGATTAGCAAATTCTTTTACCTGTGACAAATCTTTTGCAATGAAACAGAGATCATCCACAAATGCTAATAATTGACAATCCCCACCTTGTAGCTTTTCAGTATATATGCAACCAGCAATCTTGCAATTCTTGAACCCAGGACCCTTCAATGCTGTATCTAAACAGATATTCCACTTCCTGGCCGACTGTTTCAGCCCATAAATGGCCTTCTTCAATTTAGACACCGTGTTAGGCCTTTTACTTTTCTACCCTGGGGCTTGAATCATGTAAATTTCTTCCTCTAATTTGCATTGAGGAATGCTGTGGTTATGTCAAAATGCCAAATTTTATGGCCAGGTGCCACTGCCCATGCTAGTGCCATCCTGATGCTTATACTCTTTTCAGTTGGTGTCATCATACTGCACATTTTTCATCTGTGAAAAATCTTGTGCCACTAACCCTGCTTTATATTGTACCTCATTATTGGACAGTACTTTCTTCTTGTATACCCACTTGCATCCTACAACTTTGCCACCCTGTGCCACCCTTTATGTTCATCCATGGATTTCATTTCTTTGTCCATGGCTTCTTTACACTTTATTTGTTCAATTTTAGGTAATGCCAATACTTCCTTATAGTTTCTTGGCTCATACCATACACTACACACTTTAACTTTACCAGCACAGAATATCTGTCAGGTGGAATTTCCATGTTCCATCGCTCTGACCTGCGTGGCATTGACTGCGTTTTGTGTTTCAACCCTCTCTTGCTTCATATCCGAGTCATCATCAACTCCTTTTCCTGCTCTTTTTCAGTTTCTCCTCCCTGAACGCTGACACCATCACTAAGTGAGTTACAATCACTAAGTGGGTCACCATCACTTAGTGAATCATTCCAAAGATTGGCATCAATTCTGTTCCAATTTTGCTCTGCAAAGCTAGCAGACCTGGAAATCACTATTCTTTTGCTCCCATCGCTAAAACAATAGCTCTTTGAGCCAGGCTCATAGCCCGTAAACCTGAGCTTTCCAGCCTTTGGTTGTCCCTTTCTCCTAATTGCCTGTGGAATATGCACTCATGCATTGCTTCCAAAAACCCTTAAATGTGCCAGAGATGACTTTCTCCCATATAGCACTGCATGTGGAGTATCATTAATAGAGGAACTCCACAGCCTATTGGTTAAATAATTAGCTGTCAACATGGCTTCACCATGACCTGCTCAGACCAGAATCCTCCAGCAGTGATTCCTTCATGGTTTGTAAGATACCATTCTGTCTCTCAACCACGCCATTCTCAGCTGCTGTGTACGGATTTGTGCATCTGTGTTTTATACCTAACTGTCCCAACCACTGCTGAAAACTTGCTGACATTAATTCTGAACTTGCAGCTGATATACCTGCTGTTTATATCTACGAAGCTTACCCATTGCTTAAATTTCTCTAGCACCTCTATTTTACTCTTTAGTAAATAGCAGAACCCAAACCCGCTTTAGTCATCTACAATGATCAGAGCATACTTTGCTCCTCCCAAACCGGTTTGCATTGGCCCAACCAAATCTGCATGTACCAGCTCTAGAGCTGTTGTTGGTCTGCCTTGTGCTACTCCTGCTTACAGGGAATGCCTTGGACTTTGATGATTTACATACTGCACAGTCCAAGTACGCCTTACACCCTTTTAAATTTAACCCTTCTCCAAACTGTTGCATCTTTTGCAAAACTCTGAAGTTGGCATGGTCAAGCTTTCTGTGCAAGAGATGAACACATGAATCATGTTGTGCCACATTTCCAAATGTTTGGGCACATTGAACCTTTTGTCCCTGCAACACACATAAAGATTATCCTGTTTTATGCCCTATGCACATAGATTCCCATTTCTCTTTATGAGACACCTCCCATTTGCAAATGTGGTCTCAAACCCTTTTTGGTCTAGACTGGAGACACTCAGTAAATTATGGTCCATTTCAAGCACACACAATATATTCCACAATATGTTGCTAAATGTTTCTTTCAGACATGGAATCACCACATTGACTTTTCCAGTGACTTTAGCCTTCTGGACATTTGCTAAGGCTACTGCATCTCCTCCAGCTGGATCCATTCTGAAAAGCAATTTAGAATTATTAACAATTGTTTCAGTAGCCCCACTGTCTATTAACCATTTGTCTCTGCTATTACAATAGCTAACTTTTGCAATAGCAACTTGTCCATCTGTTGTTGTTTTTCTTTGCAAACAGTCTTTCTTTAAATGAGTCTTATCATTACAGATGAAGCATCGCCTTTGCTGTTGCTGTTCTGTCTTTGTAGAAAATCTTTGCTGGATGTAATCCGATCTCTTCTGATACTCTGGTCTTTGCAGACATCCTGTCTGTTGCTTTTCTTTCTCTGCTCCTTGGGCCCCCACTTCAGGAATACCTCCTCGTGGCTTTTTCTAAAATGGCGTTTGTTCTTTAAGGGCTTCCATTCATAAGTCCTATTCTGGTTTGCACTCAAAAACAACTGAAACAATGTCCCATGTTTCATCAAGACTATTTACACCAACAGCACCTTCTGAGATACAGGAATCTGCATGTCACACTGTTCCAACTCAATAAATAAAGTTTGCATTTTCACCAAATGCTTCTCCACAGTCTCATGTGGCTCTAGCCGGGCTCTGTACAATTGTCTCGATAATTGCACAATATTGCATGCTGATGCACTTACATACGCACTGCTTAATTTCAGCCAGACCTCCTTTGCAGTCTTTAAATTAGCTACATTCAGGAATTGTTCATCTTCTAAACTTAAGATGATGTAGGCCAGTGCCTTATCATGCTGCCTTTGATCTGCTGTTGGTAATGGCCTCTGGGATGGATTAACAACAATATCCCAGAGCTCCTCAGCCCTCATGAAGCATTCTATTTTTGCAGCCCAAATAATATAATTCTTCTGTCCAATTCGAGGCAGAGAATTCTCCATGAAATCAACAGCTATCTTGCAAGCCTTCTCAGTTTTGTTCTCTTTTACTTATAATGCAGGTTGTCCTTCAGCTTAATTACAGTTCAGTCTTAGTGTGTGCTTGGTGTGCTCTGGGCCTATAACCTGTTAAGAGTTTGCCGCACTCCAACCAGCACACAAGTAAATAATTCAGCAGTATTCATTTATATGAGAAACTTCTGTATATACAATAATATAAAGCATGATGCAATACAATACCCATGCAGCAGAAAGCAGAACTCAGAAGACAGAAACACAGAAGCTATATATATAGAGGTTATATCTCAAAGACAAAGCAACTCTTATATACAAATCAGTCAAGCTAAGCCACGCCCAGGCTCCGAGCCATCTGGGTCACCAAACAGTCCCCATTGGCTGACCTGTTACCATGTCTATTCCAATTCATGAATTCTCATACATTGACAAATTCGCTGACGGAACGGCGGAAATTCCAGCACGTCGTGGCTCAATCCTCCCTGAGTTTAAAACCCGCTCAGGATAAACAAACGTCAATCATCCAAGAAATAGGGGAAAAAATATAAATAATAATTAAATAAACTAAAAAAGAAAACAATGAATCAAAATGATGGACCATTAGAGTCTTTTGCCGTCGGTTTTCTGTGTTTCTTCCATTTGGGGAGTGGGCTTTCAAGGAACAATTGATACGGGAGGGGGTCTTGGGAATCCCCTGGCTCATTTCCAGTAAGTCCGCCTTCCCATGTCTCTGCTGTGGATGATGGGTGATGTTTTCCTACCAGAGTTTCTTTAAAACAAATTAGCGCATTGGTTATTCCAGGGTCCTACGGTCACCCCAAAGGGGTTTTCCCTGTTGAACTTCTGCCTGTCCAAAGCTGCCAAGAATCACACCAAAGTCCATTCCCCCCCCAAAAAAAAATTAGGGTTGGGATGCTCTATTTTAGGAAAATAAAATGAAAAATTAAACCCCACCCCACCCCCGGTACTTATATCTTCGGGAACCCTCAAGGCATCCATCCATTCGAAGGAAGAATTCGACAGCAGGTCGAACGTGATTGGTTAATTACCACTCTAATGGCAGAAAGCGAAGAGGAACTAAAGAGCCTCTTGATGCGGGTGAAGGAAGAGAGTGCAAAAGTTGGCTTGAAACTCAACATTAAGAAAACTAAGATCATGGCATCCGGCCCTCTCAATTTCCTGGCAAGTAGATGGGGAAGAAATGGAGGTAGTGACAGATTTTATTTTCCTGGGCTCCAAGATCATCACAGATGGGGACTGCAGCCAAGAAATTAAAAGATGCTTGCTCCTGGGGAGGAAAGCTATGGCAAATCTAGACAGCCTACTAAAAAGCAGAGACATCACCCTGCCAACAAAAGAGCGTATAGTCAAGGCGATGGTTTTCCCAGTTGCAATGGATGGCTGTGAAAGTTGGACCATAAGGAAGGCCGAGCGCCAAAGAACTGAGGAACTTGAACTCTGGTGCTGGAGAAGACTCCTGCGAGTCCCTTGGACTGCAAGGCCATCCAACCGGTCAGTCCCAGAGGAAATCAACCCTGACTGATCTTTAGAAAGCCAGATCCTGAAGAGGAAACTCAAACCCTTTGGCCACCTAATGAGAAGGAAGGACTCCCTGGAGAAGAGCCCAATGCTGGGAACGATGGAGGGCAAAAGAAGGAGGGGACGGCAGAGAATGAGGTGAATGAGGGATGGTAGAGGACAGAAAGGCCTGGAGGAACATTGTCCATGGGGTCACGATAGGTCAGACACGACTTCGCAACTAACAACAACAACATCACTGGGACGTACTGAGGACTAGCAACTTGATTGTATCTGTCTGGATAGATGTCTATCCAGGAAAAGTGGACGCGGTGCGGTGGAGTCTTCGGGGCAAATGGTAGCCCCAAGATTGTGCCCAAACCATCTTGCAAAACACATTCTTTTATTTCTTAGATAATTTATTAGATATTTATATATATATATATATTTAATCCCAACTTTAATACTTTACAAGGAACTCAAAGGTGGCGGATATACATAACATTTCTTCTTCCTCCTATTTCCCTCACAACAACAACCCTGTGAGGTGGGTCAGGCTGAGAGAGAGGAAGTGGTCAATGTTACCCCCCCCCCAAACTGGCTTGTGGGCCTGGGGTAGGACTCAACTCACTGCCACCTGATGATTGGTCCAAAGTGACCAGCCGGCTTTCATGCCTCAAGTGAAACTAGAACTCCACAATCTCCTGGTGGTTGGTTCAAAGACACCCAGCTAGCTTTGGTGGTTAAAGCGGGACTAGAACTCACCATCGCCTGGTGATTGGCCTAAAAGTCACCAAGAAGGATTTCATGTCTGTGTCAGGACTAGAACTCGCCGTCTCCTGGTGATTGGCCTAAACGTCACCCAACTGGCTTTCCTGTCTTTGAAAGAACTAGAACTCCCAGCCTCCTGGTTTCTAGGCCAAGCTCTTCACTCCTAGAGCAAATTAGCTTGGCAACCAGCAGTCCCTTCTCCCATTTCCTTTTCTTTTGAGACTTCTGACCCGCCCGATTTCAAAAAGCTCAACTTAGCCTCACAGCTAGAAGCTGAAAGCAAAATAGGTTAAAATATTCAGAACCAAACCAGGAATATCCTTCAACCCTGAATTCTCCCAGGCCAGCCAATGCCAGCCAACCTAAAAGAGTTTCGACTCGTACAATGCTAGCATTCCAAGGCTTCCCTGAGGCCATCTAGTCCAACCCTTTCTGCTCAGGGCATGAATTTAACCTGAAACATCTCCGCCAGGATGCTAAAATGATTCTCCCCAAAGGCTGCCTCCCATTCATTGTCACGAATTGTGACTATGGAGGTTCCACACTTATATTTTGGGTCAGACAATGGTTTTCAATCTTGGCCACTTTAAGATTGGTGCACTTCAACTCCCAGAATCCCCCAGCCACCGCGCTTTAAGGGGGCGGACTCCAACTCCTAGAATTCCCAGTCAGCGTGCTTTTATAAGAGAGAACTTCAACTCCCAGAATCCCGCAGCCAGTGTGTTTTAAGAGGGCTGGGCTTTAACTCCCCTTGCTGGCTGGGGGATTCTGGGAGTTGAAACCCACCCCGCGTAAAGTAGCCGAGCTTGAGAAACACCTGTTTAATGGGGTATTTTGACCCTCTTTCTCCTGCACCCTAGATCTGCTCACTCAGAAAGAGTCTTTGAGGGGTGGGAACGGACATGGGGGAGAGTTTGGAGACCCTGGCCCAGGGGTGAAATTCACTTACCTTCCCTACCGGTTTGCAAATTTGCTCGTGTGCGGCAGTGGCGCACATAGGCAAAACCTTCTGCACATGTGCAGAGTCTTAAAATCATCGCAAAAAAGCGACATCATGACATCCGCGCAAGTGGGAGAAGCCTCCCGCAGCCACTGCTACCGGTTTGCCTGAGCCGGATAGAACCGGCTGAATTTCACCCCTGCCCTGGCCCCAATTCTGCCAATATCTTGTAGGATCTCCTACACAGCGGCGGAGGGGAGCGGGACAGGACGCAACTGCCCCCCACCCAATTGTTAAACCCCCTCCCCTCCCTTGCAAAGAAGCTATGGAAGAGCAGCCAGAGGGTTCACTTAGTGCACCCACCCCTCCCCGGTGGGAGAATGGAAAGTCGCTTTTTGGGACCCTCCAGTGGTGGGATTCAAATCATTTAACAACAGGTTCTGTGGGCGTGGCTAGGTGAGCGTGGCTAGGTGGTCATGTGACTGGGTGGGGCATGGCCAACTCTTCGCCCAGCAGCGGGGAGGGAGAGGGAGAAGTGGGTAGCGGCGACCGCTAGCATTGTCTATGGAGCTAGCAGGAACAGCAGCACACTGGAATGCTGCCTCCTTCTCCCTCTCCCGCCCGGCTGCTAGGCAATCCCATGTGAAAAAGGGAATGGCAGCTTTAGCAAAGGAATAAAAACTGATTTTGCTGCTTCCCCTTGGCTAACGCTCAGTGAGGGAGAAGTTGCTCTGCCACGAACTGGCAGAGACGGGCGGTGAGGGACGTGCCCGAGCGATGCTCCTGTGCTGATAAAACCTTCCCTTCCCCTGTGGAAAGATTGGGGCCTTTTTACTTCATCCTAGGCCAAGAGGATGCTCCGGGCGCAGGTCGCCATCAAAGGTATGGGCAGCCCAGCTCTCAGCTTCTGCTGGCCCTCCAGGTGGCTGCCACCCATTCGCCCTCCCCTCTGCCTCAGATCCTGCTGCTCACAACGGGGAACACACTTTCAGGCCAGCCTGGCCAGTGAGTGGGCAAACCGGCGGCCCACTCTGCACCTGCTTCTCTGTCGTTGTCAATGGGCCCGGACCATACCTTGGGTGCCACCAGCTGGCACTAATATACCGTGATGAAGCCCCCCCCCCCAGAAATGGGCAGCGCAAAGGCAAGTCGCACTTCGCTCTTGCACACTTTGGTATTCGGTACCCCACCCGCGCCATCCACACCCCTTGCCGCCACAGCACCATTACGTTTAGGGAACTGCCTCAAAGATCACACAGCAAGAGAAAAGGCATCTGTGTGTGCTACCACTGCCTTCCAGACCGGCCTTGGAAAAGCCTGCCCTCACAATTGGACTCCCTTTCTTTCAGCGCTCACGCGAGGAACCCTGGAGCTTAGTGGCAGTATATTGCATGCCTTAACAAGCCCGTCAGTGGCCTCAGTGTGGCTCTAAGTCTTAAAAACTTTGGGTTCTCGTACGAGTGCTGGGAGAAAGCGCTCGTGCGAGAAAGGGAGTCCGATTGTGAGGGTAGGCTTTTCCAAGACCGGTCCTAGAGGGAGACAGAGATCAGTGCGCCTTTCCTCCCCGTGGCTCTAATTCTTCGTGATCTTTAGATGGGCACTTATTTTGTCAGCCCAATGGCGGGGTGGGAGGGGGAGAGAAGGGGCTCAGAATGGTATGTAGGAAATCTGTCTCTGCAGCATCCGTTGCTTTCCATCAGGCAGGCAATGAGGCGGCAGCGGCAGGCAAGCGTGCTAGGCCTCGGAGACCACAGGGATGGCAGCGGGGAAGGCAGGCAAGCTGGCTGTGTGACATGAGAGGCAGCTAGGCCGGGATTAGGGCCTTGCTGCTTGCAGTCACTTACCCCGGCAGATCAGGGCAGGTCAGCTGGGCCGTGCGGAGAGCGCTGCATGGGATTCAGCCATGCGGAAGGCAGGCAAGGTGGCTGGGTGACGTGGGAGGCAGCTAAGCCGGGATTTGGGCCTTGCTGCTTGTAGACTCATCCAGGCTGCCTGGCAGATCAGGGCAGCTCAGCTGGGCCATGCAGAGAGCGCCATGTAGGATGCAGCCGAAGGGAGGCAAGCGGGCTGGCCCTCAGAGACCATGTGGTCAAGGCAAGCGAGGGAGCCAGACAGAGAGCAGTAGCAGCTATGCCGAGCAAGCAGGCAAGGTGAGGAGTGACTGGGCGGGGCGGGGTTGGGCGGGGCAGGGCCAGCACAGAATTTTAACAACCAGTTCGTCCGAAACGGCCCAAACCAGCTGAATCCCACCACTGGGACCCTCCCTCAGCAGTGCCTCATGGGTTATGTTGCTCATGAGACCCCAGCGTCCCCGGAGCAGCTTTGGCTGCCAGGGATGCACAAGGGACAGGGCGCTCCCGCCATGCCGGACCCCTGCCCAAGCCCCACGGGGAAGGAGACTGCCCCCCAAAAAGCAGATCGACCACCCAACGGTTCCTCCGGAACGGGCCAGGCAGGGGTCTCCTTCGCGGGGTGCCGAGGTCAGATAGGATGGCGAGTTGTGCCTCAGCGAAACGCAGTGGTCGGGCACGAGCCGCCTCGAGCACAGCGGCTTTGTCGGCCGAGCGTAGCAGGCGAAAGAGCAGCGGGCGTGGCTTGGCGGTCGAATCCTGGCCATGGACTCTCCGGGCACTCTCGATCTCCAACGCCGGCACTCCTGGCGGCCAGCCCAATACCTCTGGCAGGGTCCGTCGGAGGAAGGATACCGGGTCGCCTCCTTCAACCCCCTCGGGCAAACCCAAGAGGCGCAGGTTCAGACGGCGGGAGCGGGTCTCTAGAACCCGGCAGCGGCTCTCCAGGCGCCGGGCATACTTTGCCAGGCGTCGGTTTTCCAGGTGCAGCGCGGCCAGCTCCAGCGCCCAGCCCCGTGCCTCCTGCTCCAGCCGCCAGACATGGCTCTGAAGGCCAGACAGGTCCCGGCAGAGGCTGCTCACATCGGCAGCCAGGCGGCCCAGCTGTTTAGAGAGGAGGGGCTGTGCGACCCCCAACTCAGCCTCGTGGGTGCAGTGACAGAGCCGGGCCACTTCGGGATGCCTCTTCTTTGCCTCTGGTCCTGAATTTGGAGCCGGGGGACTCCCCTTGTCTCTGGCTGCAAAAAGGAACAGGAGAGAATCAGTGTGAGACCCTCCCCTTTGTCTCTGGTGGGACTTCATCAATCAATCAATCAATCGTAATAGAGCTGAAAACAAGCTCGGAGGCCATCTAGTCCAACCCTCTGCTCAAGCAGGAGACTCTTACCGAATAACAGAGTTGGAAGGGACTTTTGAGGTCTTCTAGATGCAGCATTCCAGGGGTGGCCTTACTAAGGCTTTACAAAGTGGTGCTAACACTTCACGTGATTTTGGTTCTATGCCTCTGTTTATACAACCCAGGATTATGTTAGCTTTTTTGGCTGCCACCGCACATGGCTGGCTCATGTTTGTTTGCTTGTTTGTTTGTTTGTTTGTTTGTTTGTTCGATTTAGATGCCACCCTTCTCCGGAGACTCAGGGCGGCTTACAATGCGTTAAGCAATAGCCTTCATACTTTTGTATATACCTGCTTAGTAGGGCTTTCGGGCCCCCCCCAAGCGGTGTTCTTTTTTATACAAAGTCAGCTTATTGCCCTCACAATCCGGGTCCTCATTTTACCTACCTCGGAAGGATGGAAGGCTGAGTCAACCTTGAGCCTGGTGAGATTCGAACTTGCAGTAATTGCAGGCAGCTGGTGCTACTTAACAGCACTTTAGTCTGCTGCGCCACCAAGGCTGCGGCACCAAGGTTTAAGGAATCGTTCACCAGGATTTCAAGGTCCCTCTTGCAGTTACTATTTTTGAGCCAGGATTTAAACCGGAATCCCCCAACTCGATGTCCCTCCCACCCCACCATATTAGTGGCACAGTAGTCTCACCTGAGAGGGTGGGCTTCCATCCAGGGGTTCCCATCCTGAACCCCTGGTTCTCCCCCCAAAAGAGGCAATCTTATTTAAGTGCAAAATGCCATTTCACTCCCAATTTCCCCCCACCCACCCACCCCACTTTTCCCTGGCAGGGGGTGGGGACTCAGCCTTGCCAGGGACTTCAACTCCCATCTATGCTTCCCAGCTTTTATTCAATCTCTGCCCTCCTCACCCGTCGCAGAAGCTCTTCTGGCGCCCATCCGAAACGAAACCGAGGGACTCCACCTGGGAGGGTCACTCTGCATATGTGCAGAGGTCCTGGTGTTCAGAGAACAGGAATGGCCATTCTGCTGGGTCCCCCGTGTTTCCATGTCAGAGATGGGGGAGCTGGAGGCCACAGCACCTATAGAGAAGCCAAGAGACTCAGTCTGTTGTGGCCTGCCAGCAGCCAGCAGAGCTGACAGCAGAGTGGACAGTGAGGAGGTTGGGGAGGAACATGGGCCAGTCCTGGGGGGGGCTGGGGAAAGCTCGGACGAGGGCTCTGCGTCAGAGGCAGAGAGGGAGATAGACAGCAGTGAGGCAGAGGAACAGCTGGAGCCTGTTCCCAGTTTGCACATGCGCAAAGCTGCCAGAAGACAACTAAGAAAGCAGGGTCGACTTGGGAGTAAAGCCACACCTTGGAGATGATTGGCCCCTCCCATAGGAAACAAAAGAGGAGTGAACGGGGAGGGGGCTTTTGCAGGAAACATTTCATTCGTTCGATCGTTTCAAGAGTGGAAAGTTCTGTTCGTGCCTCTAAGAGACTCTGTGCCAAGTTTTGCCTTACACTGTGTTTGGAAACAAGTTACGTGGCAGCTTGCCAAACAAGATAAGGTTTGTGTTGATAAATATTCCTTTGAAAAACTGTTTGGACAGGCCTTGCTGACTGTGAATGAAAGTAATTCACAGTCGTGTAAATAAAAGAGGTTTTGCTGGGACCAAGACTCTGCTTCCTGCTTTATCCCCCAGCCAGAATGCTTTAAGAGGGGAGGACCTCAACTCCCAGGATTCCCCATGTTTTAAGAGGGAGGACTTAAACTCCCAGAGTCCCCCAGCCAGGTGTGCAACCCTATCTCACTGGAGATGCAGCCTCCAAGACTCACCTTGCCAGGATTTCTTCTTGCAATGGGCTGCTTCCTCTTCTTCTTCCTCCTCCTCCTCCTCCTCCTCCTCTTCCTCCTGGGTGTGCCTGGATTCTCTGGGCCTCTTCCTGGCCGAGGAGGGGCAAGGACTGGGGGTGCTTGGGTAGGTGATCTCCTTGAGGCACCTGAGCAGACCCTGGAGAGGGCTACTTCTGGTCCCCCCCTCTGGGCAAAGAAAGACACCATCCTGCGAATGGCTAAGGCAGATTAGAGTCCACGCCTCCCCTTGCCAAGTCCTTCCGGGAAAACTTTGCCCAATATGGCAGGAGCACATTGGCACCCTCTCCCATCTGAAGGGAAGTGGGATTTGAACTCGGGGCCCCGTCCTCTAATAGGAGTTCAGAGTTGAACTGGGTGGGGGGTCCCTGGGGGGTCTCTGAGCTGGGTTGTTTTCTTGCAGATGATTCATGACCCAGCTAGGGAATGTCATCAGTGCTAGAAGGGAGGAGGAGGTGGAGGTGGAGGTGGAGGAGGAGGAGGAGGAGGGGGGAGCTATGGGTCCTTGGTGCTCTCTGAGCTTGGTGGTTTTCTTGCAGACATTTCATGACCCAACTAGGTAACATCATCAGTGCTAGAAGGGAAGGAGGGCTTGAGAGGAGGAGGAGGAGGAGGAGGAGGAGGAGGAGGAGGAGGAGGGGAGGAGGAGGAGGAGGAGGAGGAGGAGGAGGAGGAGGTTTCCCTGCAAACATTTCATAACCCAACCAAGTCGCATCATCAGTCTCAGCTGAGGCTGCCTACCTTTGTCTCCAGGCTGTCGCTGGACCTGGTCTTCTCCCGGACTCCAGCCTATGTCTCCTTCAGGTGTCCCATCCCGGGAATTGTGGCTTAGGGGGCTGGAACATGTTGGGGTCTGGTCTGGTGCTGTGTCTCTCGGGCTCTTCTGCCGCTCACAGGTGAAGATCTTGTTGGCAAGAACTGTGCCAAGAAGAAGGAACTCCGGTGAAGAACATAGGGTAGGTGGCTACCATGGTTGGACACCCCAAATCTCAAAGATGGTTCCTTATTCCAGAAATCCTCAGAGGTCACACCCATAGTGGTTATTTTAGGAGTAGATTAGATCTAGGAAGGTTCTCCATCTACTCCTCTGATGGGTGGACGATATGAGTCAAAACGATTGGTTTGGACTGACTTCTGACCTGGTTTGGTTCCCTTCCAGGCTGTGAGAGTCAATCATGAGACGTTCAATTAAGTTTCCTTCTGGAAACTTCCTTCTCCTTACTCTACTTTAGGCCACCTGAGATTTGCCCGTCATTATCCAAGGGGTCCAAGAAGATACCAAGGAAGGAACAAGAGGGCCCCTCCAACAGCCAACCAAGATCTCCCAGACTCTGATAATCTGCTCCATTCACTGGAGGTTTTCAAGAAAAGATTCGACGATCAAACATCTGGGGTGGAAGAAGGACCTCCTGCTTTGGACAGGGAGTTTGTCTAGAAGACCTCCCAGCTCCCTTCCTGCCCTAGGATTCTATCATCTACACTTTGGCTGCTGTGCAGAATGCTTTCTTCCTGCTCTCACCCTTGAGGTTCTCCAAAAAAATCTCCCTCTCCCAGAAAACCAGGATCCTCCCCACCAAGATCCTGGTTTAAGTCTCCAAAGAGGTCAACTCATTGTCATAAAAGTCACCTCCATGTTACGTACGTGCGGAAGGTGGCCCATCTTCCCTTCCTTCGGATGCTCTGGATGTCAAGTCTTGCGGAGCTCTGGAGTGTCGTAGAGGGTGGATGGAGGGAAACATCCGCTTGACATCTGCAGTGTCCTTTGTGTCCTTCTCTGGGTTGCCACGGAGAGAGGCAGAAGATGCTTCATCACCCCGGTCGGCAAAGTTGGCCTCTTGCATGTAGGGTAACTGCTCTTCCTCTTCTGCAGGAAGTTGAGCGGATGGACGCTTCCTCTTGGCCTTCATCATCACCTTCGGCCCTACAAGAACATCCCTCTCGGATCCTGGGAACATGTATAGAAAGTCGAGAAACCATGTTAGCGGGAAGAGTCCAAAATGGAAGGTCTCATGTCTGATATTCTGGACTTGAGAGATCTTTGATTCAAGAGGTTCATCTGGATCAGGGTCCCCAACCGCATGAGCCACGGCCTGCTCCCAGGCTGCGGCCCGTTCTGAACCAATCCACACAAGCGTTGGAGGAGCGCGCACACAGCTCCGATTGTGTGAGTGACGGTTGTGCAAATGGAGCTGCACAGGCTCGCATGCGTGCCGCTACTTCTGTGAAAACCTATCCCTTCTTCCTCCTCCCGTCCGCCGCCACTGCTGGTCCACAAAGCCAGAAGGGTTGGGGGCAACGGTGAAATCTGGCTGGTTCTATCCGGCTTGCGCGAACCGGTAGCGCTGGCGGCAGGAGGCTCCGGGTTGGGGGACCATGGATCTGGTCAGCTTCTACTCCCACTCCTCTTAAACATCCGGGACTTCCCCAAGCATACCTGGCAGCTGATGCCGACCTTGGCCCCCGTCCCACCAGGTTGAACTTCCTGGGCTCTGCTGGTCCCTTTCGGTTTCACTGCAGCTGGAGGAGGAGGAAGAAGAGGAGGAGGAGGAGGAGGAGGAAGAGGAGAACGCGCTCGGCGGGTTGAGATAACTTGGGCGTTGTATCGGGATTTCCTTCAGGCAGTTCATCAACCGGTGGAGGGGAGAATTTTCAGCAGCCACTTCCGAAGCAGAGGCGCATGGTGGAGGAAGGCTCCCTGTTGGGAAAGAGAGAGAGATGGACCTACATTGGTTCTGAAAAGGAGGATGAAGCTGGGTGGCTTGACTGCATATCGAAGCCAAGCTGTGTCCTCTCCAAAATATTGGTCTAATCTGTTGCAGCCCCACAATCACATCATAAAGAATTCTTATCTGTCTATCTATCTCTGTCTATCTCTGTCTATCTTTGTCTGTCTGATCAATCTATTCACCCATTGTATCTATTGCATCTATCATCCATCAATCCATCCATTGCATCAGTTTGTCAATCCGTCCATTGTATCATCCATCGATCCATCCATCACATCTATTCATCAATCCATCCATCCATTTTATTTATCTTCCATCTATCTACAGTATCTATTCGTCAATCAACCTATCTATAGTATCTATTCGTCAATCAATCCATTGTATCTATCATCCATCCATCAATCCATCCATCGTATCTATCATCCATCCATCCATCAATCCATCCATCATATCTATTCATCAATCCATCCATTGTATCTATCATCCATCAATCCATTGTATCTATCATCCATCCATCCATCCATCCATCCATCAATCCATCATATCTATTCATCAATCAATCCATTGTATCTATCATCCATCCATCAATCCATCCATCGTATCTATCATCCATCCATCCATCCATCCATCCATCCATCCATCCATCCATCCATCAATCCATCCATCATATCTATTCATCAATCCATCCATTGTATCTATCATCCATCAACCCACCCATTGTATCTATTTGTCAGTCCATCCATTGTATCTATTCATCAATCCATCAATCGTATCTACTATAATCCATCAATCCTTCCACCCATTGTATCTATAATCTATCCATTTCAATCTGTCTGTCTGTCTGTCTGTCTGTCTGTCTGTCTGTCTGTCTAATCAGTGGACTTCAACTGTGGAGTTGTAGTTCACACATCTGAAGATGGTTAAGGCTGTGAAATGCTGGTTTGTTGCACCTCAAGAGCTGAGGAAGACGGCTTGAGGGCAACCTCCGAAGAATTCCATCTTCCTGCCCACATATCCAGCCTCGATTCTCTAGTCATCACAGAGGACCAGAATCTTGGTGATAACCATTAGGCCAAGCTCTCAATGACCTCCGGAACCAGATCTTCTCCCAGATTCCCTCTTTACCTGCAGACCACGGCCTTGGTGAGTGAGCCTCCTCCGTTCCTGGCCGCTTCGGAGTGCAGATGCTACGCCCTGCAGGGCTGGAGGCCACGAGGAAGTCTCTGTTCGGGGCAATCTCTTTCAGGCAATTTTCCAGGCCCTGAAGCGGTGGGACCCTGAGGGGGCTTCCTCCTGTTTGCAAAAGGTGAGTTGCTGCACACGGTTCACACACACACACCAGTGTTCCCTTTTGCAGGGCGTCCTTGTCTTACGATGGGTCGCTTAGCAACTGTTCCAAGTTATGACACCGCCCCCCCCAAAGGGTTTGTTAGATGATAAATAGATGTCAGAGAGAGAGATGATGATGCAAGAGAGAGATGATAGATGGACAGATAGAAAGACAAAGACAAAGATGAGAGATGAAAGAGAGATATGATGGGTGGATGGATAGATTAGATAGATAATAGACACAGAGATAGATAGATAGATAGATAGATAGATAGATAGATAGATAGATAGATAGATAGATAGATAGATTTAGGTGGGTGGGTGGGTGGGCGGATGGGTGGAGAGAGAGAGAGAGAGAGAGAGAGAGAGAGAGAGAGAGAGAGAGAGATGATGGATGGATGGATGGATGGATGGATGGATGGATGGATGGACAAGAAGGATTATAGCTGAGCTCAAGTGGATCCTTCCTTCTCTGCCACCCATAGACACTGTGGTAACAGAACCGAGAACACCCCAGAGGAGCATTCCCAGAAGATTGGACTTCCTCCCCCTTTCCCCACCATCAAAGCATCCCACTGGGGAGTGTGGGGCACGGAGCTACTTCTCACCTCCCTCCCTTCTGGCCCACGGCACTGGCTCTGGTGTCCACTGGCGGAGTCTGTCCGGCGAGCTGTGGATGGAGGAAGTGACGGCCGGGGACCATCGCTGGTTCTGGATGTCCTTCAAGCATTTCTCCAGGCCTTGCAAGGGGTTGCTGCTTTGACCGAGTCCTACAGAGTTGGGGGTCCTTAGGTCAGCATGGCAACTGGGAACCCACTAGACCTGAGCCCCCAACCCTCTCACCTTCCTCTGTCCTTGCCCGCTGCGTTGGCCCCGATGTCCATCTTTGGAAACCATTCGGGGAGCTGCTGATGGCCGGCGAAGAAGCCTGGTTGGGGGAACTCAATGGGGTCTCCTTGAACCCCTTCCTGAGGCTTTGCAAAGGACTCTGGGCTTGGCTGAGCTCTGTAGAAGACAAGTAGATAAACAGGCCAAGCTACCGTAGCCAAGACCAGCGGTGAAAGCCCACCACAGTTGTTGATCGTGAAGACTTTTGAGTTGGCTGCCAACTTCCCTCACTGTCATCCCTGCTCGAGATCCCAATCACAACCCTTGACCCACAGAGATGTTCGGCCAAAAGATGGACACCAAGATGTCCTGTCTCTTGAAGGGTCAGGGTCTACCTCGCTACCCCAGGCCAAGAAGAATCTCACCATCTTCCTTCCTCCTCCATCTGGCAGGTTCTGGAGTCCACCAGGGAAGACAATCTGGGGAGCTGCTGACTGATGAATTGACAACAGGGGACGCGGGCTGGATGTGGGTGCTCGGAGGATGCTCCTTTATGATTCCAAGATCTGTGAGGAACAGAGGAGGAACATCAGCAGAAGACCCACTGAAGGAGAATTGGGGCCAATGGGGTTGAAGTCCAGTCTCAAGGAAGGAACTTCCTTAGGTGACTTCTGGGCAATCAACCCAGCCTACCTCGCAGGGTTGCTGTTGTAGGGGAAAATGCCAATGGGACAATTGCTCCTGGAGTAAAGCTAGGGTAGATATCCAACAGACCAACTGAACAGACTCAATGGACAAGTTTTCAGAACAAGGGTTGTCCTCTGAAGATGTGAAACAACCCTGATGCCATTTTCTCCTAGGACCAAGGATTCATTGTGGGGTATGTGTGCTGTCTGAGGGCCAATCACCAGGAGACAGGGAGTTCTAGCCCCGCTTCAGGCAGGGAAGTTGGTTAGGTGACTTTGGACCAGTCTCATTCTCTCAGCTCAACCCAGCTCACAGGGTTGTTTGTTATTGTGGGGAAAATAGGAGGAGGAAAAGGTATTACGGATGTTCACCACCTCGAGGTATCAATACAATTAATAAAGCCAGGATATAAATGAGATAGATAGATGATAGATAAATAGATAGATAGATAGATAGATAGATAGATAGATAGATAGATAGATAGACAGAGAGAGCGAGAGAGAGAGATGATAGACAGAAGAGAGAGAGATAATGGATAGAGATGGATGGATGGATGGATGATGGAGATAGATAGATAGATAGATAGATAGATAGATAGATAGATAGATAGATAGACAGACAGATAGACAGAGAGAGAGATGATAGACAGAAGAGAGAGAGATAATGGATAGAGATGGATGGATGGATGATGGAGATAGGGAGATAGGTAGATAGATAGATAGACAGACAGACAGATAGACACACACACACACAGAGATGATAGAAGAGAGAGAGATAATGGATAGAGATGGATGGATGGATGATGGAGAGAGAAAGAGATGATATAGATAGATAGATAGATAGATAGATAGATAGATAGATAGATAGATAGATAGATAGACAGAGAAGAGAGAGAGAGAAAGAGAGAGAGAGAGAGAGAGAGATGATAGACAGAAGAGAGAGAGATAATGGATAGAGATGGATGGATGGATGATGGAGAGAGAAAGAGATGATAGATAGATAGATAGATAGATAGATAGATAGATAGATAGATAGATAGATAGACAGAGAGAGAGAGAGAGAGAGAGAAAGAGAGAGCGAGAGAGAGAGATGATAGACAGAAGAGAGAGAGATAATGGATAGAGATGGATGGATGGATGGATGGATGGATGGATGATGGAGAGATAGATAGATAGGTAGATAGATAGATAGATAGATAGATAGACAGATAGACAGAGAGAGAGAGAGAGATGATAGAAGAGAGAGAGATAATGGATAGAGATAGATGGATGGATAGATGGATGATGGAGAGAGGAAGAGATAATAGATAGATGATAGATAGATAGATAGATAGATAGATGAAAGACAGAGAAGAGAGAGAATGATAGGTAAGAGAAAGAGAAAAGATAGCTAGACTAGATGAGAGAGAGAGGGGAGGGAGGAAGGGAGGGAGAATGGATAGACAGATGATAGATAAAAACAGGCCACTGAACAAACTGGATCTTCAAGGCTTCTCCTATTGATGGAATTTACCTTCCTGCCCCATTGCCGTCTCCACTTTCCGCCCTGCCAGCTGTCTCTCGTGGGGCCCTTTGACATATCCCTGGGGCAGGAAGGACTGCTGAACTGCCTTTTCCATGAGACCGGCTTCTGATCCTTGGGGAGGACAAGTATCGGATGGAGGGCCTGGCAAGAGACAAGGAAAGGAGCAAGAGGCAGGCAGGCCCTGGGTTCAAGAGTTGCCCTCCATGTCGAAGGGACCTAGCGTTGCTTTCAAGCTCTGGTTGAAGACGCTGCTCCCCAGGTCGCTTAAGGGACCCTCCTCACTCAACCCGGGGCTCTCGGGTGCTTCTGTGTCTCTCTTTGGGAGCCAAAGATTAAACCAACCTGATTTACAGATTGGCAACTGCCCGTATGATGGGATGATGGGATGGGATGATGGAAGTTGGAACACACATGTTTGGGAAAGAGTGAGATGCATGGCTGAAATTTGGAAATGTGGGATGGAATGGACCTCCCTATGTACGTTCTACCTATCTCGGAGTCCTCCAACCTTGGTTGAATTGAAGGTGAGTGAACTTCAACTCCCAGAATTCTCATCAATGGCTACTGTGGAATTCTGGGAGCTGAAGTCCACCTTCCTGGAAACTGCCAAGGTTGGGGAACCCTTCCCTTGTTATCTGGTCATCATCTTCTCCCAACCCCTGGCCTACCAAAGCGTCCTTGTCTTCCTCCTCTTCGTCTCTCCTTCTCCCCAGTTGCTCCTCGTTTCCCCGGCAAGATTTGGGGGGGTGGCGGTCTCGGCACAGGGATGTCCTTCAGGCAGTTGAGCAAGCCATGGAGAGGACTGGTGGCCGGGCTCCACTCTGGGAGAAGAAGGAAGGAGGAAGGAGGAAGGGAGGAAGAGGAGGAAGAGGAGGTGATGGTCAAAGTAGATCTTGGTATCAGCATCGGACAACCACCCTTGGAACCTGTCCTTCAGGGATGGGAATTGGAGAAGCTCTCCCTTTGTCCCTCACTATAGACACCTAGGCTGGGCAGGGACCTCTGAACCAGCTCCTTCCTTCCTTCTCCAACATCTGATCTGGGTTTGGCTTCCCTTCCGGACTTCCTAGGATTGAAACTCCCAACACTTCCTGCTTCTTCTCTGAGCTACCTATGTGAGGTTTCCCACTGCCTGCTGAAGTGTCTCTTTCTACGTCTTTGACCCCCAAAATGCCCTCTACCCTAATTCAGCTCAGATGTTCTTCTTGCCATCTCCAGGTCAACCTTGACTTTTTCTTCACCTCCTCAGGTCAATCTTGACTTCTTCATCTCCCCAGGTCAACTCTGACTCCTTCTTCACTTTCTCAGGTCAACTCTCACTTCTTTTTCACACACACACACACACACACACACACACACACACACACACACACACGTCAACCTTGACATCTTCTTTATCTCCCCGGGTCAACCTTGACTTCTTTTTCATCTCCCCAGGTCATCCCTGACTTCTTCACCTCCCTAGGTCAACCTTGACATCTTCTTCACTTATTCGGGTCAACTCTAACTTCTTCTTCCTCTCTCCAGCTCAACCTTGATGACTTTTTCATCTCCCCTATTCAACCCTGACTTCTTCACTTCCCCAGGTCAACCTCAACCTCAACTTCTTCTTCATCTTCCCAGGTCAACCTTGGCCACAATCATTCAAACACGGAATGCCTCCCCACCCACTAGAGGTGCCCCCCCCACACCCAGACTCTGCCCTAAACCGTCTTTGCCTTACCAGCCGAATACGGGACCCACAGTCCCAGCTTGGACCCGGGTGACAAGCTGCCCCTTGGATGGCTGAAGTGGTGGTAGCTCTTCTCTTCCAAGACGTCCTCGTGGCCTCGTAGGGGGTGCTCTTCCTCAGATTTAACTGGGGGGTGGGGTGGAGTAAAATGAAGGCATCTCTACTGCAGGGACTTGGAGAGGGGTGGAAGAGACTGTTTCCGTGCCACCCCTCCAGGTTGCCCCCCAAGTCTCCAGCCCTCCTGCTGCTGGTTGACCCCAAGGCCCTCCACGTCCATCTGCAGGTGGGCAGGGAGCAATGCTAGGAGGAGAAGGGGGACCGAGAAACAGACCATATGATGACCACATTTCCAACCAGCATGGGCTTTGAGCCACCTGGCTGGGAGGGATGGGCTTTGTAGTCCAAGATATTGAAAGGATGCCGACTGAAGGAAGGTTGGTCATGATTACTCTCATGGGACCCAGAACATTTCCAGTCCTGCCTGAAACACCCAGACATTTGCCGGCGAGGGGTGAGTAGCTCCTTTCCCTTCCTTTCTCTTCTCATCCTTTCTTCTCTTTTCTTTCCCTTCCTTCTTACAGTTCTCTTCCCCCTTGTTTTTCCTTCTTTCTTTCTTACCTTCCCCATCTCTCCTTCCTTCTTTTTCTTTCTCCTTCCTTCCTTCCCCATCTCTCCTTCTTTATTCCTTCCTCTCCCCTTCCCTTTTCCCATCCATCCTTTCTTCCATTTCCTTCCTTCTTCCTCCTTCCTTCCTTCCCTTTCTGCTATCTTTCTTGCCATTCCCTTACTCCTTCCTTTCTCTTCTCCTTACTCCTTTCTTCCTTCTCCTATCTCTGCTTCCTTCCTTCTCTCCTTCCTTCCCCATCTCTCCCTTATTTCTTTCCTTCTTTCTTTCCTTTCTCTCTCCCCCTTTTCTTACTTTATTCTTGCCTTCTTTCTCCCTTTCCTTCCTTCTTTCTCCCTCTCTCCCTTTTCTTTTTCTTTATCTCTCCTTTCTTTCTTTCTTTCCTTTCTCTCCCCCTTTTCATACTTTTTTCCTTCTTTGCCTTTTCTTTCCTTCCTTCCTTCCTTTCCCCCCTTTTCCTTTTTTTCCCTTTATATCTCCTTTCTTTCCTTCTTTCTTTTCTCCCCCCCTTTTCTTATTCTTTTTTCTTTCCTTCATTCTCTCTCCCCTGCCTTCCCCCTCTTTCTCCCTTTTCTTTCCTTTATCTCTCCTTTCTCTTTCTTTTCTTTCTCTCTCCCCCTTTTCTTACTTTTTTCTCTCCTTCTTTCTCTCTGTCCCTTCCTTCCTTCCTCCCTCCCTCCTTCTCTCCCTTCACTTCCCAACCATCTCCCCTTCTCCCAATGTTTCAGGTCATCCATGAAACTCAACCCCAAAATCAGACCTGGACGCTTACCGCGAACAGCCGAGATGCCGGATCGCTCTTGGGCTTTCTCTGGGCTTCCATTTTCACGGACAATCACCAATGCAAGATCTCCTTGGAGGTCCTGATGTGAGAAGCTGCTGGTCTCCTGCTCCATTTTGACTGCAGACACCCACAAATGCTGCCCTTAATTCTGGCTTTGCCAGAGACAAGAACAGACAGAAAAATCCCTTCCCTGCCAAGGGAGCCCCCTCCCCTCCGCAGCCAGGAAACTGCACCTAGCAAGATGGGATCTCTGATCGGCAGCCGCGGTGCCCCTGGCAACTCACGTACCTGCTGGGAAGTTGTCTTCCTCTTTTCCACCTGGGGAATTTACTCTCCTGCTTCCTTCAGGCTGGGGGATGGAGGGGTCCCCCCTGGTTGCCACAGAAGACCCAGGTCCTTCTTTGGGGTTGCAGACCCCCAGCTCTTCTCCGGAAGCTTCCGTCTTAACTGCAGGCAGGATCAATAGGTAACAGTAACAGAGTTGGAAGGGACCTTGGAGGTCATCTAGTCCAACCCCCTGCTCCCGCAGGAGAAATGTACTAGGGATTCGAACCGCCGAAAGGACGACCTTTCTGATCGACAAGCTCAGTGTCTTAGCCACTGAGCCACCTAGTCAGGTAGGAATTAAAATTTAGACACACGGAGATAAAAACCCAGCTGAGAAACCTGATGCCTTAATTCTAACAGTGACCGTGTGGGAAAGTTGAAAAGAGTTCATTTCGGCGGGCATGAGATCATTTTACAATTGTTTTATCATCATCATTATCATCATCATCATCATCATCTTTTAACGACCCCATAAATCCCTTGCGGGATGGAGTCTGGGCAACTGAATGGAGCTAGCAGAGTGTTTTAATGGCCGGATGCCCTTCCTATCACCAATGCAAAGTTTTGTTCAGCAGATATATTCTCATTTCCGGCAGGCCTGGGGCCGTTGATCTCGCTGCTGCAATCTTGCGAGACCCAGCCATGAATGGAGTGTATGGGTTTTTAATGTTTTTTTAAAACAACTTTTATGGTATATTGTTCGCATTATTTTTTGTTGTAAGCCGCCCAGAGTCCCCAGGGAGTTGGGCGGCATAGAAATGCAACAAATAAATAAATAAATAAATTGTGCCCAGAGAGAGAAATATCTGCCTCTACCTAGGATCAAACTCACAGCCTCCTGATTGTGAGCCGAGAGCTCCACCTCTAGGCCACCGCACCACTCTATCATTTTACAATTGTTTAACAATAACATATTCACACAGGTTTGTAAAAGAGGCCGGTGTCTCAACAATCCTAAGAGAGTCAAAACCTTCCACGTGCCCATGGTGAAAAGTTAAAAAATGTAGGCAGTCCTCGACGTACGACTACAATGGCGCCCACCAATTCTGACGCTAAGTGAAACATGGGTTGAAGGAAGGTTGCCCCAGTTGATGAACTTTCTTGCCAGGGGGGAACGACATCGGTGGATTTAGTTAGGAATCTGGTTGTTAAGTGAATCTCGTTTCCCCGTTGATTTTGCTGGTCAAAAAGTCGCAAACGGGAACTATGCGACCCTGGGACACTGCAACCGTCGTAAGGATGAATCAGTTGCCAAGGATATGAATTTTGATCATGTAGTTAGGGGGATTCTGCAAGTGTGAAAAACTCTGTTATTCTGAGGAGGGGGAGGGGAGGAGGAGAGAAGGGTCTTCTGCTTGAGCAGGGGGTTGGACTAGAAGACCTCCAAGGTCCCTTCCAACTTCTCTGTTATTCTGTCATTCTGTCATTTGGTTAGAACTATGTAATTCTGTTATTCTGTAATTCTGTCATTCAGTTATTATTCTGTAATTCTGTTACTCTCTTAGAGTATTTTGTTACTCTTCTGTTATTTGGCTATTCCGCTATTCTGTTATTCTGTTATTTTATTATTCTGTGCATGACTGCATCATTTTCCCTCCTGAAGTTTATAAATACAGTACGAGTACATCCTTTTGTCGGTAGGAGTCCGTGTTACTATTTTCTGGAGCGAAATTCCTGCAATGCACACTGAAAACAAAAATTAGGGTAGTGAGCCTTAATTACAGGGACTCCCCAACTTACAACAGTGCATTTAGTGATGGTTCAAAGTTACAACAGCACTGAAAAAAGGGACTAACAATCCTTTTTCACACTTAACAACATTCCCAGCAGTCACATGATCCAAATTCAGACGCTTGGCAAATGACTCCTATTTACGAAGGTCACACTGATCCCCTTTTGTGACTTTCGGGCAAGTGAAGTCAAGGGGAAAGCCGGATTCACTTAACAACTGGGTTACTGACATCACCCCTGCAGGGGACTCACTTAACCGCCGTGGCGAGAAAGGTCGTAAAATGGAGCGACAAAAAGTGTTTCGCTTAGCAATGGAAATGTTGGGCTCAGTTGTGGTCATAAGTCGAGGACCACCTTTATTTGTTTTGGGGAGGGGGCTGCGTTTGGTCCCAGAACAGAAGGTAGGTGTCTGAGGAGAATCAAAAATTCAGGTAAATTGTCCGTGAAGATCAAGACTTACCTTGGATGGATAACGAGTCACTCCTGCCTCCCCATCGCCCAAATCTGGGGGTCCGTGACTGCCTCCCTAAGGAAGCCTTGAGGGGAGTTTGGAGACCACGGCCGGACTGCAGGGTAACCAGATCCTTCAGGCACTTCAGCAACCCCTGAAGTGGGGGTTTCTCTTCGGACACTGCTTCTACAAGAGAGGAAGAAGCTGATAGAATTCATAAATAAATAAATAACATTATAAATGACTTAGATGAGGGAATAGAGGGGGAACTCATCCAAATTTGCAGATGACACTAAAATGGCAAGAACAGTCGACACCCCAGAAGACCAGCTTGGGATCCCAAAAGATCTGGACGGACGTGAACAATGGGCCGTATCCCAAAACAGGACATGTAATGTGGGTTTTATCCCACCGAGTTTCAGCAATTGCAACTGTATCCTCTCTAGAAACAAATAAAGATATAACTAGTAGCCACCATGGGTTTGTTAAAAACAGATCATCTTATTTAATTCTTTAACCAAGTGACTAAATTAGTAGACCAGCAGAATGCCACCGACATAGTATAGTTAGATTTCAGTAAGGCATTCGACAGAGTAGATCACAACCTACTTCTACTAAAAACCAGCACCAGTTTGTTAAAAACAGATTGTGCCAAATCAATCTTATTCTTTTCTTTTACCAAGTGACTAAAATAGTAAACCAGTGAAATGCTGCGGACGTAGTATAGTTAGACTTCAGTAAGGCATTCGACAGAGTAGACCACAACCCACTTCTCAGTCGGCTGGGAAAATGTGGAATAAACACCATCACCAGTAGGTGGAGTTGTAACTGGCTAACAAACCATACTCAACAAGTAGTCCTCAATGGTACTACGTCTACAAGTAAGCAGTGGGCTACCACAAGATTCTGTCTTAGGCCCAGGACTCTTCAATATCTTCATAAATGACCGATGAGGGAATAGAAGGAGATTTCATCCAAATTCGCAGATGACACTAAAATGGCAAGAACAGTTGACACCCCAGAAGAGAAGCTCGGGATCCCAAAAGATCTGGACGGATGTGAATAATGGGCCATATCCCAAAACAGGACATTTAATGTGAGTTTCATCCCACCAAGTCTAAGGAATTGCAACTATATCATCTCTAGAAACAAATAACAGTTATAACTAGTAGCCAGCAGCAGGAGTTCTCGACTTATGACAGGTCCTGGGGAGGTGGACTAGAAGACCTCCAAAGTCCCGCCCAACTCTGTTCTAATTCCTTTGTCCCTCTCCAAGTTTGTAAATGACAAACCTGGCCCCAACTTTGGAAATGCCTTGCGAGAACTTTTCGGAAGTTCCTTCTCAGCAATGACCTCGGACATCGTCTTTCTGTCCTCGGATGGGCCGTCAGCCTCAGAGATGCTTTGCAAAGGGCCTGGTGATGTGGGTTGCTCTGGCCCTCCATCCCCCCAGGAATGGGGTTGGTCCAGACAGCCGGAATCTGCAGAAGAGTGTTTACAACAAAGGAGGTGGATAGGATAGGATAGGATAGGGCAGGGCAGGGCAGGCGAGAAGAGAGACAAGGGAAGGGAAGGACAGGACAGAATAAAAAGAAGGATGCAGTAGGAGAGGAGGAGAGGAGGGAAGGGAAGGGAAGGGAAGAGAAGAGGAGGGGAGGGGAGGGGAGGGGAGAGGAGAGGAGAGGAGAGGAGAAGAGAAGAGAAGAGAAGAGAAGAGAAGAGAAGAGAAGAGAAGAGAAGAGAAGAGAAGAGAAGAGAAGAGAAGAGAAGAGAAGGACAGGACAGGACAGGACAGGATGTTTTCAGTTTGAACCATCAACCAAACGTACTGTTGTAAGGGTAACGATGAATGTATCTTTTTCTCCATTATTTTCTGGAGGGAATTCCTCCAGGGGGCACCGTTAACTAAATAAACCCTGAAATAGCCTTGATTTTTGCTATTTCAGTCCTGCGTTCGAATCCACATCTCTCCAAGTCTTTAGACGTCAGGGGCGCCTTTGTGGTCACCCCGTTGTCTCTGCGAGGAGATTAAACTGACGGTCAGGAGGTTTCATCCCATTTTTTGCAGCAGAAGGGATATAAAATAGATGGGAAGGGCCGGGCAAAGACAAGGAGACCCAAAGACCCTCCCTCAAATTCACCGTCGGTATCCAGCCTCGGCTCTATTGCTGGGGTGTCCTTCTGCTCCGTTGAGAGACGAAGACGCCGAAGTCCTTCTTCAGACTTCGGTTGCCCTTTGGTCAGGTTCTCCTTGGTTGACGGCTCTGCGACGGTCGCTACCTCTGCATCAACAGGAAGGAAGGAAGGCAAAACTAGAATCAACATCACGTGAAGAGTTAGTACAGGCAATCCTCGACTTACAATGGTTCGTTTCGTGACCGTTCAAAGTTACAACGGTGCTGGAGGGGGAAAAAAAAAGACTTAGGGCCGTTTTTCAGACTACTTCACTTCAGAATCAAGTTGCTGGTCCCTATTGTGATTGCAGGACCAGAAGCAATGGAGGTCGACTCAACGAGGAGAGATCCAGCCTAGAATGAAGGAGAAATTCCCTGACAGCAAGAACAATTAACCAGTGGAACAACGTCCCTCCAGAAGTTGTGGATGCTCCATCACTGGAGACCTTCAAGAAGAAATTAGACCGCCACTTGACTGTGATGCGGGGGTCCTGTTTAGGCAGAAGGTTGGACTAGAAGACCTCTAAGGTCCCTCTCCATCTTGTTATTCTTTTAACCCCAGAGAAATTAATCACTGGAGTTTTTAAAGATGAGATTGGACAGCCATTTGTCTGAAACGGTATAGGGCCGTGATGGCGAACCTATGGCAGCGTGCCACAGGTGGCACGCAGGCGAGAACTGTGGGCATGGGAGCATTGCCCTAGCTCAGCTCCAGCGCGCATGTGCACGCTGGCCACCTGATTTTCGGGCCTTTTCTGGCCTCCGGGAAACGGGCTGTTTCTGGCCTCTGGAGGGTCTCTGGGGGTGGAGAAGGCCGTTTTCACCCTCCCCAGGCTCCAGAAAAGCCTCTGGAGCCTGGGGAGGGCGAAAAACGGGCCTACCGGGACATTGTGTGCCAAAAGCGTGGGAGCGTGGGGAGGTTGCACATGGGGGGCAGGGCACATTGAATTATAGTGTGGGCACATGCACACGAACCCCCGCGCTCCCCCCGCTTTTGGCACACAACGGCAAAAAAGGTTAGCCATCACTGGTGTAGGGTCTCCTGGTGGAGCAGGGGGTTGGACTAGATGACCTACAACGTCCCTTCCAATTCTGTAATTCGGTAGCCACACACACACACACACCGTTTGCGGCCTGTTTTCATTGAGCCTAAAATTTTTGTAGCTAAATTTCTGTTATCTATGAAACAAGCCTGGCTATTCCCCCCCCCCCTTATACTCATGTGAAATAGGGTGGTATCTATGACTCATGTACAGGTAGTCCTCAACTTACAACCACGATTGAACCCAAAATTTAGGTTGCTAAGTGAAAAATTTAGGTGATTTTTGCCTCACGTTACAACCTGTCTTGCCGCAGCTGTTAAGCGAATCAATGCATTTGTTACAAGAGTAACACGGTCGTTAAGTGAATCTGCTGACTTTGCTGGTCAGATGGTCATAAAATAGGATCGTGTAACCCTGGGACACTGCGACTGTCATAAGTAGGAGTCCGTCTCCAAGCGTCTGAATTTTGATTATGTGACTGTGGGCATGCTGCAACAGTTGTAAGGGTGAGAAATTGTTGTAAGTCGCTTTTGTCAGTGTTGTTGCTACTTCAGACGGTCACTAAATGAATGGCCATAAGTCGAGGATTACCTGTATTGTTCCAGTGATGGACCCACCTGTTCCCTTCCATCCTTGAGCATCACAGGGGGCAAATGTGCCTTGGGTGGTGGGCTCCGACCATTCTCCCTCTGGGCTGCTGCCGGGGGTCCCCCCTGGGCTGGAGACGCTCAGGGAAACTGAGTCAGTGAAGTGTGGGAAACTCTTCAGCTGGACAATGGGACCAGCTGGAAAGAAAGATCAGAAGCTCAGAAATTCTCACAACTCTCCTTTTAACCTGCAAGACACAGAGAAATCTGGGGAGGGAGAAATCTTCACATCTGTATATGTGGCAGGGGGCTCCCAACTCCTGGGAGCCAAGGACCACCGAGAAGAAGATTGAAGAGGAAATCTCTCCTGGCTCCACCATGTCCCGATTCGGAAGAGGAGGAGGTGGAGGAGTTTGAACCAGGACCATCTGATGGGGATGGCAATATCTGAGTCCACGGACTGAGGACGATGCCGTCCCGGGCCTCTCCGGCCTTGGGGGAGATGGACAGCCAGATGGGGAGCTGCCTTCCTTCACAAACTCAGGGGAGGATCAGCTGCAGACAGGTGGCGGGGATGAGAGGCAGCAGTTCCCCTTCTCACAAGGAACAGCTGCCTCCCCCTCTCACTCCGAGAGCATGGAGAGCAGAGCGGAGGCAAGTTCAGAGGAGATCTGTGAGGTTGCTGGTGAGGAGGCAGCCCTGTCCCTCCTCACACCTGAACTCAGCCCATTTAATCAGAGGCCAGGGAGGGTGTGTTTGCCGGGAACAATTGTTTGGCTTTGGCACACATTTCCCTGGCCTTTGTAAACTCCAGTTTGCACCAGTTCTGACCCAGCTCCCCAACTACGACAAACCCTCTGAACTTCAATCAATGATTCCTTTATTAGGCGCGTCAGTAGCCCCGGCAAAAAGTTTCTCTCTCACCACAGGCTAACAAGTCTGTCTAGCAGGGAGATGAATAGTTGTTTATCATACCTATTCATCTCCACCCCCTGCCTTTTATCCCTATAGCTACAGTGCCACTTTACTAGCAGCGGTGGCTCTTCCTTCCCAAGGATGGGCCCACGGATTTCCACTGCTCTCCTCTCCTCTGCCTTCTGTGCATCCGCACATCAGGCACTGGACCCAGCTGTTCCTCCTCTTCCTCATCAGCCACCTCCAGACCTGGGAGCTGTTGACTCTCCGAGCGCTGACGGATGGCCCAGGCTCTGCCTTTGTCTCTCTCTCTCTCTCTCTGCCAGCTCCATTCCTTCTTCCCCCTTGGAGTCTCAGGTTGCCTTGATGCTGACCTGACTCACAAGCCTCCGCCTCATCTGATTCGGCTGCTGGAGGGGCCGGTGGCCAACAGGCCACAACAGCAATGTGTTTCTGCTTTGGACTATGTTTCTGCCCTGAGGATCCTGACAATTGTTTGTGGACTACAGGCCTTGCCTGGTGGACTTTATATCTTGTTTTGGCACTCCGGACTTCCTCCTCGCCTTGTGAATCAGCTCTGGCCACTATTGGCTTTAATTTGGGGGCACCTGTGTTGTACTGACCGTGGGGGGGGGGTGCCGTTAGGGAAGTTTGGGGTGGAGCTCCATCGGCTGTGATAGGGCCATTTGTCATGAGGTAGCAGAGCAATAAACTTAATAAACAGGAGATTCTAGGGACTTCCTCTGCATAACAACGGCAGCTACTGACTGGATCTCCAAACTCGACATTAAACTTTGAAATGTTATTTCTGTTTTCCTTTTACATTTTCTTACTGTTTTTTTTATTGTTTTTATTGTTTTTAACCTGCAAAAATGAAGTGTTTTAATACTGTGTGTGACAAGCCATACGCTAAATAAATAAGAGCAATAAAGCAGGGGTCCCCAATCCCTGGTCCACAGTCCGCAGCTTGCCAGAAACTGGTCCATGCAAACAGATGTGCAGGATGCAGGCAATACACAAAACCACATCCTCTCCAATCGGTGGAAAAACCACGGAACCAGTCCCTGGTGCCCCAAAGGTTGGTGGCCACTGCAATAAAAGACAATATTGAAGCCTGCCTTGGCTTAGTCCAGTGGTCCCCAACCTTTCCCTCTTTGTGGACCAATGAGGGAGGGAGGAAGAATGGTCCAGTATGCGTGGCAGCGCATGCAAAGCTCCAGTTGCGTGAGCGGCCGGTACTACTTCATGAAGTGCTGTTTGTGCCTGCCGCCCGCACAAATAGAGCTTCACGCACACGCGCGAGTGGCCACCGCTTATGCAAATGGAGCTGTGTGCACACACGAACCAGCCGCTTGCGCGAACCAGTTCCAAACATATCGCGGCCCGGTATTGGGCTGCGGCCCAAGGATTGGGGACCTCTGGCCTAGGCTGTATAAAATCTGCTCAGCCGTGCAGCCAGTGTACTCACCGTGCCCTCTGCTTTCGCTGCCCCCAGCAGGCGTGGATCGATCCAGGCTCGCGTGCGCGTGTCCGCAAAGGAACTCTGGGATTTCGTTGACCAGCTTCATGAGTGCACAGAGGTGGTGGCTGCTTTGATCCTTACCTGTGCGGGGGAGAGAGAATTTAGGGAAAGGCCAGAACAGGTGAGAAACAGGACGTCACCCAAATGCGGCCAGTTCTGAGCCAACATTACAGAGAAAATGGCCTCGCCCTTAATCCGCGACTCTCCTGTGGGGTCCCCTCCAACTGGGCTGTGATTGCAGTGCCCAGAAGCCTCAGCCAAGGCTTAAACCAGTGGGCATTCCTGTCCCTGCAGATCTGGACAGGACTGGTTTGAAAGGAAGACGGAGAGAAACATTGCCCTTCATTCTCTGCCACTCGTACCCTCCTCGTCGCTCGCTACAGCCAGGCGCTCCTCAGCCTTATCCTGCTTCGGGTTGAAGGGTCCTTCCATGCCCTCTGGAAAAGGGGGCTCTTCACCTGTGGGGAGGGGAAGAGAGAAGCAACCAACAGCCTAACGATGTACCAGCTTGGCACATTTAAGTAATCAGCAAAGAAACAAGGGAACAAGCATGGCTTAAATCAAAAAATAAATCCTTAAATCCTCTGAATGTTCTGTAATCGGGCCTGGGAAGTCTGCTTGGGGAATCTTGGGGCCGGAAGGGAAAGTTGAGTGAGAGGCGAGTGTGGTGATCCCTCTCCCCCAGGTGAGAGCTGTGGGGAGAGGAGTGGCTCCCTGCTTGGTGGGTGAGAGCAACTAGGAGGGGCAGGCTGCCGTTTGTACATTGAGTGGATGTATTTGGAGTGTGTTGGGAGATAAGGGGATGCTGGATGTGACCCATCTGCAGCAATGAGGAAGGGGTGCTGTAAGTTTGAGGGCGCTGAGAGCAAGTGGTATAGTGCCTGTAAGCAGCAGTGAAATGCACTTACCTTTGCTACTGGTTTGGGAGTGTGAGCGTGAGTGCGTTTTCTGCGCATGCACAGAGGGTCTACAACGGGATTTAATGACGTCCCAGCGGGTGGGTGGAGCCTACCAACGGCGCTACCGGTTTGTGCAAGCCAGATAGATCCGGCCAGATTTCACCACTGCCTGTAAGGCTCACCTTGCCCCGCAATAGTTTTGTCGGTGGGAGGAGGTTTTCCCCTTTTTAAGGAAGAGTGTGGGGAGGGCGGATGGAATAGTTCTCAGGGAAAGCAGAGGAGGACGACCTTTTTCAGTGGTGTCGGTTAACGGGAGATTTATTTATTTATTTATTTATTTATTTTATTAGATTTCTATACCGCCCTACTCCCAAACGACTCAGGGCGGTGCACAGCCAAACAATAAAAACACATACAATACAAAATTTAAAAATAGAATAAAATCAAATTAAATAATTTTGGCCCCGACAAATTTAAAACCCCAAACTTTTAAAACCAATTTAAAATTGAATATATAAAATACTAAAAGATATTTAAAATTTTAAAAATCTTTTATAAAAGAGGGGGAAAATTAGGCCAGGCCGGCCTGGTGAAATAGTAAGGTCTTTAAGGCGCGGCGGAAGGTGCGCAGATCCGGGATCCTCCGTATCTCTGGGGGGAGCTCGTTCCAGATAGTAGGTGCCCCCACAGAGAAGGCTCTCCCCTGGGGGCCGCCAGTCGACATTGTTTGGCCGACAGCACCCGGAGGAGCCCCTCTCTATGGGAGCGTACCGGCCGGTGGGAGGCTATTGGTGGTAGTAGGCGGTCCCGCAAGTACCCGGGTCCTAAGCCATGGAGCGCTTTAAAGGTGGTAACCAAAACCTTGAAGCGCACCCGGAAGACCACCGGGAGCCAGTGCAGCTCGCGCAGGAGGGGTGTTACATGGGAACGCCATGTCGCTCCCATTACCACCCGCGCGGCCGCACTCTGCGCCAGTTGGAGCCTCCGGGTGCTCCTCAAGGGGAGCCCCATGTAGAGAGCATTGCAACAGTCCAGGCGGGAGGTGACAAGGGCATGAGTGACCGTGCGTAACGAGTCCCGATCCAGAAAGGGACACAGCTGGCGAATCAGGCGAACCTGATGAAAAATCCTCCCGGTCACGGCCGTCAAGTGCTCTTCTAAAGACAGCCGTGAATCCAGGAGGACGCCCAAGTTGCGAACCCTCTCTGTGGGGGCCAATGATTCGCCCCCAATAGTCAGTGATGGCGTCAACTGACTATAACGGGACGTCGGAAACCACAGCCACTCAGTCTTGGATGGGTTGAGCCTGAGCCTGTTCCTCCCCATCCAGATCCGTATGGCCTCCAGGCACCGGGACATCACTTCAAGGGCATTGATACGGGAGGCAAGGGGAGGGGGGAAGGCACGGGGGAACGCGATCTCGATGTTTAGTACCAGTCTCATGTTCTGCCCCCTTGCACTCACCTCATTTACCTGGTCAGCAGATCTGTGATGGCCCTGGTCTTAGGCATCTGCTTTTAAATGTCAGTAAGGCTAGCCTTATTGCCGATTTGATCCTTGAAGAGAAGGCCGATCTGGCTTGCATAACCGAGACCTGGCTAGGCCCAGAGGGAGGCGTTCCCCTCGTAGAAATGTGTCCAGTGGGTTATTGAGCATGGCACCAGTCTAGCCCTCAGGGCCAGGGAGGGGATGTGGCTGTTGTGATCAGAGAATCTCTAGTAGCCTCCATGCTCCACAAGTGCCCGGCTGCAAGACCCTTTTTCTTAGGTTGGGCTCAAGGGATCAGGTGGGATTACTGCTGCTGTACCAGCCTCCTGCTGGGTGGCAGCTTCCCTACCTGGGCTCCTGGACCTCACCGCAGGGCTGGTGGTGGAATTCCCCAGGGTTATAGTACTGGGGGATTTCAACCTGCCATCCCTGGTGGCGGGGGTGGAGGTAGCCTGAGATTTCATGGAAACTGTAAAGTATTATATATCGTCCTACCCAAAGGGAAGAATGTTAGGAAATGATTTTATCTAACTTGTTGGGTTGGCAATATATAAACCATCAATATAGCTTTAAGAGTGCTGAATTGCTGTATGGCATCATACTGTGTCCTGATTGGTTAGCTCTGTAGCCAATCTCCTTAAGAGGGAGCTAGAAACATGGTTTGTTTCTCTTTGATGCTCTTTGCTGTTTGCTGTGTGCTATTTACTGCTCTTTGCTGTGTTTGCTACTGTTTGCAACTGTTTATAGTGTATGACTACAACGACTGGTAAGAAGACTTTGTTATTGGATTATCCCTGGGCTATTGTTTAACCATCTACTGCTTTATATGTGAATGACCTGGACTGTTTATTGGACTGTGCCTTATTACTATTTCCTGAAAGTAAGTACAAAATCAGTGTATCTGTATGTTGACTGTCTTATTTCGTAACTACTCTCAATCGCTTTCATGTGCACACTCTTGCTACTCAAGAGTTGCTCTGCAAATTCCTCAACAGAAACCATGACTTCCATGGGCCTGCCCCACGTCATCCAGGGCCTGACTAGGAATAGTGGTTACACACCCGATTTGGTGTTCCTATCGGAGCAGTGCCTATGTGGCCTGGAATTGGTGGACCAGTTCGTTTAGTGACCATTCAAAGTTACAACGGCACCAAACAAAATATGGCCGTTTTTCACACTTATGACCATTGTGGCACCTCCATGGTCATGTGATCAAAATTAATACGCTTGGCAACCGACTCATATTTCTGATGGCTGCAGTGTCCCGGGGTCATGCGATCAATTTTTGTGATCTTCTGATGAGCAAAGTCAATGGGGAAGCCAGATCCACTTAACAGCCTTATTACTAACTTAACAACTGCTTGGATTCACTTAACGACTGTGGCAAGAAAGATCGTAAACTAAGACAAAACTCATTTAAGAAATGTCTTGCTTAGCAACAGAAATGTTGGGCCCAATTGTGGTTGTACGTAGAGGACTAGTTGTACAGGATTCATAGACACCTCCCTAATTTACAGGAGTATAAGGTGGGGCGGGGGAGCACAGCCAGACCTACAAGATTTTATTTGACCAATCCAAAGTAAAGTATATGTGCTTCATACACATCTCCCTAATTCATAGGTGTATAAGGGGGAGATAGGAGTATAAGCCAGACGTGCAAGATTTTGACAAATCCAAAATAAACCTCCCTAATTCATAGGAGTATAAGGATGGGGGAGCTCAGTCAGACTTAGAAGGGTTTTTTTTTTTGACAAATCCAAAATATAGTATATATGCTTCATAGACACCTCCCTAATTCATAGGTGTATAAGAAGTGGGGGAGCACAGCCAGCCTTGCAAGATTTTGTTGGAAATCCAAAATAAACCTCCCTAATTCATAGGAGTATAAGGGGGGACACCATCAGATTTACAAGATTCTGTTACTACAGTCAAACAATCATTTGAGTCTTCTTGTAGAGTGGATTTCTTGGTGTGATCTCCCTAATGGGGCTCACCATGATCTTCCACCCCATCTGAAAGGACGAAGGCAGCTTTTAACTTTTCAAAGCATTTTTTCTGCAAATGCAAAAATATGCTTTGAAAAGCCTCTGCTGATCAGGCAACACAGCTGGGATCATCAGAGCCTTTTCAAAGCATTTTTTAAACCACCTCTTCCGCTGAAGAAGTTACAGAAAAAAATGTTTTAAAAGTCTCTCTGATGATCCCAGCTGAGTTGCCTAATCGTCAGATAATTTTTTAAAAGCCTATCTGAGGATCAGGCAACTCAGCTGGGATTGTCAGAGAGACTTTTAAAACATTTTTTTCTGCAACCTCTTCAGCGGAAGAGGTGGTTAAAAAAATGCTTTGAAAAGGCTCTGATGATCCCAGCTGAGTTGCCTGATCGGCAGAGGCTTTTCAAAGCATATTTTTGCATTTGCAAAAAAAAAATGCTTTGAAAAGTTTTAAAAAAAAAAAGCCTCTGATGATCGTGCGGCTCAGCTGGGCATGGTGGGGGTGGGGATGGCGCAGGGATCTTTGCTACCGGTTCTCCGAACCACCCGCCACCATCGCTACTGGTCTGAACCTGGAACATTTCACCCCTGGGCAAGACCCAAGGAAATAATTCACCCTCACCCCACCCCAACTCTTGTTCCAGCAGGCAGGGTAAGTAAGACAGCAGAACACAGCTTGAATCTACAGGCGACAACCTCTCTCTGCACCCTGGACTCTTGTTTGGGAAGATTATAGAAGGAGTCCCCAACCCCTGGGCCGTGGACCATGGACTGGGGCATGGCATCTTTCTCCACGGAACCGGTCCCGGTCTCTGGTGCCCAGAAGGTTTATAGGATGATAAAAAGGGTCTTTGTTGAAAGACAAAAGGGTGGGACATCTCCACACTTTAACCTATGTCAGTCAACATAAACAGTTGTAGTTTTAGTGAAAAGCTGTGCTTCGGTGTACAATGCACGCAAAAAGAGCACCCCACCGCACCCCGTTGGCAGGATTCTTTCATTCACGTGTCCCTCTGTGGAAAAAGGAGCTTTCTTACGATGGGTTTTGTCGCCTCCCGCCACCAAAGGCAGCCGTCTTCTCCAGCTGGGCTGGGGGGTTTCAGCGGTCCCGTCCGGCTGGCAGGTCAAGGAGGAGAAATCCAGGGTGGGGACTGAGTGACCTGTGTGGAAAAATGCAAGGAAGACAAAGTTGCAAAAGGAGGGTTCAAATTGGACCTCAATGGTGCAACCAAGAGCTTGAAAGGTTCAGGAAAGATTTGGGTTGGGGATCAGCGGCCTGACACACACACACACCACAACTCACAATGCAGGCCTCCAAATATTCAGGATGAAAAAAAATACCCCTTCAGGAACAGGAGATGGTAACTTCAAGCAGAGAGAAAAGAGAAGAGAAGAGAAGAGAAGAGAAGAGAAGAGAAGAGAAGAGAAGAGAAGAGAAGAGAAGAGAAGAGAAGAGAAGAGAAGATTTGTAACTCAGGGTTGAACAATGGGGTTCTAGAGAGCTCTGAATTTGGTGGTTTTCTGGCAGACTTTTCATGACAACTTGGTGCTCGAAGGGAGGGGGCTTTGTGAAGAAGGGGAGGAGAGGAGGAAGAAGAAGAAAAGGACTATAGGGACCAGGAGATCTCTTAGCTTGGTGATTTTCTTGCAGATGTTTTATGACCCAACTAGGGAATGTCATCCGTGCTAGAAGGGATTGGGGTTTGTGGAGAGGGAGGAGGAGGAGGAGGAGGAGGAGGAGGAGGAGGAGGAGGAGGAGGAGGAGGAGGAGGAGGAAAAAGACTGTGGGGACCGTGGTACTCTCTCAGCTTGGTGTTTTTGTTGCAGACCTCTCATGACCCAACTAGGTAACATCATCAGGGCTAGAAGGCTTGTGCCAGAAGTCTTCTAGCACTGATGATGTTACCTAGTTGGGTCGTGAAATGCCTGTGAGAAAATCACCAAGCTCAGAGAGGAAAAAGGAGCCCAGAGAGAGGGAGAGAGTTACAGGAGAAGGAGGACCTGGTCTTCTGCTTGAGCTTCTTCTCTATCTTCCGTGATTTTTTTTCCTTCTCAGGTAGATTCATTGCAAGGGAAGCCGAACTCATTTCTCTTCTCCGGGGGCCACTTGACAGAGTAGAGGCCGATTCCCCAGCAGCCTCTCCTAACTCCTAGGAGAGCCTCCAGTTGCAAGCTGAGTTCACAGAAGTCATGCACCCCTCCCCCCGCAAATCACCTCCAAGGCTGTTTCTTCCACCCCATCACGAAAGAGGAGGAAAAAAGGGGAGAAGCACTGAAGGGAACTGGGGCTCACCAAGCGAAAGAAGCAAAGAGCAGGTCTCCAGCATCACTTCCTGGTGGAGCTCCTTCTGACTGCCTTCCAACAGAGACCACTCCTCCAGCGAGAAGCCCACCACCACGTCCTCAAAGGTCACCCGGTCTGGAGCCGCGCCGGCTGTGCCTGCTGCTCGAAGGGCCTCATTCTGTGCCTGCACCTGAAGCCGAGAGATACACGCATGTGTGAGCGAGGTTGACCCATTGTTTCCGTCCCTTGAGGAATTCCGGACATGGGAGACCCTTCCCTCGGATCGGATCTGACTGCCATCTGTAGGGTCTCCTGCTGGAGCAGGGGGTTGGACTAGATGACCTCCAAAGTACCTTCCAACTTGTGATTCTATTCTATACTATACTATCTTCCGGTTAATTTATTGGCTGGTGCAGCAGCCGGCAACCTTTCGGGCACCAGGAACCAGTTCCACGGAGAGAGGTTTTTCAGTGGACCGGAGGGGACTGTGAATGGGGCTTCCCTTGTTATTATTATTATTTATTATTATTTATTGAATTTGTATACCGCCCTACTCCCGAAAGACTCAGGGCAGTGAACAGCCAAATAAAATGCATATAATACAAATGTTAAAAAACCATTAAAATACAATTAAATAATTGGCCCGGAAAATGAAATTTAAAACACCCCAAATTCATAAGGGGTGTTTGTGGGGCTTGGTTCCTGTCCACAAAGCGAAGGTTGGGCTCCTCTGGGTAAATGGACATGGCGGTACTTGGAGACAGCCGGATAGGAAAAAAGGAAAGAATATAAGCAAACACAAAGGCCTCCAAAGAATAAGAATGCAGCTAGTCCTCAAGCTACAATTGCCATAAAGTCCAATATTCCGGTTGCTAAGTGAGACATTTGCCCGGTGAACTTTGCCCCGTTTTATGACCTTTCTTGCCTGGCTCAGCTGATCGTGCTTGGCAAGATGGGTACAGCCTGTCACAAGAAGAGACAGGATGATGGTTTCCAGAGCTTCCTCTTCCTCCTCCTCCTCTTCCCCCTCCTCTTCTTCCTTCTTCTCTTCCTCCTTCTTCTTCTCCTCTTCCCCTCCTCTTCTCTTTTTTACTCCTCTTCTTCCTCCTCCTGTACCTCCTCCTCCTCTTCCCCCTCCTCCTTCTACCCTTCTCCCTCCTCTTCCTCCTCCTTCTCTTCTCCTTCACCCTCCTTCTACTCTTCCTCCTTTTCTTCCCCCTCCCCCTCTTCCCCCTTTTTGTGCCTTTTCCCAAGTGGATGCCCGTCCAGACCGCCGTGGGTTTTCCTGCATAAACAGACAGACAGGCACAGACCCCAAATGCCTGTGCTTGCAAGAATGGGGAAAGACCCGCCGACCTTCCCTGGAGAAGACCTGCGCGGCCTCCGATCCGGACCTGATGCGCTACCTGTGGACCCCTCCCCCCGAGGCTGCCGGGGAGCCGGACGACCCCTCCTCGCCCTGAGCCTTCCTGGCCTCGTCCCACCGCCTCCCCGCAATCTGAACTCCCACTCCAGCCCTCCAAGCAGTCCGAGGACGAGCGGTGCTTTTCTCCCCCAGAGGCACTCCGAGCGCAAGCAGCCTTACCCTGCGCGCAGCCTCGCCTGCGTCGGGTGTCTCCGCCGTCCACAGCCATCCGGACACCGGGTTCATCCTGCATTCCCCCCACCCTCCCCGGGAGTGGATGATGGGGGAACTCCGCGCTGCGCCCGGCCGGGATGCTCCGAGAGCTCACCAGATTCGGTGGATCGCGCGCAAGGCCCGGCTGGGAGCCGTAGTTCCTCGGGGGCGGGTGCTCTGCAACCCTCCCAGAGTGGGGAACTACGAGTCCCAGCGGCCACCGCGGTGAGGAGACCCCCTCCCCATCTTTTACTCTCACCCAGCTGATGGGCTGGACAGCGCCCGGCTTTGCCCGAGTGGCTCCGGGCCAGGGCTGCGGAGGAGCGCCGGTTCAAACTGGGGGAGGGGGGGTTTCCTTCTATTCTTGGTCGGTGGGTTTCGTTCCAGCAGGGCTAAGGGAGGGTGGGCTATTCCCTTGGGTTGCTTTATTCCGCCTTGCAGGATTTCTAATGTGACTCCCACCTCCCCACGTAACAGCCTCGCGAGGTTTTTGGGGATGGGGGCTTCGTCCCCGCCACCGCACCCCAGGGGGTCGACCCCTCGGGGATCCCCCTCCCCAAGCCCTTCCTCGCAACCGGATCTTCGGGGTTGCCGCGCCCCGCCCGCGTGAAGAATCAGAAGATTCCCCTGGGAAGATTTGGCGATCTTAATTCCGTTTGGTCTCGTGATTTTAGGGGGGGGGGCGTCTTTATATTTGGTGGTTTTAAGGAAGGAGGGGTGTTATCGCGCTGTAAGCCAGAGAGAGAGGGGGGGGAAGGAGAAAGGAAGGAAGGAAGGAATAAGGAGAGAAAGGAAAAGGGAAGGAAAGAAAGGAAAAGAAAGAAAAAAAGGGAAGGGAAGATCCAAAGGAATCTGGAGCATTTCCCCCTCATCAGAACTGATGAAGCTTCTTGGATGAGAAGTGAAATGTCTTTAAAGAAAACATCAAGAAAATCCAATTGCCTTTTGAAGAACAAAAACACCTTTTAGAATTATCCTCAGTGCTAGAACCAAGGTGGGAGTTGCTCTCTGTTTATATATCATCCCTGCAGCACTGATGCTGTTCCCTAGTTGGGTCAGGAAACATCTGCAAGAAAACCACCCAGCTCACAGAGCACTGAGGCCCCCACAATATTACTCCTCCTCCTCCTTATTATAAATCCCCTCATTCAATAATGTTTTTTTTAAATTCTTTATTATAAATTCCCGCATTTAATATTTTCTTTTTTAAAAATATGCTTGATTTATAAATTCCCCCAATCAATATTTCCTTTTTTAGAAAAAGGCTGTTGGTGATAAATTCAATACTTGATTATAAATTCCTGCATCAATATTTTGTAGGATTTTTTCTCTTTTTTATAGTAATATTTTAGATAACAATAATTAAAAGGCTCCAACTGGTCCAGAATGCAGCCGCGCGGGTGGTGACAGGAGTGATGTGGTGGTCCCATGTGACCCCTCCTGCGCGAGCTGCACTGGCTCCGGTGGTCTTCCGGGTGCGCTTCAAGGTTTTGGTTACCACCTTTAGAGCGCTCCATGGCTCAGGACCAGGGTACTTACGAGACCGCCTCCTGCCACCAATAGCCTCTCACCGACCAGTTCGCTCCCATAGAGAGGGGCTCCTCAGGGTGCCGTCGGCCAAACAATGTCGACTGACGGCCCCCAGGGGGAGAGCCTTCTCTGTGGGGGCACCTACCATCTGGAACGAGCTCCCCAGAGATACGGAGGATCCAAGACTTACGCATCTTCCGCCGCGCCCTAAAAACGTTTTTATTCCAACAGGCTGGTCTGGCCTAACTCTCCCTTTTAAATTGGGTTTTAAATGTTTTTAGATAAATTGGATGTCTTAAATTTGTTTTTTGAGCCCAAATTATTTAATCTATTTTTAATAGTTTTTAACTTTTGTATGTTCTTTGTATTTTTATCTTGGCTGTTCACCGCCCTGAGTCCTCCGGGACTAGGGCAGTATACAAATATATATGAATAAATAAATAAATAAATAAATAAATAAATAAATAAATAAATAAATAAATAAATAAAACAATAATAATTTAAAAAATAACAATTTTAAATAATGTAAATAATAATAATAATAACGATGATGATGATAAGAATCAAAGTACAAAAAAATTGCTACAGGCTGTGAAAACGGAGAACATTATAAAAACAATAGAAACAAAGGCAGAATATAAGGAAAAACAGCTAGATGACAGATTAAATGCATGGAAAACCAAAGCTTTGCATGGATAGCACTTGAAAAACATTGAAGGAAAATGTGGTGACAACTTTACATGGGCACCAGAGGTGGGTTTCAGCAGGTTCTGACCAGTTCTGGAGAACCGGTAGCGGAAATTTTGAGTAGTTCGGAGAACCCGTAGTAATAATTCTGACTGGCCCCGCCCCCATCTATTCTCTGTCTCCCAAGTCCCAGCTGATCAGGAGGAAATGGGGATTTTGCAGTTTCCTTCCCCTGGATTGGGACGGAAGGGAGATTTTACAGTATTCTTCCCCTGCCACGCCCACCAAACCACACCCACCAAGCCACACCCACAGAACCGGTAGTAAAAAATTTTGAAACCCACCACTGATGGGCATGGCTTAAGATGGGAACCATCAAGAAAGAAACGGAAGGTTTAATACTTGCTGTTCAAGAACAAGCACTACAATCTAATAACACCAGCGGAACTGCAAAAAACTGTGCTACTGGGAACATCGTACATCTTAAGAAGATATTTGGTCGATACCTAGGATGCTGGCAGCAACCCGTATTGACCATCAGCACTAGTTAATAATATTTGTGATAACATTTTTAAATGTTCAGTTGACTGAGTTTTCATGTTTAATGAATAAAAGATAATAATAATAATAATAATAATAATAATAATAATAATAATAATAATAATAATAATGCAAATAATACAAAAAACCACCGACAATCCAAACAGCCGACTTTGCAACAACAAAGTCGAAACTGTTTCACATTTAATATGTAAATGCAGCAAAATCACACAAATTGATTACAAAGCTAGACACGACCCAGTTGCTAAATTATTCCACTGGTCATTATGTAAAAAATACGAGTTACCTGTATCCAAAACGTCATGGGAACATAAAGTGGAAAAAGTTATAGAAAATGAGAAGGTGAAGCTCTTGTGGGACTTTTGAATACAGATGGATCGTAATTTGGAACACAATATGCCAGATATTACAGTTGTCAAAAACCGAAACATATAATTTATTGATATCACGGTACCAGGAGATGCCAGAGTCGAAGAAAAAGAACTGGAAAAAATCACGAAATATCACGACCTGGCCATCGAAACTACACGGGTACATGTAACTGTGATAACCCATTATCATCGGGGCACTTGGTACCATGTCCAAGAATTTTATAAGATACATCAACGAATTGCAGCTTCCTGCAATAACACCAGCGGAACTGCAAAAAACTGCGCTACTTGGAACATCGTACATCTTAAGAAGGTACTTGGTTGATCCCTAGGACGCTGGCAGCAACCTGTATCAACCATTAGCACCAGTCAATGGTATTTGTGATGCATTTTTGAATGTTCAGTTGACTGAGTTTCATGTTTAATGAATAAAAATAATAAAGTTCATAATCATTAATTTCATAATTATTTATTTATTTTATTTATTTATTTCATTATGCCGCCCTTCTCCCGAAGGACTCGGCGCAGCTTACAGAAATTAAGAAAATGAAAACAGTAACAATAACTTACACAAGACAATCAATTTAAAATCCACCCAATTAAAATCATTATAAAATTAAAAGTTCGTAAGAACAAGCAAAAAAGATATTTTAGAGAATGGGGGGGAACGGATGCAATTTTCAGTAAAACTAATTGTTTCCCGGACAAGGAAACATTTATACAGATTAAGGAGCCTATATGCAGTATATATATTTCAAGGAAGGCTGAGGGCGCAGGTTGGAGTTCCATTCTTCGGCCCCTTTTGCTTGGTTCTCGGCTAGGAAGGCGCTGTATTCCTCCGGGCCTCCAGGGGCCGCTGCTTCCGACGGGAGCCGCCGCGGAGCGCATGCGCGCTCCTCGATCCGCCCTGCGCTGAGGCTCGCCCGACGCCGGAGCGGCGTCCCAGGGCGCATGCGCAGAAGCTGCACCTAGCGGGTATCGGCCATGGCCGAGTGGACGCCTGCCCAGGTGAGGGTCAGCATTGCCCTTCCCGGGCGGGGAGGGGGAGAGAGGAGGGGAGGGGCAGGAGGGGGTCCTGCTGTCCAGGTTGGCTTGCGGGGGAGGGCTGGCGGGTCTCCAGGTGCCCCAGATCGGCTGCAGCCTCTTTGGGGACCCCCGAACTCCCTGATTGACAGCATCAAAGGGTGGGGCAAGAGGGCTCCTGAGCATGTGCAGAGTGCTCAACAATGCACGAAGCCCCCCATTTGAGGAGGGGCTGTTGGGAACAGCAGGCAGGATCCCTCTTGGGCGGGGAACTGTCAGGTGGCCCTTTTGGCGGGGGGGGGCGTTGGGGGGGGGGGGGGGGGGGGGGGGGGGCTGGCTCCATAAAGACCAGACGGGCTGCTGCCTCTTTGAGGACCCTGAACTCCCTGATTGACAGCATCAAGGGGTGGGGCAGGGGGGCTCCTGAGCACGGGCAGCCTGGCAGTTTCAATAAAGACCCCATTTTGGGGGGGGGGCTGTTGGGAGCAGCAAGAAGGATCCCCTTGAGAGTGGGGAGAGCAGTCAGATGGCTCCTTTTGTGAGGTGGGAAGCATTGGAGGGCCCTGGCTGGCTTTTTGGGGGGAAGGTCTGGGGGGGCTCCAGATGCCCCAGACAGGCTGCTCTCTGTTTTGGGGACCCCTGAACTCCCTGACTGACAGCATCAATGGAGTGGCAAGAGGACTCCTGGACATCTGCAAAGTGCACAGTTTTGCAGCAATGCACAAAGCCCTCCATTGGGGGAGCTGTGGGGAGCAGCAGGAAGGATCCCTCTTGGGAGTGGGGGGATGGCTCCTTTTTGGGTGGGGGTCTCCCACCCAAAAAGGGGGCCACTGGGGGACTCCTGAGCATGGCAGGATGGGAAGCCTTGTTGAGAAGCCTTGACAGCATTGGGATGGGGCGGTGAAAGCAAGAGGGCCCCTGAGCACGTGCAGAAGGCATGCAAAAAAAGTCCCCTTTGGGGAAGGGGTGATGATGAATTATTTATTTATTTTTTACATGTATTTATATGCCGCCCTTCTCCTGAAGGACTCAGGGCGGCGAACACAAGTTAAGAAACAAGTACAATAAAATCCCATTTTAAACCAAATAACTAATTAGTAGTAAATAATAAAGCCCAGAATCAGTCTCAGCCTATTTGTTTGAAAAGCCAAGTCTTCAAGTCCCGACGGAAGGAGCGGAGATCAGGAGCCGTCCGGAGCTTGGTAGGTAATTCATTCCAGAGGGTGGGAGCACCCACAGAGAACGCCCTACCCCTGGGCACAGCAAGGTGACATTGGCTCGCCGTCGGAACCCTGAGGAGAGCGGCCCTATGTGAGCGAACAGGACGGTGGGAGGCAGGCAGGAGAAGGTCCTGCAAATATCCCGGACCTAAGTCATGAAGGGCCTTATAGGTGAGAACTAGCACCTTGAAGCGGACCCGGAGAACCACTGGTAACCAGCGCAGCTCACGCAGGAGGGGTGTTTTATGGGAGTAACGAGAGGCTCCCGTAACAACCCGTAACAAAATTATGCCCTTCAATTGTTAAATGTGTCACCCGGTTGCTAAATGAATCTGGCTTGTCAGAAGTGTGAGCCCCGAACACACATAAATACGAGTCAGTTGCCCAATGCCTGAATTTTGATCACATTAACTGTGGGGATGCCATGACGGTCATAAGTGTGAGACACGGTCGTAAGTCCCCTTCTTTCAGGGCATTGTACATGGAATGGTTACTAAACAGACACTGCAACTGTCATAAATATGAGCTGGTTGCCAAGCATCCAAATTTTGATCACATTGACTGCGGGAATGCCACAACAGTCATAAGTGTGAAACACAGTCCTAAGTCCTTTTTTCAGGGCCGTTGTACCTTGGAACAGTCACTAAATGGATGCACAACCGTCATTAATACGAATTAATTGCCAAGCGTCCAAATATTGATCACGCAACAGCAGAGATTCTGCGACGGTTGTAAATGTGAACAACGGTCCTAAATCGAGGGGGGTTGTTGGGTGCATCTTGGAGCTGTCGCTAAACAAACTGTTGTAAGTTTAGGACTCCCCATATGATACGTCCGTTCTCCGTGTTGTCCCCAGCTGACTCTTTTTCCTCATTGTCACCAAGCACGGGTGCTGACTTCTGATCTTCCCTCCTGGCTAGGCGTGGGAATGGGAGGTGGAGCCTCAGCACCTGGCGCCTTTCCAACCTCCCGCCATTTTCGACCAATCAGCCGAGCGAGAGATCTACCCGGCGGCTGAGATCTCCCTCTGGACGGTGGTGGCTGCTCTCCAAGCGGTGGAGAGGAAGGTGGACACATCAGCAGCTCGCCTGCTCAACCTCGAAAGCCGCACGGCCACTGCCGAGAAGAAGATCTTCGAGTGCGAGAAGACAGAACTAGAATTCAGCAGCCACCTGGCGGCTTTGGGCACCTTGATCCAGGAATACCGGGTGCTCCAACGGCGCCTGGAGAACGTGGAGAACCTCCTGAAGAACCGCAACTTCTGGATTCTCAGGCTCCCCCTCGGTCCGAAGGGGGAGATCCCCAAGGTAAAAAAAAAAGAAGCACACAAGTTGAATGCAACCACGCAACGGGTACGTATACTGCCTGCACCTGGCTGGCTGTGGATGCGCCCGATGTGACACGAGTGGCTTGCTCGGTCCCATGGAGCGGGGTCTCCAACCTTGGGAACTTGCCGGCTGAAGAATTCTTAAAAGTTTCCAAGGTTGGGGACTGAGTGAGCCACCTGTGTCACAATGAATATGTCCGCAGCCAGCCACTATGGCCGGCTGAGGAATTGTGGTAGTTGAAGTCCACACTCTTTCAAGTTGCCAAGGTCGAGAAAAGTGCTACGACTGTCCTTCTTTGAATCTGCGAAGCAGGTGACCTTGGTGAGGTCTTGGACGGCTGCCTCTCATTTCAGGTCCCTGTGACGTTTGACGAGGAGCAAGCGGTCCATTTTTCCACACCGGAATGGGCCAAACTGGAAGACTGGCAGAAGGAACTCTACCGAAACATCACAAGAGGAAGCTACGAGCCGCTGGTCTCTCTCGGTAAGCGCAGAGTTTGCCTTGAGGGGAATTTTTATTATTGCTTTAGGCCAGGGGTCCACAATCCGCCAGCTGCGGTCTATGACTGGGCCTGAACTCTTTGGAACTGGGCCGTAGAAGTGGAACCGTCCCCTCTCCCCTAATAACTAATCAGACAGGACCCCGCCATCTTCCTCCATCACTTCTTTCTCCTCCTCCCTCCCTTCTAGCACTGATGTTGTTACCTAGCTGAGTCATGAGATGTCTGCAAAGACAGCACCAAGTTCAGAGAGCACCAAGGACCCCACTGTGTGTTTCTCCCCCTCCTCCTGCTCTGCAACCTTCCTCCCTTCTAACACTAACACTGATGATGTAACCTAGTTGGGTCATGAAATGTCTGCAAAACTACCAAGGTCAGAGAGCACCAGGGACCCCACAGTCCTCCCCCCCTCCCCAGGAATCTCACACTCTTCTAGCGCTGATAATGTTCCCTAGCTGGGTCACGAGACATCTGCAAAAAAAACCTCACCCAGCTCAGAGGGCACCAAGGAGACCCCCCCACAGTTCAACCCAGAGCTACAAAGACTCCTTTCCATCGGCTTAACCTCTTTCTTTCCGTTCTCCAGACTCTGCCATCGCCAAAGCTGACGTCCTTCCCCCTCAGGCAGGTCTGGGGGCAGCACCCCACATTGCGGATCAGCCCTCGGCGGGGGAAAAGGAATTCCCCCCGGCGCCCAAACTAGGTGCGTGAAACGTCCAAACGGAGTGTAGCTTTCGCTCTGCAAATTTCTCTCCTGATCCCAGTTGGTTTGAAATCATGATTTCTTTTTCTTTGTAACCCATCTCTGATCATTCTTCAAAGCCCCCATCCCAATCCCTGGAGAAAAAGGGTCCTTCTTTGGGAGCGAGGGAGGCAAGAATCACAGGCTCTCATCCCTTTCCACAATGTTTGCGTGGCTGAATTTGGCAGGTGGAGCCTGGGTTAGAGCTTTCCCCCTCGCCACTTCAGGCCAAGAATGGGGAATCTTGCAAGCGTTGGGGAGCCCCGAGGTCCCCCAGAGACAGGCTAGGAGTCGGTCCTCCTGAAGCATTCTTTTTTTTTTTTTAATAATTTTTATTAAACAGTTTTTTTAAAAGAACAAAAAAGAAATTTTTACAATTGTCTTCTTTTCAACATTTTCACATCAGTAAATGTTTCTTACATATCCTTTTTTCTCCCTTACTTCAATTTACCATTTATACATATAATTTATATACATAAAGATAACAATGTACTCAATTTCAATCATACATTCTATGTCCGTTCCATTTCCACTTATTTGTCATTTCAATTCCTATATCTTCCTCATTTACTCTTTCCTTGCCCTTTATACCTCTAATTATTCATACCATTTCTCCCATACCATATAGTATTCTGTTTCCTCCTTTTCTTGTATTTCTTTTGTGAGCTTGTCCATCTCTGCACACTCCAAAACTTTTCTATTCAAATTTTCTTCCGTTGGTGTATTATTATTTTTCCAATTTTCTGCATATATTATTCTTGCCGCTGTTGTAATATGTATAATTAAATATTGTATTTTTTTGTCTTATATCCCTGGAAGTATTCCTAACAAAAATATTTCTGGCTTCATCTCAATATGTTGTCTGGTTATCTCTTCTAAATATATTCTAATTTTACTCCAATATTGTTTAACCTTGGGGCACGTCCACCACATGTGGTAGTATGTTCCCTGCCTTTGTTTACATTTACAGTAGGTTGATGGAATATTGATGAACATTTTGGCCAGTCTCGCCGGTGGAAGGTGCCACCTATAAAACATTTTATACACATTTTCCTTGTAGGCTACAGACATTGTCAATTTGTAATTTTTATTCCACAATTTCTCCCATTTCTCCAATGTTATAACCAAAATTTTTGGGCCAAATTATCATATTTTCTTTGACTACCTCCTCCTCCATTTTGTATCTCAATAAATAATCAATTTTTTAATCAATTTGTCCTCTGTGCCTTGGATTTTGTCTAATTTGTGTGTTTTTTAAAAATCCATATTATTCTAAATCTGTCCTGTATCTAGATTGTATCTGCGTATATGGCCACCAATCAATGTCTGTACCCTGTTCTTTTAGTTCTTGTCTTGTTTTCAGTTCCCCTTGACCGTTTAATAAATTTTATATCTTTTAATTTTGTCAATATCCAATACGTTGGGTAAATTAGTGCCTAATGATTGTCGATAGCCAATCTGGAATTTTATTGTAATGATTCTTTTTTATCCTTTGCCATATTTGTAGTAGCGCATCTCTAATTAAATGTCTTTGGAAGTAGCTATGTTGTCTGTTTTTTCCATCCCATAAGAAGGCACGCCCCCCTATCTGTAAATTGTGCCCCTCTAACGTTAAGATTCTTTTATGCCTTAATTCAATCCAATCTTTGATCCAGGTGAGTGTTGTTGCCAGTCTGGGAGCCCAAAGCCTTCTGAAGCATTCTTGAAGAGCTCAAAAATATGAGACGCTTCTTCCGGGCCTGAGTCTGTAAATGTAGACCCCGCCTTCCATTTTCCCTTCCCTGACTTTCCAGGGCACGCCATGATTCGCACTCGTTGCTGTGGTTTGCGTCTGGGATGACTCTCGATGTCCGGCAGCATTTAGAAAGTGACTTTGGTGCTCTCCAAATTGGGTGGTTTCCTTGCAGACGTTTCATGACCCAGCTAGATATCATCATCAGTGGTAGGAGAGAACGGGGTTTGTGGAATGGGAAAAGGAGAGGGAAGAGGAGGAGGAGGAAGAGAAGGGGAGGAAGATGAGGAGGTAAAGGACTATAGGGCCTTGCTGCTCTCTTGAGCTGGGTGGTTTTCTTGTAGACCTTTCACGACCCAACTAGGTAACATCATCAGTGCTAGAAGGGACAGAGGTTAGAGACCATATCCTGTTCCTTTCCAGCACTGATGCTGTTACCTAGTTGTGTTATGAAACATCTGCAAGAAAACTACCCAGCTCAGAGAGCAGCAAGACCCCACAATCCTCTCCACAACCCCTCCTCCCTTCTTGTACTGATGTGGTTACCTATTTGGGTCATGAAATGTCTGCAAGAAAACCACCCAGCTGAGAGCCCCAAAGACCCCTCATTTCAACCCTGAGATACAAGAATCTTCTATCAGTAGTTCTATCAGCAGTGCCTGATAGAAAGTCCCTACAGAGAGTGGCAGGGACAGCGGAGATGATAGAAAGCTCACTTCCATCATTCAGGATGCTGCTTATAAGCGCTGTGTGCTTAGAGCTCAAAGCATTGTTAGACCCACACCCACACCCACCACGGTCTGTTTCTGTTGCTCCCCTCTGGTAGGAGATTTCAAAGCATTTCTAGCAGGACTTCCCAATTCTGTAGCAGCTTTGTTCCCTAGGCCATCTGTCTGAGAAACTCTAAGATTCGTTTTTCTCGCCACATACACGTATACATCCGAACTATTGTGTTATTTCTGTGTCATGTAATATATGTAGGTATATGCATAATTTTGTATTGATTGGTTGATTTTGTCATGTTTAAGTTGTGTATATTAGAGGTGGAGACCCTTTGAGAGCTGCATGTAACGATATTTCATTTTAATGTATGCCAATTAATCTACATTCAAAGTCACAATAAAGTTATTCTGTAGTTCTGTATCAGTACCTACCTGTGATCCTCTTTCCTATCAGCAGAACCATTGACTTCCAAAGACGATCTCTTGTCCTGGATTAAGCAGGAGGAATCTCCCGGTCCTGGGAAATGGAATCTGGAGAGAGAGATCCCTGCCACCCTCGGCTACGGTTAGTGTGGTCAAATGATCACAGGCCTCCAGGAGAAGCCATGATGCCATCTCATCTGACATGATGTTATCACACTTCCTGGCATGATCAACTGGGGAATTCTGGGAGTTGAAGTCCATCTTCATCTCTTAAAAGCATGCTGGCTGGGGAATTCTGGGAGTTGGAAGTCCACCTCTCTTAAAAGCATGCTGGCTGGGGAATTCTGGGAGTTGAAGTCCACCATTCTTAAAGCATGCGGATTGGAGAATTCTGGGAGTTGGTCCACCCCTCAAGTGCCCATGGCTGAGCAACATGCCTTCAAAACATTTGCACCTCTCTTGTCTTCTTCCAATGACAGTCTCAAATATTAGCTCTCCTCCTTCGCTGCAAAATCCGTCCATTTAAGGATTCCCTTTGATTCAGATTCCTCGGGGGAGGAGGGCTTCAAATGACTCGGCTCCAGCTTCTACCCCTGTTTTAACTGAGTTATTTCCCCCTTCCCCCTCGTTCTCCTCTCTTCCAGACGAGAGCACCAGAATCAAAAGCGAGGAACAGAAGCTCCAAGAAAGTTTGAAACAGGCTTTGCCTGTCCGGCACCATGCAGCACCCAGCGACGAGGTCTTCCAGACCTCCAGATGTTGCCAGAGGCAAAGCTGCCCTCCGGGTCAACCTGCCCCTCCTCCTCAAAAGCCACCAGAGGAGCTACCCCACCCCAGTGAGAGAACCTGTCCTGAACCCGAGGCCGCCCCGCCAGCAACCTGCTTGAAGGAAGGCCAGCTGAAATGTTTCAAGGGTCTGGATGAGCTTTCCTTGCCCCCAAGGATTCCCGCAGGAGAGGAAGTGTACGGGGAAGGGGTCATGCCAGTGACCGAATCCGGTGTCCCCCAGGTCCCTGAGCCCTACCTGTGCCCAGAGAATAACAACAACTTCAGCAATGTGGCTGTCTCCGAAACAGCCGGCCGGCCACACGCCTGCTCCCTCTGCCCGAAGAGTTTCCGGCTGAAGACCAGCCTGCTTATCCACCAGAAGACCCACGCTGTGGGGAAGAGTGACAGCCCCTTTGTGTGCTCTGAATGTGGCTGCGGCTTCAGCCACCAGGCCCAGCTGACTCGGCACCAGGCCATCCACGCCGACCGGCCGCACCAGTGTTCGGAATGCCACAAAGCCTTCAACCGCAAGTCCAGCCTGGTGGTCCACCAGAAGACGCACCGCGAGCGACCGCGCCCTTTCCAGTGTCCTCAGTGCAGCAAGACTTTCATCCGGAAACAGCACCTGGACGATCACACCCGCACCCACACGGGGGAAAAGCCCTACCAATGTCCCGAGTGCGAGAAGCGTTTCGCAGAGAAGTCCAAACTGACTAACCACTACCGGATCCACACTGGGGAACGGCCATACCGCTGCGGGCAATGTGACAAGCGCTTTGTGCGTGCCCACCACTTGGTCAAGCACCAAAGCAGCGTCCACCAAGCTGGAGCTAAGCTGTTCTCCTGTCGTGAGTGTGGACAGAGTTTCAGCCATGCCCAAGCCTTCCTCAGCCACCAGGCCAGCCATGCCAATGGCGAGAGGCGCCACCGCTGCACCGAGTGCCTCAAGACCTTTGCTCGCAGGAAGTACCTCCTGGAACACCAGCGCATGCACACGGGAGAGAACCCATACGCCTGCCCACACTGCGGCAAGCACTTCCGATACAAGCAGTCACTAAAGCAGCATCTGCGCACGCACCGGGAGCAACCACCACCACCACCATCTGGGCCTGCTGTGCCACCAAGCCTGCCAGTCACTAACCCCCTGGAGAAAGACCCTCTCTTTGAGGCCAACCCACCCAGTGGGACCTGAAGCTAGGCCGCAAGTGGTCTTTTGTGCCAAATGAACCACTGGGCTACAATTGGCCTGTGGATAGGCCAGCTGAGATCTTCGCTGCCTTGCATGGGGTGGCTCCAATGCTTCTTCTCCCCCCACATGGAGAGGCTTTCTTCTTGCTTGCTGGTCAGGACCATGTGGGGCAGACTCTAGTCCTGTGTAATAAGCCCAGCTCCCTGCGATCAGAACACACCGATTGTCTGAAATATTTCTTTGATGGAGACAGCTGACGAAAGACTCTCGCCGTCCTGCATTGCAGTCTGAGGAGCTGCAAGTCCTGGTCAAACTGGGGAAAAATGCGCCTAAATTGTGATCATGTCCACTTACCTTCTTGGTTCCATTAGCCGGTCCAGTACTGGAGGCCAGCCTGCTGGAGTCAAAAGGGCTGCACCCCAAGGCCACGGTTCCCCCGCCTGCAGGGAGAAAAAAACAGACCCCAAGATTGCCGTGCATGACTGTGGTTTTCTGGCCTCGCCCTCCATGCACTTAGCTAGATGATCAGAGAAGCGTTTGAAAGCACTTTGTGTGCAGCGGGTACAAAAAACAGCCCGAAAGTTAGAATTGACTGCCACCTGCCTCTTGTCTCCGGAGGGCCACGCAAGGCAGCTGTCCGTGGCCAAAATTCTTAACAGTTCCACACACTCGGTCTACAGGAGCTGCCCACTCCTCAAAGATACCCTTCCTTATTTTGCTGCTGTTGATCAAAAGCTGCATTGTCTGGTTTACCAGTTTTCTGCCAGTGTCAACCTATGCCAAGAAGCTCTTTTGCTGAAGGCTCGGCTGCGGTTTTCCATGTGGTCCGTTTATCGCCGAGACTCTGATGCCAGTTCTTATGCCCTCCCTGCCTGTTCAGACAGTGACATGAAATCACGAGTTTTGCTCTGTCTCTTCAAATTTGTCACCAAGAGGCTGTACCCTTCACATCACTCTCCTGCCCTGAAAATGCCCCCCCCCAAAAGAAAGAAGACTTGGTAAGCGGCCCTAAAATCATGGCCATAAGCCGAGACCTCAAGCCCATTTCCACACCAGGTTCTCACTACTTTAAATCCAATTGTACAACAAGTAGTTCTCAATTTACAACAGGACTACCTGTATTACTCTTTAATACAGGTAGTCTTCAACATACAGTTCATTTAGTGACTGTTCAAAATTGCAATAGCATGAGAAAAGTGACTTATTACTGTTTTTCACACATACAACCGTTGCAGCATTCTCGGAGTCACCTGATCCAAAATTTAGGCATTTGGAAACTGGCATGTACTTATAATAGTTGCAGTGTCCCTTGATCATGTAATCCCCTTTTGTAACCTTCCGACAAGCAAGGTCAACGGGGAAGCCACATTCACTTAACAAGTGTGACTAACTTAGCAACTGCATTGATTTACTTAACGACCATGGCAAGAAAGGTCGTAACATGGGGTGGAAATGTAAATCGGGGGAAAAGTCTGCATCCCCTAGTGCAGGAGTGGGCAAATGTGACTCTTTTACAATCTGTGGACTTCAACTCTCAGAATTCTGGGACTTTTACAGGTTGTAAAAGAGCCACATTTGCCCACCCCTGCACTAGTGGTATCTTGCAAAGTGATAAGTGGTTCTGAAATTGCGTGCAAGCATGCTGGATTGTCCATTCGATACTCTGAAATGTTATCGGCCCCCATTCTCGCCTCATTCCAAGGCACCACAACTGTGTAGACACTATGTATGTGGGGGGGGGGAGCGCTCTGCCAATTCCATCCCTCCACCTACCAATTGCTAGCAAGCCTATCCCTGCTCCATTCTATGTCTGTTGGCCAAAACAAGTGAGGCATGGCTTCCTAAAGCCCAATACAGGTAGTTCTTCGCTTACGACAAGTCACTTAGTAGCCATTTGGAGTCGCTACCAGCCTTGAAAAGAGGACTTGCAACTCCGATCCGAAGTTCCGGCAATTGCCCTCTTGTATGGTCACATCATCATGCGTCAGGTCATTGACAATACGGCCACATTCGCAGCCATTTTGCAGCATCTCGCGGACACATGACTGCGTTCGGCAAAGGTTTTATTGAACATTGATACTTAATTTCTGCTTTTCGGCAAAACAGCACTGTGGCAAACGAGGGGTTCACTTATTGACTGCAGTGATAGGCCGTACTGACTTGACCAAATAAATTGTGCTACATGTGATACCAAACCGACATTGTGCATCCATTTTCCCACACAAAGCAGATAGTTCTTCCTACAAAATCTTTTTTCAACTCTTTTCAGTTTTTCCTGATACAACTCACACAGCTTCCAGTACATCATAAACATAGAAGCACACTTTCCCTGAATATGATCAAGGGGGAAAATATAAGGAGAGAGACCATTTGATCTAGTGGTTAAAACATTAGATTAGAAAGCAGGAGACAGTGAGTTCTAGTCCTTTCTTAGGCATGAAAGTTAGCCGGATGACTTTGGCTCAATTTCATTTCATTTCATTTATTAAATTTTTATACCGCCCTTCTCCCGAAGGACTCAGGGCGGTGTACAGCCATATTAAAAAACATACCCACAAAATTTAAAAAACAATTTAAAATATATTAAACATTTGGCCCTTATATTAAAAACTACAAACACCCAATTAAAATTCATATTCTAGGCTACCAGGAAATGGCATATTCTAGTGCTGCCTTAGCTATGAAAGCTGGTTCAGTAACTTTCAGCCAATCTGGAGACAGTGATTTCTAGTTCTGCCCTAGGCATGAAAGCTGGCCAAGTGAATTTGGGCCAATCTTGGTGATTACCCATATCACTTTGATGGTTTAAGGTGGGATTAGAACTCACTATCTCCTGGTGATTGGCCCAAAGTCAATCACATTTAGCTTTCACACCTAAGGTGGGACTAAAACTCATTGTCTCCTGGTTTCTTGACCAGCACCTTTGCACAATTATGTGCAAACTATTAAAACAATTATTTTATTACGGAAGAACAATATATCCATGGTTTTGGGGTGGAGTTCCATCAGTACGCTGATGATACTCAGCTGTACATCTCCACCCCAGACCATCCCGATGCCTTGGAAGTGATGTCCCAGTGCCTGGAGGCCGTGCGGGTCTGGATGGGGAGAAACAGGCTTCGACTCAACCCTTCCAAGACCGAGTGGCTGTGGCTGCCGGCGTCCCGGTATAGCCAGCTGGCGCCATCGCTGGTTATTGGGGGCAAATCATTGGCCCCCACGGAATGGGCTCGCAACTTGGGCGTCCTCCTGGACGCACGGCTGTCTTTAGAAGAGCATATGACAGCCATGGCCAGGGGGGCTTTCTATCAGGTTCGCCTGATACGCCAGTTGCGCCTTTCTGGATCGGGACTCCCTACCCACGGTCACTCAAGCACTCGTCACTTCTCGTCTGGACTATTGTAATGCTCTCTACATGGGGCTCCCCGTGGGGTGCACCCGGAGGCTCCAACTGGTGCAGAATGCGGCTGCGCGGGGGATTATGGGAGCGACGGGGCACTCCCATGTGACTCCTTTCCTGCGCGAGCTGCATTGGCTTCCAGTGGGCTTCCGGTGCGCTTCAAGGTGTTGGTGATCACCTTTAAAGCGCTCCATGGCTTAGGGCCAGGGTACTTACGGGACCGTCTTCTGCCACCAATTGCCTCCCACCGGCCAGTTCGCTCCCACAGAGAGGGCCTCCTCAGGGTGCCGTCGGCCAGACAATGTCGGCTGGCGACCCCCAGGGGGAGAGCCTTCTCTGTGGTGGCACCTACCCTCTGGAACAATCTACCCCCAGAGATTCGAGTGATCCCAGACCTTCGGACTTTTCGTCGGGCCCTTAAAACCTATTTCTTTCAGTTAGCCGGGCTGTCCTGATTTTATGGTGGGTTTTTAAAATTTGAAATTGGTTTTAAATTGAAATGTTTTAAATCATGGGCCAAACTTATTTAATTATTTTAAATCTATTTTAACTTTTGTGTACAAATGTTTTACTTTGGCTGTTCACCGCCCTGAGTCCGAAAGGAGAAGGGCGGTATAGAAATCTGATAATATATATGCATAATATATCTGATAATATATATGCATACAATCCTGGTTTAGGGACAATTGTCACCAATAACTTGGTCACTAAGTAATGCAGTCCATAAGTGGGGGAGGGGGGGAAATCACAATTTTACTTTTTCCATTCATACGCAATTTAACTTACAATTCTTCCTTTCGTACGCAACTTCTTTTAGCCTTCAATGAATCAAGCTACATTTTTCATGTTTTAAAACATCTTTATTTCTAAAGAAATCAATTTCGTCTTCCAAGGAATCGAAGATCATTTCCAATATTTTAAAACATCCTTGATTTAACATGTATTATTATTATTATTATTATTAAGAGCCATCATGTTGTGTTACAGTACAAAAATAAAAGAATACAAAATTAGCGTTTACAATTACAGAACTGTACCTGTAAACATCAATAGAAATCCCCTTCCAAAGATTAGTCTTTTTGCTGCATTTTTGGAAACGTCGGATATGGAGGCCGAGAAGGCTAATGAACCAAGCAGCTTCTGGGATCTGCTCTTTTTCAGGATGGGGAGGAAGGAAGAGGTGAGCAAGAAATAACTGTCCGTAAAGAATTCATTAAGTTCTTTGCACATTTTTTTCTTCATCTATTTTCCTAGAACACATGCATTTCCCAATGTAGCTTTCTGAAACATTCTACACTCAGATCCATACTTCCTAATTTTCGTAGCGTTTCATTAACATCTGAGAAAACACCGATTGATATTTTCACATGAACTTCCTGGGCTCCCAATATACCTTTCCAAAATTGTTCTACATTTGGATTCATACTTCCTAATTTTCGTAACATTTCATTAGCATGAGAAAACACTGGTCAATATTTTCACATGAACGTCCTGGTCTCCCAATGCAACTTTCCAAAATAATTTGGATCCATAATTCCTAATTTTCGTAGCATTTCATTAACATCTGAGAAAACACCGTTTCAATAGTTCAATATTTTCACATGAACTTCCTGGGCTCCCTATGTAACTTTCCAAAATGTTCTACATTGGGATCCATACTTTCTAATTTTTGTAATATTTCGTTAACATCCGAGAAAAACAACAGTCGATATTTTCACACTGAGCTTCCTGAACTTAAGTCTAGAATTTTATTTCTTCTTCCTCCTCCGCAATGCCTTGGGCCTCCAATTCTTCTTTAAGCTCAATCAATTCTTCGTTGGAAAGCTCTCCCTCGGGGTAGGCAATCCATTTTTTCACATCTTCCGTGTCTGCCTCTAAACTAAGGGCTCGGGCGAGGGTCAAAATGTTGTGACTGATTTCTTCCAAATCTTCGTTCGGATCAAAGCCTTCAAAATTATGGACGAGGAGAGCAAAGCGTTTTAAGCACCGTTCCCAAATCCCTTGCATGCATTTCATGCTGACATCCTTCCAGGCCGTTGCAATGTTTTCAATGCAGTGGCTGATATCGTATGCTTTCCAAAACTCACGCAAGGTCATCCCGTTGTCCTCCAGTGTGGCGACGGCCGTGGCCAGTGTGGCCCGTAAATAGCACGCTTTGAAGGTTGAGACAGCTCCCTGATCCATGGGCTGCAGGAAAGGGCTGGTGTTTTTTGGTAGATAAACGACCTTCACATCTGGATGGACATCGTCCAGGTGTGGGGGATATCCAGGGGCATTGTTGAGGAGCAGAAGAATTCTAAAAGGGATTCTGTTTTGAAAACAATATTCCTGCACTTGAGGGATGAAACAATTCACAAACCAATCCTCGAAGAAGACTTGGGTCATCCAAGCCTTCTGATCAGATTGGTAATAAACGGGCAGGGTCTCCTGGCCGATATTTTCGCACATGGGGGGATCCTCCGATTTGTGGATTAGAAACGGCTTCAGCTTGAATCCGGCAACATTTCCACCCAACAGCAAAGTGATCCTTTCCTTAAAGGCTTTGTATCCAGGCATAGCTTGGGCCTCTTGGTGAAGGTAGGTCCGTTCGGGCATTTTTTTCCAGAATAACCTGGTTTTGTCCACGTTGAATATCTGTTCAGGCAAATAGTTCCCTTCTGTGAGGAGATCATCGAAGTCGTCAAGGAAGCGTTGGGCTGCTATTTCGTCAGCACCCGTGGCTTCGCCTGGCGGGTGCATAGTGTGGTAATTAAACCTTCGTTGGAAGCGCATGAACCAGCCACGGCTGGCCGTAAATGTTTCAGTGCACTCCTCGCCCGCTCGTTCCTTCAGGGTCGCAAAAATGCTGCGCGCCTTGGCCTGAATGAGAGGGAGGCTGATGGGAATCCTTTTCTGGATCTGATCCTCGATCCAAAGCATCAGGAGTTTCTCTGTTTCGTGGATGAGGCCTTTGCGTTGCCTGGTGATAATGGCTTTCGTCCCCGGCGATCCTTTCATGGCCTCCCTGATCCGCTCCTTGTTCTTCAAAATGGTGGAGATGGTGGAATGGGCCAGGCCTTCTTCTTGAGCAATTATGTTTACCTTCTTCCCAGCATCATAGGCTTTGATGATCTTCATCTTCAAATTCAAACTGATGGCTTTCCTGTGCTTCTTGCTACGCTCTTCGGATGAACCGTGGCCCTTTCTCTTCCCCTTTGAGGACATGGCAAGTGAAAATAAGAGCCCGTTGCAAAATACTGTAGACAGAGAGAGAGATGAGAGATAAATTTAAAAAAAAAAACAGTTTAATTGTTTGAATTTAACTTCAGGTGGGAGAAGTATAAATATATATTTTCCTAGTTTGATAACAATTTCACTCCCTGGATCAAAGAATATAAATCAGGTGTCTGACCTGTGGACTTCAACTCCCAGAATTCCCCAGACAACAAATACGTGGATCACCAAGACAATCGGGAGCATGGTGGCTTGCCTGGTTAGGACGCTAGGTTGGAGGTCAGCAAGCCTGCATTTGAGACCAGGTGGTGGTCTCTAGGGTGGGGTGAGCTCCCGCCCTTCCCTCCAGCTCCTGTCAGGAACATGAAAAGAGCCTTCAAGTGGGCATCCCCCCAGGCAACCGTGATGTCACCAGCTAATCCAGTCAACACGGAAGCGTCTCGGTGTTGCTGACACGAGTGCGATGCAATCAGGCCAATCAATCCAGACTTCTCCCTTGAGGCACAAATAACCAGGCTTAAATTATCATATTATGCAACGATTCCACTTGCTTGGATAGTCCATAAGGACGGGAAACGCAGAAGGAAAGAAGAGAGGAGGACAACCAACATAAGTTGAATGAACTCAGAGCAGTCATGGTTGTATTACTTGAAGAGTTGAAAGGCCAAATTATGCTGGACAAGTCATAATTAATGGCCATTAATGGCCAACACTATCATTAACGGTCATTAATAATTACTGTTATTAACAGCCAACACTACCTTGATGGCACACAATCAAATAATCAAATAAAGGAAAAATTGATTCCTCCTAGCACAATGGTTTGTCAAGTTGCCACTGAGCCCAGTACAGGTGATCCTCAACTTACAACCATTTGTTTAGTGACCATTGGAAGTTACAACGGCACTGGGGGAAAAAGGGACTTATGACTGTTTTTCAAACTTACGAGTATCACAGCACCCCTGTGGTCACATGATCGAAATTTGGTAATTGGCATGTATTTATGATAGTTGCAGTGGCCCTGGGTCAAGTGATCGCCTCTGGCGACCTACTGACAAGCAAAAGGGGAAGCCAGATTGACTTAACAACTCTGTTACCAATTTAACAACTGTGGTGATTCACAAAAGCTGTGGGGGAAAAGTGTAAAATGGGGCAAAACTTCCTTAAGTGTGAGCAATGGAAATGTTGGACTCATATTGCGGTCGTAATTCAAGGACCTGAAGTAGATCCTGCCCTCCCCAAACTCTCCTCCCTGACATTCTTGACCAGGAATTGTGGGTTTCCTAGCATATACCATGGCAAGGTGGAATTATTTTGGTTAATTCAGTGGGAATTCAACAAATAAACTACTGTCACATTCAAAAGGGACATCAGAAGAACCAAAAATTATCCTCTTACCGGAGCTAGGGCCTTCCCCAAAGAACAATGGGTCCTGAGCACATTGGTCTTCCTGGAGTCCACAGAGATGTTCTTCAGAAATGGTAATGGTCTGATATTCTGTCAAGAAAGAGAGGGGGGGGAGGGAGGGAGGGAAAGAAAGAAAGAAAGGAAGGAAAGAGAAAGAGGAAAAGAAAAAGAAAAAAGGGAGGGAGGAAAGGAAGGAAGAGGGAGGGAGGGAAAGAAAGGGAGGGAAAGAAAGAAAGGGAAGGAAGGAAGAGAAAGAAAAAAGGAGGGAAAGGAAGGAAAGAAAAAGGGAAGGAGGGAAAAAAGGGAGGGAGGGAAAGAGAGAAAGGAAGAAAGGGAGGGAGGGAAAGAAAGAAGAGAAAGAAAAGGAGGGAAAGAGAGAGAAAGAAAGAGGGAGGGGAAGGAAGGAAATAAATAAATAAGGGCTCTCCAATTTATTGCCTTGATGAAATGCACAATATCTGAAAAATCAACACCCATGGAAATTGAGGATTGTTGAGATGTTGACCCAAACATAAAGTGAGGACAGGAAGAGGTATGGGGATCTTAGATGAGCTTAATATAGCAACGATTGTGGGGTGCTTGATGCTCTCTGAGCTTGAAGGTTTTCTTGCGGACATTTCATGACCCAACTAGGTAATATCGTCAGTGCGAGAAGGGAGTGGTATTTGCTCTCTAACCTCATTCCTTTCTACCACTGATGATTTTCTGTAGTTGGGTCATGAAATGTCTGCAAGGAGACAACCAAGCTCAGAGAGCACCAAGGACCCCACAATCCTCCTCCTCCTCTCCTGATAGCCCACTCCCTTCTAGCACTGATGATGTTCCCTACTTTGGTCATGAAACGTTTACAAGCAAACAACCAGGTTCAGAGAGCATCAAGGACCAATCAACCCTCCTCCTCTTCCCCCCTTTCTCCTCCTCCGCAAACCCCACTAACTACAGCATTGATAATGTTGCCAAGTTGGGTCATAAAACGTCTGCAAGAAAACCACTGTTCAGAAAGCACCAAGGACCCCACCATTCAACCCTTAGCTTCAAATATCATCCTCTACTGATAACAGCAACAATCAGAATGAAGAAATATCTAGATACCACAGCCCAGTAGGACTTCAAACATATGAGTTAAAAAGGGGACCCAGATTGTTGGGGGCAATATGCAGACTCTGCAAACCAGTTAAGAATGGGCTGTAAAACACTATGAACCAATATAGTTAAAGTGCTTTGTAGTTCTCGACAGAAAGGGGTACTTACCCTCACTAGGATCATATTGCATGTGCTCTCTGTGAGATTCCCCGGGGCCCAAGCACACCTCCTCCATCTCCTCTTTAATCCCGGAGGGTATGTCTATATACTCCACTGAAGAACCTGGACACAGAAGAGAGGAAAACAGGGGTGTGGCTCTTCTCTAACGTCAAGGAATCTCATGGACTGGAAGAGGTGTGCAAAAACAGAACTGAGGAGGCAGGACAGAAGGATGCTGCCTGCGGCGTTAAGAGTCAAGGAGGTTGGCAACAAGCTGAGATGAATTGAAAGTTGGTGAGACAGAGCTGGAGAAGAAAAAGGCCCACTGAAACCAACCTGAACTATTTGTTGTAGGACAGGGGTGTCAAACTTGATTTCATTGAGGGCCACATCAGGGTTGTGTTTGACCTGGGGGGGGGGGGCACGGATGTGGCCAGATGCCGTTACTTGTGTCGGGGCCGCCTGTGGTGGCCCAAGTACTCTGCCAGTGAAAACAGGCTCCCGAGCCCCATTTTCGGTTGCAACCCTGCCAGCGAAAACAGAGCTTGAGAGGGCCACACACAGCTCTCCTGAGCTCCGTTTTCACTGGCAGAAGCACCGTGGGCTGTTTCCCTGGCAGATCCAAGCACCCTGAGGGCCAGATCTGGCCCCCAGGCCTTGAATTTGACACCCCCGGTCTAAGAGATCATAGAAAGGTATTAAGGGATAGTAGGGGAGGGATATTGTAAAGAGAAGCTTTGACAGAAAATAGGATCACACTTATCACAAGAAATCAAGTACAAGGAAATTACAGGGAGTTTAAATTAATGTTCAACTAGGATTCATAGCAGGTAGGACCCCAACATCAGGAGACAATGAGTTCTAGTTCTGCCTTAGGCATGAAAGCCGGCTGAGTGACTTTGGACCAATCACAGGTGACTGTGAGTTCTAGTCCTGCCTTAGATATTAAAGCCAGCTGGGTGGCTTTGGGCCAGTCCCTCTCTCCCAACCCAATTCACCTCACAGGTCATTGTGGGAAAAACAAGAAGGGGAAGGAATATTACAGATGTTCCCCACCTTGAGTTACCCAAGGTCCCAAAAATAAGGCCAACCCTGATTTTTGGGGTGGGCGTAAATATACGCCCTCCTCCGAAAATAAGCCCTCCAGCAAGCGTGGCTGTTTTGACGTGGATTGCGGCTACTTCTGCAGCGGGAGGCCAAGCGATGCGCCCCATGTACCTCGCGGCAGCCTTCCAAAGGGTACTGTAGCAGCAGGTATCCACATTTTTTTTTACTCTTATTTCATCCCGACCATACTGGGCCATGTGGGTCAGGACGAAATAAGGGTTAACAAACTGTGGATAGCTGCTGCTATGGTACCCTTCGGAAGGCCGGCGTGAGGCGTGAGTCCCCCGCTGCAGAAGTGGCTGCGCCCAAGGAGGGCTTTTGGGAGAGAAGGCAAAGGGGAAGCGATCCCTTGCAAACTCCCGCCCTGCTCCTGTCTCTCCGCCGGGCGACTCCCAGCAGCCCCAGACACCCAAAGCCAGTGCCCACGTGGCTCCCTTTTCCACAGTGCCCGGCTCTTTATTGAGGGGGGTGGGGGAGAAGCGAGAGGCATGGAGCAAGACAGGGCTCGCTCTTCTTGCCGTCTCTTCTCCCCCTCTCGCCAGGTATGGCAAAACTTCCTGTCCCTGCCCCAATTGGATGCAATTTGAAGATGGCAAGTGGGGAGGGGTGGGGCTGGGGAGACGTGAAATTTGTCTTACTTGCCTTGTAGCTCCGTTGCGAGTCTCGCCGTTGTCTGCAGGCAAACACGTAGGTTAAAATAAACCTTGCGAGTTCAATCAAACTTCTCGAACTCACGAGAAGTCTGGTTTTACCCTACATGTTTGCCTGCAGACAACAGCGAGACACGTGACAGAGCTGCAAGGCAGGTAAGATGCGCCTCGTGTCTCCCCGGCCGCTGACGAGGGGGGTGGGGTGGGGAGAAGAGACAGCAATATGCATCTTGCTTCTTGCCCCACATGCCACCCCCCTCAATAAATAGCCGGGTGCTGGGGAAAAGGGAGCCGGGCGGGTGCAGGCTTTGGGCATCTGGGGCTGCCTGGCAGAGAGGTGGGAGTGGGGCGGGAGTTTGTAGGCGAGGGGAATGAATGGATGGATGGGAAGTGGGCAAGTGCCCAGCAAACAGCTGACAAATGGCTGTGTTGCGCTGCCACAGCAGCGCAACACAGCAGAAGCCATGAGGTGGCCACGCTTGCTGTCACCTGTACCCCCAAAACAATAAGACCCCCCCCCCGATAATAAGGCCAAGCGCTTATTTCGGGGTTCAAAAAAATATAAGACGGTCTTATTTTTGGGGAAAACACGGGACTTATAAAGTAATCAAGGCGGGATAAAAATCTAATATATCAATATCAAATAAGCAGTAAGGAGATGTCTGATTCATCCATACAAGTTTCCCATTTCTCTCCAGAATATGTCATTCTGGCAAGGTCCAGAGAGAAACAAGATTCTGGGATGCTCAGCTCCCTGGTCAACAAGGAAGACTGCCCTTATGGGGAAAAAAAGCACAAATCTAAGCCAAACCACAATTCCAGGACACTGTCTATTCACCCTCGTGAAGTCCAGTACTGATCTCCTCAGGAGGCCTGATGATTCCACCGCCTTGAGGTCCTTCTACTTCTTCTTTCAGCCACAAAGAAACATCGACTGGAGCAACAGGGGCCTCTGAATGGAGGAGAGAGGAAAAGGTTGCCGTAAACCCCAAGGTCAAAAACCCCAGGGTCTGAAGGCGACTGACCTTTGAAAAGTATCCAGGTTCAAAATGTGGTGGTCGATCTGGTTTTGGAGAAGCCGAGATTTGCAAATAGGTCAGCTGTCTTATCAGTCCCTGATTTGCTTCAGCGTCCAATTCACAGTGCTGGTTCTTAAAGCCCTATCATCATCTTTTAATGACCCCATAATGTGAGGTGAAGTCTGGGCAACTGAATGGAGCTGAGTGTTTATGGCCAGATGCGCTTCCTGTTGCCAATGCGGAGCTGTATTCAGCAGATATATTCCCATGCCCAGAGAGAGAAATATCTGCCTCTACCTAGGATCAAACTCACAGCCTCCTGATTGTAAGGCAAGAGCTCCACCTCTAGGTCACCTCACCACTCTACAAAAGTTTGTTTAGTTTGAATTTACAAGGCAGCGAAAAAAGTGACTTAGGGATGATGTTCCCTAGTTGGGTCATGAAACATCTGCAAGGTAACTAGTTCAGTAACCCAGTTCAGAAAGCATCAAGGACCCCACAATTGTCTTCCTCCTCCCCCTCTTCTTCTTCTTCCTCCTCTTCCTCCACAACTCACCCTCCTTCTAGCACTGATGTTCCCAGTTGGGTCATGAGATGTTCGCAAGGAAACCACCAAGGACCCCACACTCCTTGTCCTCCTCCACCCTCTTCGTTTTCTCCTCCACTCCGCAAACCCCACTCCCTTCTAACACTGATGATGCTACCTAATTGGATCAAGAAACATCTGCAAGAAAACCATCCAGCTCAGAAACCACCAAGGGCCCCACAACTCTTATGAAAAAAAGGATTAAAAAAAGAAAAAGCTGTATATTTCAAGAAGCAGTGAACTTACCTGTGCCAGGATGTGCCAGTGTATTATTCTCAGGCATGGTTTCAACATTTGTATCACACAAAGAGTCTCCTTGTTCAATCCGGGTCAGGATATCAGGTTTAGCAATCGCATAATCTATCCACACAACAAACGAAAATACACTTCTGTTAACTGCACAAATAATTTTTAGAGGAAAGACAAAATAAGTGGAAAAGACAACATTGTCTCTAGAAACGGGGCGATGTCCATCTAATGATGTCTTGCCCAAAACAGTACAGGTAGTCCTCGATTTACAATGGTTCGTTTAGTGACTGTTCAAAGTTAAAATGGCACTGGAAAAAGGGACTGATCATTTTTCACACTCATCACCGTCATAGCATCCCGTCATAGGTCCCGTGATCAAAATTCAGACGCTAAGCAACTGGTTTGTATTTATGATCGTTGCAGCGTCCCAGGATCACGTGATCCCCTTTTGTGACCTCCTGACTAGGTCAAGGGAGAAGCCATTCATTTAACAAGCATGTCACTAAATTAACAACTGCATGGATTCACTTTCTTGCATGGAGCAAGAAAGGTTGCAGAAATGGGACAAAACCCATTTCACAACCGTCTCGCTTAGCAACAAAATTCTGGGGCTCAACTGGGGTCGTAAGTTGAGAACTACCTGGACTGTGATTGTTTCAAGTTATTCTATGTTGAAATGATGGTTTTCTATCGAGTCTGAAGAAATTGGGGTGGCCTAAAATTTATTCAGGGACACTGCGACCATCCACAACCAGTTGCCAAGTGTCCAAATGTTGATTACGTGACCATGGGGATGCTGCGGCGGTCGTAAATTAAAAACCAGCCATGTCACTTTTTTGGGTGCCTTGTAAATTCGAACAGTCCCTAAACAAACTGTTGTAGAGTGGTGTGGTGACCTAAAGGTGGAGCTCTTGCCTCACAATCAAGAGGCTGTGAGTTCAATCCTAGGTAGAGACAGATACTTCTTTCTCTGGGCACAATGAGAATATATCTGCTGAACAAAACTCCGCATTGGTGACAATGCGGCATCTGGCCAGTAAACACTCTGCTAGCTCCATTCAGTTGCCCAGATTCCACCCCGCAAGGGATTATGGGGTCGATAAAAGGAGATGACTATCCTGTTTCCCCCAAAATAAGACATCCCCTGATAATAAGCCCAATCGGGCTTTTAAGCGCATGGCAATAAGGCCAAGCGTTTATTTCAGGGTTCAAAGAAATATAAGACAGGCTCTTATTTTCGGGGAAACATGGTAAATGAACTGTTGTAAATTGAGAACTATCTGTAATGACTGTGAATAAAGCCTCTCAACCCAGGAAAACCACAACTGGCACAGAAGATACAAAAGGCCTCCTGGCCACAACCACCACACCAATTCCTCCACCTCCTAAACCTCTTAGGATATAATTTTTATAAACCAAAGCGAATAAAAATAACACCATCTTATATTCTCACTCTGCACATAGATTAGAACAGGGGACCACAATCCCCGGGCCGTGGCCTATTTAAAACCGGACTGCAGGCGATGGGAAAATGCATGTGCATGAAACAGAACTCGTGTGAATAGAGGGCGCTTGCCTTCACGTGCGAATATCCATTGATGTCTGTGAGCAGCAGCCACTTGAACTCACGTGTGAATCTCTTCTCAGAGTGGAGGATGCTTGCACAAATGGAACCGCACATGAGTGCAAGTGACTAACTCTCACGCGAGTGGAGTTTCACGCCTGAGTGCAAGCACCCTCAGCTTGTGCATGAAGCTCTATTTGCACAAAGGGAGGGCGCACACGTGTGAACTGCTCGCACGAGTGGAGCTGTGTGTGCCCTTGTCTGCCACTCACACACACACCATGCCATTAGAGAACAAACGAAAATATACAATGCCCTCAAAAGAGGAAATGAATTGAAATGGAAATGGGCTGGTCACACAGAACAAGGAGAACTAAGAGTAGGTGAACCAAATCAGTCATAGAACAGATCCCATTTGATAAAGAAGCATTCACGAAAGAGAACTAAAACAAGATGGTATGAAGGGATCAACAAGGACGGTGGGCCCAATTGGCAAAAGAAAGCTCAGGACCATATTGATTGGAAACCTGCAGAAGATAAACAGTGGCTAAACAATGGCTGGAAAGACGATGAATTATGATATATTCTCACCCATTGAGACCAACATCTCATAATTGCTTTTCATGACCGTCTTATACAGATCCTTCTGCAATTCATCCAGATTGCCCCATTCTTGCTCGTTGAAATGAACAGACAGGTCATCGAAAGTGACCGGAACCTGGAAATAAATAGCAGGATTACAGTTTTGGTATTCTCTGGCCTCCAAATCCTGTATGTTTAATAGCAAGTTGACAAATACCTGTTGGATAAATTGGAGTTAAGTTGCACACTGGAGGGAAAAGACAATATTTTATAATTAGCACAAAAAAGCCTACTAGCTTCCTCTAGATTAGGGGTCTCTTGGCAACTTTAAGACTTGTGGACTTTCAATTCCCAGAATTCTACAGCCAGAATGCTTTAGGAGAGGAGGATTTCAGCTCCCGGGATTTAATTTAACAGACTGCCAGCTTCCTTCATATTTGCAGAATTCAGGCTGTACAGGTAGTCCTTGACTTATGACCACAATTGAACTCCAAATTCCTGTTTCTAAGCAAGAGTTTTGCCCCATTTTACAACCTTTCTTGCCACAGTTGTTAAGTGAAACACTGCCTGGCTAGCTGGGGAATTCTGGGAGTTGAAGTCCCCAAAAGTCTTAAAGTTTGGAGATCCGTTATCTAAGTAAACAAATCTGATTGAAAAAAGAAGCTCGGAAAGGAAGTGTCAAAATCTCCCAAATGTGTCAATCATTCACGCCTCCCCAAACCAACAATGAAGGACTCAGCCTGATGCTAAAGCTGGTCAAGGCAGTCTCTGGTTTAACCCAACTAGATAACATCACCAGTGCAAAGAGGGAATGGGGTTTGGGGAGTGACGAGGAGAAGGGGAAGGGGAAGACAATAACAAGTATGTAGTGCTCATTGAGCTTTGTTGTTTTCTTCCAGACTTTTCATGACCCAACTAGGTAACATCAGCAGTGATAGGAGTGAAGTTTGCAGACAGGAGGAGGAAGGAGGAGGAAGATGACGACTGTGAGTGGGGGTAGCCATATAAATGCTCTTACAGGTAGTCCTCACCAACAATTTAGTGTCCGTTGAAATTACACCACTGAAAAAAGTGACAATTTTTCACACTTAACAACTATTGCAGTATCCCCCACGGTCACAAGATTAAAAATCAGACGCTTGGCAGCTGACTCATATTTAGGACAGTTGCAGTGTCCCAGGTCATGTGATCGTCTTTTCCCACTGTCTGAGGAGCAAAGTCAACAGAGGAAGCCAGGTTCATTTCACAATCCTGTAAATCACTTATTTGCAGTGATTCCCTTAATCACGGTGGCAAGAAACAAGGTAAAAGGGGGCAAAATTCACTCAATGTCTCACTTAGCAACAGAAATATTAGGCTAAGTTGAGGACTACCTGAATACATCTTCCAAGAATATCTGCTCTTCGTCCAAATCTGATCTAAGCATTCCCAGCATCCTTAAAATTGAGAGTAACTGCACTGATCACCAAGTGCAGAGAAACACCAAGGATCCCACAGCATCCCTCTCCTCCTGCAGAAACCACCCACTCTCTTCTAGCAATGATAATGTTACCGAGTTGGGTCATAAAATGTCTGCAAGAAAACTGCCAAACTCAGAGATTACTAGGGATCCCACAGTCCTTAGACTTGGAATAACTATTGTCACTTCGAATGTACAGTAATTGGCATACATTAAAATGAAATTCCGCTGCATACAGCTCTCACCACCTCCAATACACACTATATAAACATGACAAAATAAATAACGAATAAGTAAATAAATAATTAATGATGTATATACCCACATATATTATAAGACACAGAGAAACAACACAGTCTAGTTCGGATGTATACATATACATGTCAAGAAAAACGAATCTTGCGAGTTTTCGTCTTCCTCTTCTCCACCAACCTCCTTCCCTTCTAGCTCTGATGATGTTTCCTAGTTGGGTCACAAGAAACTCACCCAGCTCAGGGAGACCCCCCAAGGAAACCCCAAGTTCTCCTCACCCTCCTCCTCTCCACCAACCTCCTTCCATTCTAGCATTGATAATATTGCCTAGTTAGGTCATGAAACATCTGTAAGAAAACCACCCAGCTCACGGAGACTCCCACCCCCCCAATCCTCCTCCTCCTCTTCCACCCTCACCACAATCCCCCCTCCCTTCTATCATTGATGACGTTTCTAGTTGGGTCACAAGACGTCCACAACTAACCCACCCAGCTGAGAGGGACCCCCAAGGAAACCCAAAGTTCTCCTCACCCTCCTCCTCTCCACCAGCCTCCTTCCCTTCTGCTCTGATGATGTCCCCTACTTGGGTTACGAGACGTCCGTAAGAAATCCACCAAGCTCAGAGAACACCAAGGACCCCACAGTCCTTCCTCCTCCTCTTTCTCCCAGCCCTGATGCTGTCACTTAGCTGGGTCCCGAGACGTCTGCCAGGAAGCCACCCCTCAACCCTTCCCCACAACCTCCTGTCAGTCCCCCTGCCCCCCAGCCCAGCCAACCAGCCCCCCCCCCCTCCTCTGGGCCCACCACCCCCCGCCCCCCAGCCGAGGACCGGTCTCCCCCCCTCCCCGGTCCTCGGCATCTCTCCCCCGGCCGACCTTGGGTGTCTCCCCCTGACCGCTCGGCGGGAAGCGGAGAATCCAGAAGTTGCGGTTCCTCAGCAGGTTCTCCAGGTTCTCCAGCCGCCGCTGGAGCCGCCCGTATTCCTGAACCAGGCCGCCCAGGGCGGCCCACTTGCCTTCCAGCTGGCTGCCCAGCTCGGTTACCGTCCTCTGGCAACCGCCCAGCTTCTTCTCGGCCGAAGCCAAGCGCCCTTCCAGGCCCAGCAGACGAAGCCCGGGCCCGTCCAACGCCTCCGGGCCTTGCAAAGCCGCCCCGACCGGCCACAACGGCGCCTCCATCTCCCTCGCTCTGAGGTAAAAAGAAAGGAGGAGAAAGGGGGGGGAGAAAAAGACCGTCATGCCCCGCGGCGGAGAGCCTCCCGACAAGCCCCGCCCACCCCGCTCCCCCGGAGACGCTCCGTCCGCCCCCTCACCTGCCCCGCCGCCCCGCCGCCCTTGAGAGGCGGGAAGCGAGAGCTGGGAGGAAGGCCTAGAGCGGCCGCTGCTTGAGCGGCGGGCGACCCCTGCCGGCGGGAGGAGCGAGGAGTCGCGTGCGTTCTCCCTCCTTACGCGCTTTTTTTTTTTTTTTGGGCGGGAAAACTGCCCGTCTTCGCCTCAGAGAGAGCGTCGCCCGCCGAAGGGAACGGTTGCGTCAGGCTGAGGGGAAATTCCTGAGGGGTGGAAGAGAGACCCCCCCAAAAAAAGGTGGATTTGACTGACTTTCTTTACCTCTCTGTCCGTCTTTCTCTTCCTTTCTCTCCCTCTCTTGCTTTCTCTCTCCTTTTCCCTCTTTTTCTACTTTTTTCTTTCTTTCCCTCTCGGTCTTTCTACCTTTCCCTATCTCTCCCTCTTCTTTCTATCTTTCCCTCTCCCTTTCTTTCCCTCTTGCTCTTTCCCTTTCTCCCTCGATTTCTATTTTTCCCTCTCTTCTGTCACCCGTAAGTAAGGGAGAGAGGGGGGCCATGACAAGCTATGAAAGTGGAGGGTGAAGAGAGCTGGAACTGGGGGGAGGGGGGTGGCAGGTAGGCCACTCCTCAGGCACCCACTCAGCTTCCATCAAGAAAAAGTGGGGGGGGGTTCCACAATGGCCCTACGGCCATCTAGGGTTGTTGTGAGGTTTGCTTCCCATACAGAAGGGACCCTCTTCTAAAGTCCCATTTGGGAACATTTGGCCTTGTTATCTATCCATCTATCTCATCTATCAATCCATCCATCCATGTCTATCCTATTCATCCATCTATGCCATCCATCCATCCTATGGTATTCTTCTATCGTTATCTATCCATGCTACCTATCCACTTCGTCCATCTGTCCTATCCATCCAATCATCCATCCTATCTTATCTAATTTATTTGCTACACATCTCACAATCCAGGTGATTATGAGTGGATAATCTAAACATCCCCCACTCCTTGACGTCCCTCAACTGCCCGTCACTTGGAGGGAAATGTTTGACCCAGGATGAACACCACAGAAGTGTTCATATCCAAGGATTTCGACAGGAGACATTTGAAAGAATTAACCATCCAACAGTTCTGCAGGTGCCATTCCATCTGCTTGATTCATGGTAGTTCTAAGAACGTGAAGGTTTCTGGGATACATGAAGTCCTTAAGTTATGACTAATTCATGACAATTTTAAAAATGGAAGAGTCATGTGATAGGCTTGATTTTATGGCGATGGTTAAACAACCACTGTGGTTGTTAAGCAAACCAGTGGTTCGCTATGGGCATGGTTTTGTCAAAAACCAGAAGTAAATTTTTTTTGACAGCAGCATAAAACGTGATCATGTGGCTGCTGCAAACGGCCATTAGTGCAATCCAGCTGCCAAGTGCCCTAAGTGTGATCATGTGATGCAAGTGTGAGACCATCCGAACGAAGTCTGAGTCATGAGTGCCTCCCCAGGTAGGTCCATCAGAATTTTGAATGGTCGCTATGCAACCAGTCGTAAGTCAATGACTACCTATAATGTAGCTTTTTCAAGGCTTCTCCACTCATTCTCCAATTCTCTTGTTTCCCTCAGTTTTTCTGAGCATAGTCTTGAGTGGCATGCAGGTATTTGTCTTTCTCTGAATTAATTATGATCTCAGAGGACTAAAATTCATTTGATAAAACTCATCCCGATTCATGGCCTTCCAAATATTGGAAATCAGGTCTCCCTTTAATCGAAAGATCCATAGAATAATAAAAGAATTTTTATTCTGAAACACCTTGTCAGCATGTGGCCACTTTAGAGTGCCACTGTAACAAAAGAAAAATGTTGCAAGGTCTGAGGGACAAAACAAGTAGAGTGAGACTGGAGGAACTGAACATGTACAGCCTGGAGGACAAAAGATAAAGGGGATACAAGATTGAAACCTTTAAAATATATTAAGGCTGTGAATAAGGTTCTAGAAGGCAGAATTCACAATATTAAATAAAAACCAACAACACAAGGGCATAAACTGACAGGAGGGAAGTTCAAAAGTAATGTTAGAAAGGATTAATCCAGAGGAATAGTGGAAGCTTGGAACCAACTACCAGCAGATGTAGTTGGCTAATCATCAGTAACTGAGTTTAAACATGCTTGGGATAGTATGTCCATCACCCAACAAAATAAAATAATTTTTAAAAAAACAAAAACAACCACAAAAATCTCAAAAGGGACTAATCAGCCAACATTGCTGATACCCAAGACTAGAGCAGTTGATAATACAAACTCTGCTAAGATTTTATTGGCAGAACTCCAACAGAATTTGAAGCCAGTAAGTTTAGCACCTTGAATAGACTATAGGAACTAAAATAAAATGAAGTTCTAAATTAGGAAGATATGTAAAAATACCACAAAATCCAAATCCGATATTTTGGAGGGAAGTAACCATTTAATGACGAAGCAAATATTAAAAACACTCACAAAAGCGATGAAGTACTTGATGGAGGCAAGTTGACTGATTTCCTCCTTACTATAAAGCACCTTCTTCAGTCGAATCAATCAACCTGGAAAAAGTATGGTTTGGTATATTTCTCAAATGAGGAACAGCCTTTAAGAAAATTAATGGATTAAGAGCAAAGGAAATCATGAGTACACAGGATAATCTTTTAGCATACAATGCACTGAAACCTCTTAGTGACTGCTTCAGGAAAAAAAAATATATAGCAACTCCAGAAGTGAAAACACTAATATATTCTTCCTGATGCGGAGTAAAAAAATAAAGCAACCTTCTGCAACCTGAAATCCTCAGGATATGTTGGATTACATCACATACATTCAGCCCACTTTGCTGTTGTCTAACACATGGAAAAGCTCAGACCAAGGAAAGCTGAAACGTAGCATAGGAAGAATACTGAGTATAAATGTGCAATAGCGAAATCAGAAAATATTTCAGAGATTATATATTCAGATTTAGCTTGCAGCTTGTTTTTCAACCATTGCCAGACCATTGTGAAACTTTTTGGAATATTCTTTCTACAGTGACTGGTTATTTATCATGAGAAAGTCCAGACAGACAAGTGATAAGAATTCTATACAAGGGGGACTTGAGAGTGAAAACGAAAAGATGATTTGGATAAGTGGATGGTAAAAATAGCAGTCCAATTGCAACAAGCTCCTCTCCTATTCATGCCTAAGAAGCAAACCTATTTTACAGATAGCAAAGCAGCCCTCATACAATGCAAGAGGTTGCAATTTCCGACACTTATTCAATGGTCAAAAGAAGAAAACTGCCCACCTGATCACAAGAAAAATCAAATTTGGATGTACTGAGGGAAGAGGGATTAGGAGATTGCAGGTAAGAAATTAAAGAAGCACTAATTGCTAATAGGAGCAGGTGGTCTTATTCCACAGCAACAACATCCTTTCTGGACCAATCCAATGTTGCCTAATCCTCGAGAATTAGGAAGACTTCCATGCTATCACCAAAAATAATCTTTGCATCTGACTTGGGATACAGCCTAATGAGGGCTAAGAACTACCTTTGCCTGGCTTCTTTGCATTTTTAACGCTCATAGTCACTGAGTCAGACCCCTGAACCTGGCAAGAAGTATTACACTTTTTGCAGTGATACAATTGGGCCCCAGTATGCTTTAGCAATCCCTTGTAGGATAGCCATGAGCCACAGATATGGCAGCGGCGACTCCTTGTCCGGCTATGATTCTGAAGGTGTTCCAACAATAAGCCCTCATGGACAAAAGTTCGGTCGCACTGAGCACACCGGAAAGGCCAGTCTTCTGAGTGCATTCGCTTGTGTTCTGCCAAAGCTGCTGGATCAGTAAAGTAAACGCTGCACTCCACACACCGGCAAACCTGGCCTGGAGCATGAGATAGCTGGTGCTGGTCAAATGCTGCTGTGTCCAAAAATGTCCTGTTGCATGCAGAACAGTGCAGTGGCCAGTCCACTGCATGAACACGCTCGTGCACAGTAAGTGCCTTTTGGCTTGAAAAACACAAATTACATTCAGTACAATGGAACTGTGTCCCAGGTACGTGTATTAGCAAGTGTTGGGACAGCTGTCCCTCAAAAGCAAAACTCCTGTTGCATTCTGTGCACTGGAATTTTCGTTTGCGGCTATACTGGTGATCAGTCAAAGTCTCCTGGTGCGCAGAGTTCTTAGTGCATTTGCCACACTGAACAAGGCATCCTTTTGCATATGCTTCTTTCTGCTCAGGGTCATCTGTGGCATCGTGCAGAAGAGCATTCCTACAGGCCATCAAGGATGTTGGAGTCTTCTGTCCCTCTTCTTCAACAGATTGTAGTAGCACCGGATGCCCAGCTAAGGCAAAAAGGAACCATTCTTTAAGGAAAAAAAAATCCCTATTCACAGTTCAAAAGACTGCACTTTAGAAACCAAAGTATGAAAAGGTGTTCTACAATTCATTCTTATCTGAAGGACAAATAACAAGCTAACATCACTTGCAATGAAAACATCTATGATAATATTACAGGTACTCCTTGGGTTATGACAACAATTGAGACTTGAATTCTCATCACTGATAAATTGTGACAATACTTGACCAGATCACTTAACAGCAATCCCAGCAGTCCCAATTGCCATTGTTACTCCAGCACTGCACAGTTAAGTGGGAAAAGGTGGGAGTCATAGGTGGGGACAGCATGGGTGGCACACATTGGGAGCATGAGTGGGTTGGTGGGGACTGTAGGCAAGTAGGTTGGTGGAGGTGTGCTGCAGATGGGCCCATACTTGGAATGCTATGGAGTACAAAATCCCTGGGATCTCCGTAATGGGGCTTCTCAGGAGAAATATGGCAGGAGTGACTTAAAGTCCAAATTGTGACTTTCCCTGCCAGTTGTCCCACAACTTTGCTTGTGGGAAACCAGCAAAGAAGTTTCCAAATGGAGGCTGTCAC